GAGGCAAGACTACCTCGCGAGCAGAGCAAGGCACGATGATTGATTCTTAGTTTTATAACAGGGTCTTAGTTTTATAACAGGGTCTTAGTTTTACAACGTGGGGGGTCTTAGTTTTATAACAGGGTCTTAGTTTTATAACGTGTGGGGTCTTAGTTTTATAACAGGGTCTTAGTTTTATTACGTGGGGGGTCTTAGTTTTATAACAGGGTCTTAGTTTTATAACGTGGGGGTCTTAGTTTTATAACAGGGTCTTAGTTTTATTACGTGGAGGGTCTTAGTTTTATAACAGGGTCTTAGTTTTATTACGTGGGGGGTCTTAGTTTTATAACAGGGTCTTATTTTTATTACGTGGGGGGTCTTAGTTTTATAACAGGGTCTTAGTTTTATAACGTGGGGGGTCTTGGTTTTATAACAGGGTCTTAGTTTTATTACGTGGAGGGTCTTAGTTTTATTACGTGGAGGGTCTTAGTTTTATAACGTGGGGGGTCTTAGTTTTATAACAGGGTCTTAGTTTTATTACGTGGGGGGTCTTAGTTTTATAACAGGGTCTTAGTTTTATAACGTGGGGGGTCTTAGTTTAATAACAGGGTCTTAGTTTTATTACCTGGGGGGTCTTAGTTTTATAACAGGGTCTTAGTTTTATAACGTGAGGGGTCTTAGTTTTATAACAGGGTCTTAGTTTTATTACGTGGGGGGTCCTAGTTTTATAACAGGGTCTTAGTTTTATTACGTGGAGGGTCTTAGTTTTATAACAGGGTCTTAGTTTTATTACGTGGGGGGTCTTAGTTTTATATTTGAGGTCCCCTTCTTCTATGGGCTTTCATTATGTTTAGCTGTACTCATTCTATATCTCGTATTTTTATACTTCAAAAAATTATTCGGTCCCATTGATTTAACATGGGGCACCAAATTTAGCGATTTTTGAGATTTCAAAACGCCATAACTTCAGAACAAGTAGTCGGATCGAAAATTGGTTTGCAGATCTAGATTTCTGAGAAAATTCTACCCTTAATTCACAACTCATATGTTAAATTTGGAAAACTTTTAACTTTGGCCTACATTTCGGACACCATATCTCAAAAGTGGGTCAAAATACTTTCTGACGGCAAAACGCTAACTCTATTAGCATACTCTTTGCTACCTGTATACAAAATTTTAAAGCAAATCATTTAAATATAGTGTCAGAATCGCAAAAATAAGGGAAAACTATAAATTTGACCTAGATTTTGACCTAGGCATTTTGGTGTCCAAATTTTGGAGCTAAGTAGCCTTCGAGGTCCCCTTCTTTAATAGGCTTTCATTATATTAAGCTGTACTCAGTCTATATCTCGTATTTTACACTTCAAAAAAATCTTTTTTCCCATTGACATAACATGGGGCAGCAAATTTAGCGATTTTTGAGCTTTCAAAACACCATAACTTCCGAACAGGAGGTCGAATCAAAATTTGATTTGCAGATTCGGATTCCTGATAAAATTCTACCCCTTATTCATAACTCATACGTTACATTTGAAGATTTTTTTATTTTGACCTACTTTTGGGATACCATATCTCAAAAGTGGGTCAAAATACTTTTTGACGGCAAAAGGCTAACACTATTAGCACACTCTTGGCTACATGTATACATAATTTCGAAGAATATAATTAAAGTGTAGTGTCAGAATCGCAAAAATAAGGAAAAGCTTTGAATTTGACCTAGATTTTGACCTAGGCATTTTGTTGTCCAAATTTTCAAAATTAGAAGGTTTTGAGGTCCCCTTCTTTTATGGGCTTCCATTATGTTTAGCTGTACTTAGTCTATATCTTGGATTTTACACTTCTAAAAAATATTTTTTCCCATTGACATAACATGGGGCACCAAATTTAGCGATTTTTGAGCTTTCAAAACGCCATAACTTCCGAACCGGAAGTCGGATCGAAATTTGGTTTGCAGATTTGGATTCCAGAGAAAATTCTTTCCTTAATTCATAGCTCATACGTTAAATTTGGAAACTTTTTATTTTGACCTACATTTCGGACACGCCATAACTTCCAAACCGGCAGTTGGATCGAAATTTGGTTTGCAGATTCGGATTCCTGAGAAAATTCTATACTTAATTCATAACTCAAACGTCAAATTTTGAGAATTTTTTATTTTGACCTACTTTTCGGACACCATATCTCAAAAATGGAGCAAAATACTTTCTGACGGCAAAAAGCTAACACTATTAGCAGACTCTTAGCTACATGTATACAAAATTTCGAAGAATATAATTAATCTGTTGTGTCAGAATCGCAAAAATAAGGAAAAACTTTGAATTTGACCTAGATTTTGACCTAGGCATTTTGGTGTCCAAATTTTGAAGCTAGATGGCTTATGAGGTCCCCTTCTTTTAAAAGCTTTCATTACATTTAGCTGAACTCAGTCTATATTTCGTATTTTTCACTTCAAAAAAATGTTTTTCCCATTGACTTAACATGGGCACCAAATTTAGCGATTTTTGAGCTTTCAAAACGCAATAACTTCCGAACGGGAAGTCGGATCAAAATTTAGTTTGCAGATTCGGATTCCTGAGAAAATTCTACCCTTATCTCATAGCTCATATGTTAAATTTGGAGAACTTTTTGGTTTTGACCTACATTCAGGACGCCATATCTCAAAATCGCTAAGAGTAATCAAAAAACGGATGGCACACTCTCGATTTGTTTTTTTCTTAGCTACATGTAGAAACTAAGATGAAGTAGTTATGACAAACAACAACGAAGATAATTGACAGAATGTTGATTTGACCTTGATTTGACCTAGTTCTTGACCCTTGACCTAGATAAAAATTTGACCTAATTTCCCATCATCCCAGGTACTGCCCCTAGTTGATCATGTAAGCAGCTTAAAGTAAATTCTTTTAGTTGGTGAGAAATCTGGGAAGGAGGAAGATTCTGAAAGAATAATAATAATAACTAGACATGTAAATTGAACAAGTTCAATTTAAGACTCCAGATTTCACATTTTTTTAAGCTGAGTCATCCAGAACTTGTAAGCTGAGTCATTCAGAATAAGCTGAGTCAGCTAGAATATAGACATTTAGACAACTTTTAAGAAGGCTATCTTCGACTCTATTAGCTTAACATGGGGATATCATCATATCGACTTTTCGAGACTTCAAACCGCTATAACTATCTAACCAGAAGTTAGATCGAAATTTAGTTTAAAGATTCTGATTCCTGAGAAAATTCTACCCTTAATTCATAACTCATACGTTAAATTTGGATAATTTCTTATTTTGACCTACATTTCGGACACCATATCTCAAAAGTGGGTCAAAAAACTTTCTGACGGCAGAAGGCTATCACTATAAGCACACTCTTTGCTTCCTTTATACAAAAGTTTGAAGCAAATCCTTAAAGTTCAATGTCAGAATCGCAAAAATAAGGAAAAACTATGAATTTGACCTAGATTTTGACCAAGGCATTTTTGCGTCCAAATTTTAAAGCTAGATAGCCTTCGAGGTCCCCTCCTTTTATAGGCTTTCAGAATATTAAGCTGTACTCAGTCTTTATCTGGTATTTTACACTTCAAAAAATCCTTTTTCTCATTGACATAACATGGGGCACCAAATTTAGCGATTTTTGAGCTTTCAAAACCCCATAACTTTCGAACCGGAAGTCGGATCGTAATCTGGTTTGCAGATTTGGATTCCTGACAAAATTCTACCCCTAATTCATAACTCATACGTTAAATTTGGAATTTTTTTATTTTGACCTACTTTTTGGACACGCCATAACTTCCGAACCGGTAGTCGGATCGAGATTTGGTTTGCAGATTCGGATTCCTGAGAAGATTCTACCCTTAATTCATAACTCATACGTTGAATCTGGAGAACTTTTTATTTTGACCTACTTTTCGGACACCATATCTCAAAAGTGGGTCAAAATACTTTCTGACGGCAAAAAGCTAACACTATTAGCACACTCTTTGCTACCTGTATACAAAATTTGGAAGTAAATTATTAAACTGTAGTGTCAGAATCGTAAAAACAAGAAAACACTATGAATTTGACCTAGATTTTGACCTAGGCATTTTGGTGTCCAAATTTTGAAGCTATGTAGCTTTTGAGGTCTCCTTCTTTAATAAGCATTCATTATGTTAAGCTGTACTCAGTCTATATCCTGTATTTTACACTTCGAAAAAGTCTTTTTTCCCATTGACTTAACATAGGCACCAAATTTAGCGATTTTTGAGCTTTCAAAACGCCATAACTTCCGAACCGGAAGTCCGATCCAAATTCGGTTTGCAGATTTGGATTCCTGAGAAAATTCTACATCTTTTTCATAGCTCACACATTCGATTTGGAGCATGTTTAGGCGTGACCTACATTTCGGACGCCATATCTCAAAATCGGTAAGAGTAATCAAAATTCTGATGTCATATCTTTGATTCGCCTTTTTTTAAGCTACACGATGAAAAAAAGATGAAGGAGTTACGAAGAATATTGACGAAGATATGATGAAGAATGTTGAAAATGTAAGATTTGTCCTAGTTCTTGACCTTTGACCTAGATAAAAATTTGACCTAATTTCCCAGAAAGCCGGTTTCAGTCTTTAGTTAACCATGTAAGTTGGATTAAGTAAGCTGTTATAGTTGACGAGAAATTTGGTGAGGAGGAAGAAAAAAGAAAGAAAAATAATAATAATAATAAAGAAAACTGGCAAAAACAATAGACTCCAGATTTTCAATCTGGAGTCTAATAATAAAGAAAACTGACGAAAGCAATAGACTCCAGATTTTCATCTGGAGTCTAATAATAATAATATCTATAAAATTAATAGGAGGCCCCCTGTCGGGGCCTCCTAATAATAAAGAATAAAGAATAATAATAATATCTACAAAATTGATAGGAGGCCCCCCGATGGGGCCTCCTAATAATAAACCACAAATAACCTATATGAAGAGAAATTTGCTACTTTTCAAAACCACTTTTACACCACGCTCATCCAGTATATGGATGTACTTTTTGTTTCAGTAATATGGGAAGTCTTGTTAGATGTCTCAGTCTTAATAGCAGATCCCAAAACTGAATACTTTGCTGCATTCAATGCAAAAAACAGCTGTAAGTTATCATATGCTCATTCTTATGGATTGCGTTGTTTCAATCTAATTTTTCATTCAATGCATTTTGTCATTTTATGCATGGTTCAATGCATTTTGTCATTTCATGCATTGTTCAATTCATTTTGTCATTTTATGCATGGTTCAATGCATTTTGTCATTTAATGCATGGTTCAATGCATTTTGTCGTTTTATGCATGGTTCAATGCATTTTGTCATTTAATGCATTGTTGAATTCATTTGATCATTTAATGCATGGTTCAATGCATTTTGTTATTTTATGCATGGCTCAATTCATTTTGCCATTTTATGCATGGTTCAATGCATTCTGTCATTTTATGCATGGTTCAATGCAATTTGTAGTTTTATACTTGGTTCAGTGCATTTTGTCGTTTTATGCATGGTTCAATGCATCTTGTTGTTTTGTGCATGGTTCAATGCATTCCGTCAATTTTTGCATGGTTCAGTGCATTTCATCATTTAATGCATGGTTCAATGCATTTCGTCATTTTATGCATGGTTCAATGCATTTTGTCATTTTATGCTTTGCTCAATGTATTTTGTCATTTTATGCATGGTTTAATGTATTTTGTCATTTTATGCTTGGCTCAATGTATTTTGTCATTTTATGCATGGTTTAATGTATTTTGTCATTTTATGCATGGTTCAATGCAATTTGTAGTTTTATACTTGGTTCAGTGCATTTTGTCGTTTTATGCATGGTTCAATGCATTTCATCATTTTATGCATGGTTCAATGCATTTCGTCAGTTTATGCATGGTTAAATGCATTTTGTCATTTTATGCTTGGCTTAATGTATTTTGTCATTTTATGCATGGTTTAATGCATTTTGTCATTTTATGCTTGGCTCAATGTATTTTGTCATTTTATGCATGGTTTAATGTATTTTGTCATTTTATGCATGGTTCAATGCATTTCATCATTTTATGCATGGTTAAATGCATTTTGTCATTTTATGCTTGGCTCAATGTATTTTGTCATTTTATGCATGGCTCAATGCATTTTGTCATTTTATGCTTGGCTCAATGTATTTTGTCATTTTATGCTTGGCTCAATGTATTTTGTCATTTTATGCATGGCTCAATGCATTTTGTCATTTTATGCTTGGCTCAATGTATTTTGTCATTTTATGCTTGGCTCAATGTATTTTGTCATTTTATGCATGGTTTAATGCATTTTGTCATTTTATGCATGGCTCAATGCATTTTGTCATTTTATGCTTGGCTCAATGTATTTTGTCATTTTATGCTTGGCTCAATGTATTTTGTCATTTTATGCATGGCTCAATGCATTTTGTCATTTTATGCTTGGCTCAATGTATTTTGTCATTTTATGCTTGGCTCAATGTATTTTGTCATTTTATGCATGGTTTAATGCATTTTGTCATTTTATGCATGGCTCAATGCATTTTGTCATTTTATGCTTGGCTCAATGTATTTTGTCATTTTATGCTTGGCTCAATGTATTTTGTCATTTTATGCTTGGCTCAATGTATTTTGTCATTTTATGCATGGTTTAATGCATTTTGTCATTTTATGCATGGTTCAATGCAGTTTGTAGTTTTATACTTGGTTCAATGCATTTTGTCATTTTATGCATGGTTCAATGCATTTTGTCATTTTATGCATGGTTCTATGCTTTGTGGCACCACTTTGTTTAAAACAATTTAATAAAAATAAACAGTTATGTTTATTACATCTTTAAGAGTACAATTTGGTCTATGGGATTATCTCTTCATTTGCAAGACAACCCAATATTCTTTACTCATTTAATGATAGAAAATGAATGCTTATTCAATGATTTATGATATTCACTCAGCTGATATATTAGTTGTCTATTTGTTATTATGTTTGGTAGAGCATCCAAGATCTAATCGGGAGGTCATGGGTTCAACCAAGGTGGAATGACATTTTCACAACAGCCCTTAGCTTAAGATTTGATCCTGTTTCAAAGAAACTAATAGAAAATTGTCAGCTGGGAATGGCACATGGGAAAGACCATTTGGGAAAGAATTTTACAACTGACATCTAAACTGACATGTAAATATAAAATTTGAACAAATTTCTCATTTTTTATTTTTAGTATTTGTGTTCAAGCCTTCTTCCTCTACCCCCGAGTATATTCAGCAAAATCTGAGTGACTCAAAAATCATACACGCACTTTTTGTGGAGAAAACAGAAGAATCTACTGACACTTTACCATTGTGTAGAAATACGGACCTATATTTCATGAATGCAAAACAGGAACTACTTTCTTTGACAACCAAGGCATCTTTGAAACAGAATGAAGAGAATGGAGTTACAGAAGGCAACTTGGTATGTACAATCAGTGACTTTTGATTACTAAATGCTCAAATGTATCGAGTATAATACTGTAATAAAAATGCTGTAGATTAATAAATGTATTACTTTTATGTGTAAAGTACATTGATAATAGGAGTTAGATTTATTGTATAAGCAAATAACATTTATTGTATGAGTAAAGAACATGGTATGAATTGTATTAATTTCCTTGGCACATTGATGATGTGAGTTGTTGGTTGAATGAGTATTTATATACATATACATATATATATATTATAACTTCAGGTGAGAAATCTGCCGCAAACTCCATATAGCAGGCTTCTCGCACAGAAAAAGATCTCCACCAATGTGGACACCACCCAGCGATTCTCAGCTGATGTCCTTGGCAACCCTTCGAGAGAGGTGGTAGAAGAGCTAACTATAACGCCTGCACACGTCCTACCTAATGTCCGTACTCTTTGTGCACAATTCATCAAGTCCCTTACACAACCAGGGGCCTTGAAAGCTAAAATGTAAGTAATACAGTGCAGTGATATGAAAATGGAAATTAGTTCATTGGTCAAGGATAGTTGATGGCATGAAAATAATTTTACAACAGAAATACATATAATAGGTATAACCTTATTGGGTATGTTATATTACTACTACAGTGATAAATTATGACATTTCTTGAACTGCTGTGGGTTATCTATTAATGTATGATTTCAGGGCAAATGATGACGTCTCAGACGATGAAAATGATGAAGATGATAATGTGAAAAATGATGATAACTCTGATTCTGAATCTGACATGGAAGTAGACAAACAACAAACAAATACAGACAACAAAAAATCTGATTTATCTAAAACTTTTGAAGACACATTGTTGATATCAGACCAAAAACAGGAGTTAGGGAAAAGTTACACTAAAGCGTTAAAAAGTGTGAAAATCGAACAGTTCACTTGGTTGAAAAGTGAATAATACATTTAAAACACTGGAGATTTTATAAGTTATTATATGGAAATGCATTAAACTCCACCCAATGGGATATTTAGGTGTTAGAATTGGACAATTGAGGGCTTTAAAATGTTAAATAGATGTCTCTCACTCCAAAGGGCTTTACCATTATATTATATTATTTCGTCCTATTGGAAAAACTATATATGATATGATTTAGCATGGCTTCATTGCTGATTGTGTCAAGATAATCGACATATATTTGTATATAAATGTACTCTTGACATTTAGCAATATAACACCTGGATCAAAGAAACAATAGCCTCATACGGTTGTTGATATTGAGAACTGTTACCTTTTAGGCTAAATAGAATAATGACTAAAATATATTATTTTGGATATAGTGTTCCTACTATTCTATTTAGAAATCTGGAGCAGGGATTCTGAAGTTTTTTTTAACATTCACTTGTTTCTTTCATACCTATTTTCATTTTGCCACTTTCACTTTTTTTATAAATGGAATACCCTTAACTTCAATATTATAGATGAACCTCATGTCAAATATGTTTGAAATAATTGGCCTATTATATATTTTTCCAATAATCCATATAATCTGACTCATTTGAAAGCCCATTTCTATTTGTAATCTGCATTTATTAGTTTGAAATGGATTATTCAATTTTAAAGACCTGCCATCAATCATAAAGGACATGTGTTTTATATCAGTGAGAAAAATGTTACATTTTAAAATGTAAAGAAGACTAATAGATTGGAATCAGGAATGATTGAATTAAAGAAGGTATAAGAGATATAAAGACTAATTGAGAATAAAACATACATATATATTGCTCCCATAATTCCATGTCATACCTATTTTCTAAAAATTCCATTTCTACATCCAAAATGTTCAATGAACTCTGTTTGATCAAATCTCTCAACTCTAATTTTAAATGACATTATGCAGGGCTACTAGAATTCTATTTCCACACTGCAGCAGAAAAAATGTAGAGAGAATTTTTAGTCGCGTTTTATTAAAACAGGAAACTTTTTTTGGGGCTTGCTTTGTAACACACCGGAATAGCCTGACAACGGTAAAGTCAGATACCGTTGTCACAAATAACTGTCGCTTCAATTAGATTTTCATGAACTGTATGTTTAATAGAGCACCTAGACTAAATTCCTTTGGAATATACTCGTTGTACAATTAATTATGTTCTACCATCGAAATAAAGTCTTTGATTTAACCGATCAAAATGAGATACAGAACAATGGACACTGTATTACCATATGCCTTTGTCTTTGTAAATTATTTCAAATTCAGATTCCGTTGTCATTGACGATATCGAAGACGCTATCTTGTGGTGATTCACAACCCAATTTGATCGAAATTGGGATTTCATATGATACATCATTACAAGAGCTTATACATGCACAGAATTAGCGACGATAAAATCCCATGAAATAGGACCAAGTGATTTAAGAGTAAGCGACGGTTATGTCCGCCATTTGTGACAACAGTATCTGACTTTACCGTTGTCAGGCTATTCCGGTGTGTGTAAGGAACACCTAGTGTGAGTCACGAAATATGTGAAGACTAGATACTCGTATTCTATTGCTCCTGGCCAATATATCATCTCTTTAAATATATCTGTTGTTCAAATACATGTACACATTATAAAAATATGGCAGTGTTATTTGGATTTTCACACTATTTCAACAAAAAATCCTGTAAAAAAATGCGATAAGAATTTCACATTTTGTAGTGCCGAATTCTAGTAGCCCTGGTTATGATTGTAAGGGAAACATTGGCAAACTTTTTTTTCTATTTACATCCTTTGAGTGAATGGGAAATATTCTAACTCAAATTTGAATAGAAATGTCAGAAAATCATGCAGTTTGTTCTCCCCAATGAGAGTGTGACATTGATGAGGTCAAGGACAGCACTTATTGTCTGAGTGCACACTACAGATAAATATAAATGTCAAACCAGTGCATAACCAAACCAAGTACTTAGTTAAAAGCTGGAATCAGAAGAACAGGGTACAACAAAAATGCATATAACATTTACAATTGTCATTCAATCTGATCTATGCCTTTTCAAATATAATTTGTAATTTCACTAAAATATCTTTATTCATCCTGATAAACCATGACATCTCATTTCTTCTCAGCTTTGAGAAACAGAAAAATCTATGAGTATCAGAATGATATTTATCAATATTTGGACTCAGATGTGAAATCAGTACTACTTGCATAGATTTTGGACCACTACTGCAAATATAGCATTTGCACATATGAAACTACTACTATTAAGAATATAGGATGGCCCCATTGGATATCAGTATACAGAATTTCTAAGATTAAAGCAAAATTTTGAATATTCTTATTTTTGCAATATTCACCAATGTGTCGCCACCAAAAGTGAGGACATTGTTAGTGTTACAGTCTCTAACTTTTTGTGGATGGTGTTTGACGATTGGTGTTCGGTGGTCAGTGTTAGTTTTCATTTTGTTATTACTTATCAATGGCTCTAGAGCACTTACTATTTACATTAACTTTGAAGTGGTTTATCTTGAGGTCTGAGATTTAGAAAGTCCAGTACCCAAATAAATAATGTCTTCTGACAATATCTATTCCTTTCATTTTCTCTCTAAAATTTGAATGAAAGACCCAATGTTCTATCATTTCAGCACAATTTGAAGTGTTCACTTCATGTCTCTTTACTCTATTCCTTGTTTATTCCTCCCTCTTTTCATATATTTCCCATCATTCTAAAATTATGACCTCCATGGTATTTTTCTCATTGGTAGTGCCTCATTGTTTTGAATAGTGATCTAATCTCCTAAGAGAATGTATATGATAACAAGCCTATGTCACATGATGATATGATTCCTATGTATCAAATATCCGTCTGCTCATGCTTATTTCACTTCATTTTGAATTAAAATTTGAATGAACCATATCATTTTCTTGTATTTTCATACAATTTAGAGTGTTCACAACATGCCTGTTTACTTTATTCCATGCTAACTCCACTCCTTTCCACTGTAATTTGAATTTTAAAACATGAGTGGTGTGACTTCTCTCATGAGTATGACCTTTTATTTGTCACATGTTAAGAAATTATTTTCTATTTCCAACAAAGAAAGGTAAGTCAAACAACCAGTTTTTCTAATAGTTATTCGGTAATATCACACTCATTTGCTAAATTGTTTTTGTAAAACTGCTGTTTTCAGATATAAATGGTTAATGTAAATAAATTGTAATTGTTACACTTAAAAGAAACATTTAGCATTTGTTTCAGTACATGTCAAGTACAGCATTTTTCTCTTTATTCTCTTTAATATAGTTTTATGTAATACACATACATTTTTGATTTATTCATTCCACTTCATTTTAGCATAATACAGATATACAACAGATACAGTTCAAAAATATTCTTAAATAGAAACAATTGTTTGTTTAGCTTCCTCGCTATATTTGATTCTCCCCTTTAATGAATCGCATTGAAAAACTATAACAGATTTTAGAGCCCAAAAAATGTTGTTTTTACATGTATGTCCGTACTCCATTTTCATTTGAAGTGACTTAAAAAATGTTAGCTATTTTACAGCAACATGTTTTTCATCCCTCCATTATTTGTTCTCTCATTCACTCATTCATACTTCTTTTCATTATTTGTTCTCTCATTCACTCATTCATACTTCTTTTCATTATTTTTGAGCATTTTCTACTCCTTGTTTATTCAGACCATTCATACACAAAAGACAAAAAGGTATTTTTATAAAAGCATTTGTTGTCATGGCTTGCAAAATATGTTTCTATTTCTACCTGATATTGAAAAAGTAATTTGATATCAAAATACATTGGCACCTGGTGTATATCCAGAATTTCATAATCAATGTATGAAAAATGTTTATGTTATATATGACTTAATTCCTATTATGGGGTGAAGACTTATCATACATGACCCATTCGCATAACTTATGTATTGTTTATATTGGTTATATTTTAGATGTTGCGTGTATTCCTCTCTCTTGCCCTTGTGGCGGCTGTCCTGTCATTTGACCTGAAGTTGAATGACTCTTGGAAGACATTCAAGCTGACCTATGAGAAGAGCTATGGGATGAAGGAAGAAACACAGAGGTTGGTGTTGTATATTGCAATCTTAATTCATCTGAATATGTTCAGATATATGAAAGATTTTCTGGCTTATCCATTGAATCTATTTATTACTTATAGTTGTTATTCCTTGACTATTTCATCTGTCCTTGATCTATTTTTTGTTGAAATATAGAGAAGTTTATGTATAGGCTTTTAATGTATATATTCCTTGATGGGAGAAAAGCATAAAATCACACGATGTTTATTTTTCAGGCGTCAGACCTGGGAGAATAATTTGGAGATCATTCGCAAACACAACCTCGAGGCAGATATGGGCAAACATACATACACTCTTGGTGTCAACGAGTATGCTGACATGGTATGCCTATCATTTATATGATACATGTATTATTAGTCTCACCAAAACTTCATCTTTAAACTCAGGTCTTACTTTTTTCCACTTTTTTGTTGTCCCTTAATAAAACCTACCATATTGTCAACTTTGCAACTCAAAGGCAGCTTCTCCCTTTTCTTGTGTGCATATTTCCAGACAGACTGTTTGACTGATTGATGCAAGATTTCCAGGATTGTATCTTGGTATGATAACAACTGAATAGGTTTTGGTCATTCTTGTTTAATTGGTGGCCACTATTTGATTTTTGGAGAAAGCAATTTGTTTGTCCGTTAGTTTTTTTTATTTTATTTCTAGACCGGTGATGAGTTCAAACAATTCTTCCTCGGGTACAAGATGCCCAAAGGTCCCAGGAACAGTACTGCCACCTATATGTGCCCAAACAATGTCAACATTCCTGACACATGGGACTGGAGAACAAAGGGATATGTCACGCCTGTCAAGAATCAGGTGAGAATAGCAAGAAGTGAAGGGTACAATCTGACAATATTTGTTCTTGAAAAAACTAGATGTAAGGCAGGTCAATATTATGACCTACAAAACAATCAGACATTATGTCAGGCAATACTAATATTGCAGGCACCAGCCAGTAGTTCAAAATAATCACATTGCCACTTGATTCTTCCTGAGATAATTTCATTTATATCTCCATTTTCCTTGACACAATTGTGGGCTGACCTTTCACATGGTCAACATTTCCCATTTGGGCATTTTCACATTTAATTTTCCAATTATCACATTTAATTTTAATCTCATTTAATTTTCCTAGCTTCAATGCGGATCTTGCTGGGCTTTCTCAACCACTGGCTCTCTTGAGGGACAACATTTTAAGAAAACAGGCAAACTTGTCTCACTCTCAGAACAGAACTTGGTCGACTGCTCTACAAAAGAAGGTGAGAAAATAATTTCTCTATTTCAGCAATTCTCTAGCAATTTGAATAAACTTCATAATTTTTTGCATTTTTATACAATTTGTTGTTTTGGCCTTTTTATTGTTAGTCTATTTACAATATTTTTCCAGGATATTTTGAAATCTGGCAACGGATGTAGTCAATGTTATGAATAAATATGGCCTTACATGTATATTCAGTGGAATTAGTTCATGAACACATGTAATTAACTTACTTTGAAAAAGGATTGATTGAATAATCTGATAATCATGAAATGTAAGACAAAAGGTCAAATGTATTGTGTTCTTTTAATATTGCCTTCTAAATTAAATATGACTTTATTCAGGTAACCATGGCTGCCAAGGAGGCCTCATGGACTATGGCTTCACATACATTAAACAAAACGGAGGCATTGATACTGAGGCCAGCTACCCTTATAAAGCAGTGGTAAGACAATGTACTATTCAGCTAGGGAAATCAGTTTTTTATTTTCTTCACCTTCATCTGCTAGAATTGCATTCATTTACATTTTGCATGTTCTAAGATTTTGCTTTGTATGGATGCTAAGGTCCTTTGGTGAATGCACATCAGTATGGGCCATTCATCTGATCGTGCAAAAAATATATTTCTTAAATAAATTAAACTCAATGGATAAAATATAAAAAATAAAAAGCATTTCATTCTGAAGGCTGATAAGGCTTCTACCTTTTTGTTCCTTTGAGTGCAATTGTTGCTTGATGCTTGAAAAGACTTTTGCTTCTCTTATAAATCAGGGGTACAGATTGTGGTTAATCTGTACATTTTAGTGTTGATTGGAACTTGAAAGTACATTGTGGAAGACAATTGGTGCATATTAAAAAAATGCTAGCATCATACTTGTTACTTTTGGAACACCTTATAATTCCAACATAAGTAAAATATTCCTGCTTGATTTAAACCTTTACACCCTATCTTGCATTAGAAATGACGATTCTTTATTTAATGTAGGATGGTAAATGTGCCTTCAATGCTGCCAATGTTGGAGCTACCGACACAGGATTTGTTGATGTTAAGTCAGGAGATGAGGGAGATCTTTTGAATGCAGTCGCAACTGTTGGACCAATCGCTGTAGCTATTGATGCAAGTCACTCCAGCTTCCAGCTATACAAGTAAGAAATCATTTCAATCAGTGGCGAAGATGATGAGGAGTCTTAGATAATGTTCATAATGATAATTATCAGTTATGAATGAAATGGTAATAATTTTCATATTTGTATGTGGATATTTACATCTCGTGGTAGAATGCATAGTTCACAATTTTGAAGACATTTCCTTTTTTTGGGGGGCCAGATTTCCATGAACTGTTTATTTACTGTTTTACTTTTATTTGTAGATCTGGGGTGTATCACAACTTCTTCTGTAGCTCCAAAAGGTTGGACCATGGAGTTTTGGCAGTTGGCTATGGCAGCGAGAGTGGCATCTTTGAAAAACACGACTACTGGCTTGTGAAGAACAGGTATCAGGTTTTTCCACCAATTTATGTGTCTTATCTGCTTTACGCTGGATGAGACATAGAAAACATAACATTTGTCCCTATCATTGAGGATATGCCTATGAAATAGAATGTCGAGAGTAAAATTAAGCAATCATTGTTTCAGAAATTCAAAAATAACAGATACTCATTAAAGAAAACTTATAAATAACTCCGTAAAATATGCGCTGACCATTATTTCTATATTTCCAGCTGGGGAAGTTCATGGGGAATGGATGGCTACATCAAGATGTCCCGTAACAGAAATAACAACTGTGGCATAGCAACACAAGCCAGCTACCCCCTTGTATAACTGCGCCCCACCAGAGCCTTAACCAGGATTTTAAACTACAGAGGCTGCATAATTAGAATTAAAGTCAGAGAGACTATTCTATCAATGGAGTATTTCGATATGATTGATTTTATCCCTTTTGACAACATAAGCAGGACATTCATAGAATACGTGGTATTATTCCATAGTTAGCATGATATTCATAGGATAACATGTGAAAATAAAAACGGTATTTTTGTAATCAGTGGTGAAATATGATATTTTTGACAAATTTTCACTTAACCATAGCATACGGTTTTTTAGCCATGACATACGACGTCGTATGCGATGGTTTATGGATTTTTGCTACTTCAGACTCAAAACGAGGCTAAGTGTCAACATCGCCGGATCGTTTGGAAAATTCGAATTAAATCACTTAATTTCCGACGATTCTGACGATGACTTTAACTATGGAATAAAAAGAACATCCTATGATTTACTCGTGATATGATTTTAATCCACTCATGGATATTGATATCTGCACTCTCTCGCTACGCTCGCTCGTGCAGATATCATATCCATTCGTGGATAAAAATCATATCACTCATAAATCATAGGATATCCTCTATTTATGAGATTGATATTATATTCGAACTTCTTTCTTTTCAATTTGTTTGTACATCTTGTTATCATGTCTCGTTTTAGTTTACAAATAGATATTAGTGAATTGCATATATGTTTTGTTTGAGTTATTTTCAAAAACTTGAATTACATATATTTTTTGTTTGAGTTATTTTCAAAAATAAGAACAATTACATATGGAGTTATGTTTTCAATATCTTGATCCAGCACCTTACCGAGGACTCAAAAATAAGATTAAAGGGTATGGATCAATTTGAAATAATGACGCTTTAATCTTTATTAAGACTATCCATATTCCTTGTATTTATGAGAAGTACATATGTAAATCTGGTAAAAAGTTGTAAAACAGTCTTCTGGCCTGTATGATGTTTGCATGTCACATTTAATATCTCGCGACTTAACTGGCTTTCATTTAAGATACATTCAGAAGCAAAACTAAAGATTTTAGCTGAAATTTTTTTTATGAAATTCTTCATATTTTTTTTAAAAATGACATGGTCCAACACCTTACCAAAGGAGCAGGGAAAGTATCGCAACAGATTTCAGACAGTCATATGTTGGATTTTGGCTATTCCTTTAAAGGGGTTAACTGTGTCTTAAAATGCAACATATTGATGCAAAAAAATTGAAAAAGCGGATGTGGTAGGGGTTGAAAATCAGGAAAACATTTCAGAAAAAACATTTGGGTGGGTTGTTTGCATCTCCCCTGTTTCAGAATTGTAATTATTTTATCATCTCTATGAGTGCTTTTCCTGGAGATAATGCATTGGCGTAACATATGCACCTGTTTAAATCCTCTGAAAATAGCCAAAATCCAATATATAACTGTCCGAAATCTGTTGCGATACTTTCCTTCCTCCTTTATGCATTTTACATACCATGATATTGATGACATATTTCAAATAAATATTTTTCAAATTATTTGACCTTAATATACTTATCAATCCACAGGCTTCAATTTTCCTGAATGATTTTTTTTTGTAAATCTAGTAATTGTCCTTAAAAAACTTCGATAATATAGTTACACGTCGCACGAAACAGGGGACAATAAGAGTAACATTATGGCGTCAAAATACAAAAACAATACAATGGGCAGTATAGGGCGCAATCAGCATTATAACGTCAAAAACGACAAGCGTTACATTTTGTCAAGTTTAGTCAACCTAAAAATAAGATGCTTTATTCTTATTCAATTCTGGTGAAATTCACAGAGCAAGAAGATCTCGAGGACAATATTTCTAAAATGTTTTTGATTTTTGGAAAACGGTCAGGAAATCCACTCGGGGCGTTAGTAAAAATTGATATGTATGGGATTTGTGGTAAAAAATCGATGCGTTACATTTTTTCAAGTCTCTAAAAGCAACTCTTATTCTCTTATTATTTGAAAAATAAAGAAATCGGTTATTGTTTTGTAAATTTCGCCATGACAATATTGTGCAGTTAAATTTTTTTTGAAATCAGACCTAAATGAGAAGGTTAAATAAAGGTAAACTTATTGCTTGTCTCCTTCGCCTTCAAAACCTTACACAATTTTGAAAATCTTAAAAGCGATCATATAAGACGATTTGAACTGTAGCCGCTAGGCAATTGTGACGTCATAAAAGCACATGTTTCAATGAATAAAATGTGAAATTTTAGTAAAATTCTGATCAGTATTTCAAAAGTTATTCCGATTTCAACGAACCGTGTAAGCGTGAAATGTTACGCCTTACAGCGTATTTGACGATGTCGGAGTTCATTTAACTTAAAAAAGATGGTACATCCCATCATACTTTTCAAGGAAAAATAATTTCAGTGAAATGCGAATAAAAAATACTTCAAAATGATATATAATACACATAGTTAGCTTTTTAAATAAGGCAGATATTAACGCTTAAAGCTGAGATTAGCCCGTATTTCCCGAATTGTCCCCAGGTCCGTGCACGTCATAAGTAGCTTTTTAACATTCATGAGAACACCCATTTTTAAGTAAACATAGAACACGAAATGCCAACAAACAGAAACACGATGCTGGATGTCTCCTAACATACAGAAATGTGATACTGAAATTGTTTGGAATCCCATTGACTATTGCTTCCACCATTTTGCATTTTCTATTTTTTGCTTACACTTTATGTGGAAAAAGATTTTGAGAAAATCCATCTAAAATTTGTGCTCCCTTTAATGATCGATTTTGATGTCAAGATGGTGCTAGGCAAGTAACATTGCAAAAATTTTAATTATTACATCACCGAAATGAAAAAGTATTACAAAAACACAGCAACAGGTATTTGAAAATGTATAAGAATGTAACCATTTATAAAGTAAACAACTATTTCGCTTTCAACTTTAGATTTGCAAAAATCGCTTAACTCTTAAAATCTGAAGCAAAGTTGAAACATGTACGCCACGCTATGGGCATTTATTTCTATTGAAACTTCATGGCCACTCCACTTGGGGGACTTTACAAATCAATATTGATAACATGCAAGCTAATAGAATTTTTCAGATTAAAACCTGTTTGGTTACAGACCCAGTGAATTCCACAACAAAACATATTTTTTATTTAAATGAATCCAGGTCAATCATTGACAAGCCAAAAATTCATGTAAGCCTTTGTATTATATGTGAATATGGCCATGTTTTGCAATTGAAAAAAGAGTGAAATAAAGAGAAAACAACAACGAATAAAATAAACAGCAGTAGTATTCAGATATACATTATGTAAGAGTACAAATAAATCTGACAATTGATTAAAACTGAGAGAGAAATTTTGCAAAAAGACCTGATCATGGTCACATTCTAATTATGGGTATTTATCATTTTTTGTGCTTAACGCTTTGTGCTTTCAGGTGATGAAAAGACCATTTGCAAGTTCGGGTTCATTTGGCCATTGGCGGTTGAGCGGGCCCCAACATTAAAAAGGTGAGAATTTCGGAATTTCAGGTTTGTCAAAAACAACTACCGGAGACCGGGTACTTCTCTTTCCAAATTCTCCACTTTGGATCTAAAATGAGTAGAAAAAAACTAAGTGCCTAAACTTTTTGATTGTAACACGGAATTTTGAAAGGATGCCATTAAAGATGATAATTACTGGAATTACATTAGAAAAAGTGAAATGCGTTTTACAAACTCGGGTATCCTGATTCTTCTATTGGAGAATAGAAAAGAAAAGGGAGAAATGGAATTTTTGAAAATTGGGATTATTTATTGAAATCGGGATTTCTAAAATGAAATCGGGAGAAAAATCAGATTTACATAAACTAAATTAACAATTCGAAAAAATGATTGAAAATCGGAATGACGTACATATAAATCGGTAGAAATCAGAGACATATAAAATGTTTTGTATGTCTCTGAATAAATAATGTGACACTCCGGGAGGAGAAAAATGGTATTTGGGTTAATCCCCGCCTTCAGGCCTTTTTCAAAAAACGTAACCTGTGCCTGAGGTATTTTTACAAGCTTTTAAATGATGCTATTTTTACATAATACAATTCGAATTTTCTTGGATGACGTTTTTGACAATTTAAAAAGTACAGGGTGGGGCAAAAAATTGTGCAACCTTTTTAGAAGGCAAAAAAAGTATAACATTATGGTATTGACATGAATGTTTTTACAGAAACTTAAGGATAGGCATATTTTACCATTCAAATACTAAGCTAATACTGACTTCAAATTTTTTTGTCAGATGTTTGAATATTAATGGTAAATTGTTGATTTGTCCGAGATTCACCATTTTTCCTAGAAAATCTGACTTTCTATGATTTTATGTGATCAACAATAACACATTAATTATGTTTACTAAATCTGCTACAATCTTTGATAACTGTTTAACCAATGTCTAGTACATGTTTATAGGGTGTCTCAAAAAAATGTACCCAAAAGTATATCAACAGCATAGACAAACCAATCAATATTTTCAGATATTTTTTGCATGGTCTTGTAGATAAAATATGAAAGTTTTTTCCCATATACACAATTTTTAATTCAGTTTTGCCCTTTTGATACTTTAACCCGTTACCTTTTACACCACATATTCAATGTAATGTCATATTTCGATGACAGTCTGCATCCTTATTGTTCATCACATTTGATATTTCTGGTGGAATATTTTGATTTCTTTTTGGACGCTGGCCTTAAGTTGTTCTAGGTTTCTTAGCTTGGGTTTAGCATAAAAATGGTCCTTCAAAGAGCCTCAGAGAAAAAAGTATGGGCCGTCAAATGTGGTGAATAGGGAGGCCCTCACAATGTTTTATAGCCCCCTTATACAGAGAGGTCAGAGGTTCAAGAAACTGCATTGGTTGGGATTCTAGTGTAGCTTTTGTTGTGTGTATCAATTTGAGACCACTGTGTTTTCATTTGGATATCATTTGGTCTCCAGGCTAGCCTGCCTAACTCTGGAGGGTAACTCCTGAATCATTTGCCGATAATTGACCTGATAATCTGTGTTTGTTCTGCCATCGTCATCCTCAAACATCTTTCTCTGTGGCTTTTTGAAGGAGTGTTTTAATGATCATTCCAAGCAAAAGACCTAGAACAACTTAAGGGCAACATCCAAAGAGAAATCCAAAACATTCCACCAGAATTATTATCAAATGTGATGAATAATGTAGCAGTAAGGATACAGGATGTCATCGAAATATGAGGTTACATCGATTATGTGGTGTAAAAGGTAAAGGGTTAAAGCATCAAAAAGACAAGACTGAAATAAAAATGGTGTATTGGGGAGAAAATTTTCATGTTTTGGCTACATGACCATGCAAAAAATGTCTGAAAATATTGATTGGTTTATCTGTGCTCTTGATATACTTTTGGGTACATTTTTTTGAGACACCCTGTATATCAGTATCTAGTCACTAAGGTAATATTGTTACACTGTATTGATTATTTATTAAACAAATGTTCTATGCATCCGCCTTTCACCTTCACAATCACATGGAGACGAGAACTGAACTGGTCAATGGCGAGATCCAGAAGTTCTAGTGGTAGTCGTCTCCACTTATCAAGTTATCCTGCATAACTTCTTATAGTTGATCAATGATTTGTGTCATTAATAACCATTAACTACAATACATGGTGCCCCCATGTGTGATAGTCCCAGGGGTTGGCATCTGGTGTATTGGGTGGCCATTCGACTCAGGACTAATCTTCTTCAAAAGGGACATCTTTTAAGAATGAGGGCTCTTTCAGCCCCAAGTGATTACATATTCCAGAAGGATAGCGCTCCTGACCATAGTCCAAAAGTCACTATGGAATATCTGGAGCAAAATACCCCTTGATTCATTAGTTCTGACGAATAGCCGCCCAATACACCACTTAACAAAGATTGCAGCAGATTTAATGAACATAATAAATGTTCTATCGATGATCACATAAAATTATAAAAAATCACATTTTTTAGGAAAATCGGTAAATCTCGGACACATGAACAATTTACCATTAACATTCAAACATCTGACAAAAAAATGTAGTCAGAATTAACTGAAGTATTTGAATGATAAAATATGCCTAAGTTTCTGTAAAAAAAAGATTCATGTCAATACCATAATGTTATGATACTTTTCATCTATATCTTCTGATTTGAACCCTATAATGTTTCTTAACAATACCTTCGTCTATTTCTCCTCTTTTCTATAGATACTTGAACAATGAAGGTCGTTCTTGCACTTAGCCTGTTGGGTGTTGCTTTTGGGTGCATGCCATCTCAAGCCCCAAACAGAGGTCCAGGTCCAAACGAAGGTCCAGGTCCGGACGAAGGTTCAAGTCCAAGCATGGATTCAGGCCCAAAACCTGAGTAAGTTTAAGGACATATGGTATGGTATGACGTATGGTATATCTTTGAGTGCTTAACAATGATATATATACATGGCGATTTATATACAGGGCTAATACTTGATTTCGTCTGTTACCTGCTATTAATTAAAGACTGCTGATTTTTTACGGGAAAATGTTTATTTTGTTTCAGGAAGCCCTTCCTATTTGGAGTTGAAGGTGCTTGGCCACCATACGCTTTCCAGTAAGTGCAATATTGGTATTCGGACCAATGGGATTCTGACAATTGGGATTCGCACCATTCGGATTCCGACCGATAATGTGTCCAATCGTTCGAATCCCAATAGTATGCAGAATCCCATTCGTCCGAATGCCATTATGATGATCCGAAAATTAACCGGGCACAATAATCATTTTGGGATATAGAGAAACGAATAGTTGATATGATCATGGCATATCTCTTGAGAGGATAAAGAGAAAATAATATTGTTATTAAAATGATATTCTGAAAAATCATAGGATGTTCTTATTATCCTACACTTACAAGTTGTGTACTAAATGTATAATATCATTACAAAATGAATTCCATGCCAAATAGAGTCAATTTGGCGGGAAATCAACAAGCGGAGTATATCGTCACAATATCCTCCGCATATTGGGGTTTCCGGAGTATATCGTCACGATATCCTCCGCCCGGAGTATATCGTTACGATATCCTCCGGATATTCATTTTGCCAATAAATATCAAATTTATTTTTTAATGTTATTATACATTTAGTACACTAAGTGTAGGATAATTCTTGTTATCCTACACTTAGTGTACTAAATGTATAATAACATGAAAAAATAAATTTGATATTTATTGGCAAAAATATCGTGACGATATCCTCCGGAAAACCCAATATACGGAGGATATTGTGACGATATACTCCGCTAGTTGATTTCCCGCCAAATTGACTCTATTTGGCATGAAATTCATTTTACAATGATATTATACATTCAGTACACTCCTTGTAAGTGTAGGATAATAAGAACATCCTATGATTTTTTTCAGAATATCATTTTAATCTACTCGGTGATATTGATATATGCACTCGTTCGCTTCGCTCTCTCGTGCAGATATCAATATCACCTCGTAGATAAAAATGATATTCCTCAAAATCATAGGATATCCTATAAATATGACCATGGGCTATCTCTTGAATGCCAATGATATGACTTATTCAAAATTAAAATGCGTTACAACCCCGTGTTTAAACCTTTTAACAAGAAGTCCAAAATCCACTCCATTATAGTATATTCAAAATGGCGAGTACTTTATCGCACGTTTTGCTTCAATGGACGTTTCAATAAACCAATAAGTTCAATATGTGTTTCATTTTTAAACTCATATTTTATGTTCTTAATCATTTCAAGCGCCGCAATGTTATTCAATAATCACCCCTAAATCGTGGAGAACGAAATATACATAAAATTATATATAAAATTGTTATTGGCAGAGATGAGACAACAGGGAGAGGTATTGGCTTCCTTCTTGATGCAGTGAGAGAAGTGTGCAAAGTTGCTGGCAGAAAGTGTGATATTGTCTTCTCAATGTCAAATCTAGAGAATTGCTACGATCCTGAGGATCAGTCGGGAGAGGGTAGGTGCTATTAGGGGAAATACAAGATGTATTAACAACACAGATAGAAATAGAACATTGAGGGAATGGAGTACTGAATGGTCTTTCATCTCTCGAAAGCCCATAACTGAGGGGTATTACTTTACTATTTAAGGCCAAAGTTCAGTTGACTTTCATTTTATTCGAATAATTTGTTATGACATTATTTTTTCAATTCACATGCATTATGCACAGTTAAAATCCCCTTCAAAAGCTTGTATCAGAATTTTCAAAAATCCACCTTTATTATAAATCTGAACTATAGTTATTAAGGGGAAAATCAAATTGCAACCTATAAAGAGGCATGAACAATCGATAGAAGTCTTTTTGAAGAGAATGTACACAACCCCAACGGCTAACAACATAGATAACAATTATAACAATCCTCCTTCTCGTTTTCTTGTTTTCTTCTTTTTACACAGTTTTTATTCTCACACAATCAATTTGTTACAGCACTGAATAACAGGCACTTTGATGCATGCCTTGGATGGACCGCTACAATGCAAAGATGGAATGTCTTTAACTTCTCTTCCCCCATGCTAGACATCGTCCCTGCCCAGATCTACGTCAAGTCCGATTCTGGTATCGCTGATTCTGATGCCCTTCAAGGAAAAAAGATTGGTAACTATTAAAATATATATTTTCTCCAAAATATAAGTTTAAACTGGAAGAAGTCATATCCATGGGATAAATTATCTACAGAGTGGAGTTTTTCATCGAAGTTCAAGAATTTAATAAACACCCGGATGGATCCTGACTGAAAAATATCTTAAATGTTTGGTTTTGACATATTTCAAAGCACATTGAATGATCAAAGTGTTCATAATGTACGAGCAATGGTGTGTATAGCACTATGCGTATAGGTAGCTTGACAAGCCCTTGTGATTCCTTTCCCAACTACAACGACTTCAATTTGGGGGAGGGGGGGTCACAGGAGCTAGCTCACTAAAGAGATTTGTTGTTTACATAGGTTTTCGGAAGTACTGGTACATGGACAAGTTCTGCATGCGCCACTCCGGTTTGGCAATAGGTGATGACCAAGTTGAAGAGATCGATGCTGTAACTGGTTGGGAAGATGTTGTCAAGGCTCTGGAGGACGGAAAGGTAGGGATAATTGAATATAATTCTTAGTGTTCCAAACTCTCAACCAAAATAATCTGATAGGTATACCTGCCACTGCATACCCATGTTGAAGATGATTCAATACAAAGATGGACCGGGGGTTTCTCCTTTTGGGCCACTCTAACCCACGTACATTGTCACCTCTGCCTATAGACCTAGTACAGATCAGTTATAAGTTGAACCTGAGCCATTTACTGTTCTATGTTTATTGTAAGGTTGAGGCTGTGGTACTACCTGACAATCATGACATAGCCCGAGAGAAGAATCTCATGCCTTTGATTACTGGCGTTGATTGCTCATATGGGGGCGCTACGGGTCTCATGCACAGGAAGGACGTCGACACCACATGGTTCAGCGAGGCTCTGCGAGAGATTAAAGAGGGGTTTGCATATTCAGATTTATGCAAGAAATGGAGTAAGTGTTTGTGGTTCTTGCATCAATTGAAAAAGAAACAAGCGAATTATCGATTTAATCAAAAAGCACAATTGGCAACATTTAAAGTTGTCTCAACAAATCCAGTGATTCGAATTCCCCTCCCTATGTATCTTTGGTTTTTATAACAGGCGACGGTTGTGGGGGTGCGAACGTTGGATCAATAGTTGGAGTGTAGATTTATTCTATTATTCCTATATAATAATTGGATGGGTATTAGCCACATGCATGTAAACAATTCACGTCTATCGTTTCAGATGTGCATAACTGTTGCCAGTAGGAGCCACCGTCAAACAGAGAAATCAATAAAACGATAAGATCTAAAAGAGAGAAAGGATGAACGGGGAGGTTCAAAAATATACTTGGGACAATCATAGACCAAAAAGGGGTTGACATAGCAATCAAAATCAATATGCCATGCCCACTTATTCGAGACTTCTGTGTTTCACATGCATATTTTATTTCAAGTCACACAATTCATGACAATTGTAGCATTTTTTCTCCACATATATTTTTCTGTACGCTGTAAAGTAACAAGTTTTAGGTTTTGATATATATTTCTTTTTTCTATACATTGGAATATAACAAGTTTTAGGTCTTGATATATATTTCTTTTTTCTATACATTGTAATGTTAAAAGTTTTAGGTTTTGAGTAACTCCCGGGGAGTAACTAGTATATTTCATTTCTCTTCTGGATACTTCCTTGTGGAGCTTTCCATATTTCGAACTGTATTCACCTCATGCTATCATTAGTCAGAAAGTTTGAAGCCATCTCCCACGACACAACATTGGAAAGTACAATAAAATGTATTTGGATTGAATTAATACTTGGATTTTGAAGAATAAATTTTCGGCCTTTACATAACTTTTATGGAAGATTTATATTCGATTTGTATTATTGTTGTATTGACAACCACGATTTACACATTTCTGATACTCTTCAGAAGTATCATTCAGCAGAACTTTACACGTATTAAACTTACTTAATCAATCTAGGATCTAGGATTCATATAGTACTCGAAGCGCTAACAATATTGTCCAATCAAATCGAGGCTTTCTGTATCACGTTTTCAACTGCGGTATATATTCCGCAGGTGAGTATCGGGTATTCATTGAAACCAATGTATCATATATTCACCTGCTGAATATGCTATACTCACCTGCGGAATATGTCATATACTGCAGGTGAGTGTGGCATATTCACCCGTATCACAATACCACACAACCATAAATATGTGCCATATTCCGCGTAACAACAATGACAATTAAGAGAAAGATACACATTTTTGGCAAAGATGGTCACTCTTGGAATTGCCTGAAACATAATATTGGGTTGATTTAATTTCAAAATAAGTATCGAAACAGTGAGATAACTAGCCACTACAGCACCATTAGAAGCTTGTATTGTCCTCTTTAATCTAATATTCCAAACAGAAATGAATCGAACGTTTCGGGATTCAGAAATTAAATGTAACGCATTGAACTTAATAATATATGACGATATTATGTAAGGTAATAGGTAATACTGACCTGCTGATCAGTGTCTTAGCATTTATTATTGTACATTTTTCATGGATTAAATATAAGGGGTCGGGCAACAATGGTCTACACGACCTGTAATAAATAGGTAATAAGGGTCATTATTATCACAATACTAATGACATTGCTCACTTTTTAAAGTTAATTTCCATGCGTAATACAAAAAATAATCGAAATAAATTAATATTGGATGGAGGGGGGGGGGATTGGATGGAGGGGGGGGGGATCACGTGTATGTAAGACATGATACTTGAAATTATTCTTAAGACTCCAAATTTTCCATTTTTCATTCTCCAGAGATATAATATCCAGTTTCTTACTGGGGTACTGAGTTTAGTTTTTTCAAGTACGCGAGTTCTTGTGAATTTGTTCCATCGTAAAGACATATAAATCCCCCCTCCATCCAATCCCCCCCCCCCTCCATCCAATATTAATTTATTTCGATTATTTTTTGTATAACGCATGGAAACTAAATCAAAACAAAAAGGATTAAAAGATTCAATTCCTCATTTTTGTTGCAAGATATATCAATTCAAACTTGAATATTTACTCTCTACCCTTATTTGCAAATAATAGGACAGTCATTGGAGATTGAATCTATACCAATTTTAGCATTTGGACAGATGGACGGAAGTCTTCACTTATCAAACTTTGTTCATTGGGATAATAACAATGATACATATTACTTTTAAAATAGTTTATTTTTAACAAGATGAGAGGTGTACAGATCTTGTGAATATGATAATATACAGATACATTATACAACACCAATACCTTATTATCTTCCTAATTTTATCAAGCTTTTAATTTTGATGCATGCATGCATGGCAAGGTGGTTTTCATTTCGTCCTATTCCCTTCAAATCTCTTTTATAAATTCTTGGATAATTTTATTGGAACCTCACTTTTTGGACACTGGAACAACTGAGAGATAGGTCACTTATCCTAAATGATTATTCTACAACATGATCTTGGATAATCTTAAAGCTCTTTTCAATCGATAACATTCAAAAATGAATATTTTGTCCAAACACCTTAAAATTATTCAATACAAACCCAAGGTGAAATATATATTACACTAGAATTAACCACATATTTTTTAATACATTTAATATCAATAACTGTGTTGTTCAATGTGCAATGAATGCATACAAAATAACTGAAATGTCTTTATTTACTTGATCATCTGCATATAAATCCCTAATACCAGTTCAGTTCATTAGATACAGTAGAATGGCCATGGAACGTGAACATTATGAACACCTTTCTGAAGTGAAAAAGTTTTTCCCATGTTCTGAAATCCTCATTTTCTACAGATGTATCCATCCTCAAATTCAGATGGTAAACACCATGAATTTAGAGAATATCTCCAGAAAATATTGCTAAAAATTTAACAAGTTGTGGTCTTATATCTTTTAGAGGCAATGCGCAAATAGATCAATCTTTTTCTCAAAAATTAGAAGTGATCTCCAAAGGAAGAATCAGCAGAAATGGAAGTCCACTGATAACGGTGCATACGCATTAAATCAACGATATTTACGTGAATCTTAGGCCATTCAGAGTTAATGAAACATTTGACTTCCTGTTGAGATAAAGAATCTTTGGAAGGTGGGAGGATATTCAAAAATAGTGTTTGTTTTCTGAAAATCTGCCTCAATTTTAGGTAGGAAGGGATGTAACACACATATTTAACTTTGAATGACCTCAGAAATACCAGAGAACTATAATGGATGACAAAGCAATGAAAACTAGATATTTAAAGGGTCATACTTGACTCCCTATTGTATTGTTCTGGGTCAAATATGAACCTTTAACACTAAGTTTTGGTGGGAGTATATACAAAAATAATGTCACATTCTTTATATATTCTAGTATCTCATTTACATAGGTGGGTTGGCCTTTTCAAAAGAGTATTAATTTTCCAATTCATTTGTGCCTAAAACTTCACTTTAGTATTCAGCTTGTTATTCTGATACTCATCACATTTCTGTTTTCCAAATAAGAATATTCTAAAAATGAAATGATGGATGAGTATGGCTTCTCAGGAGAAATGGCAGAAAATCTGACACATCTTTGGGAATTAGGAAAGATATAGCATGACTTAAGCATCGCCAGTTGAATATCTAAACAATGATTACACATTTAACTTGTAATTATATCAATAATGATACGGAGAATTATTGGAAAAATTTACATGCTGTCTTGCACCCTAAATTCAATATATACAATATGTACTGATCACACCTAGTGTATTACATTTGATTTGTATAATGACCTATGGACATATATATCCCTTCACTATGAATTCCTGTTATCTATACAAGAGGCAAGTTAAATGGTGTGATAACTTGTGATAACTGTCATCGTGAAATTAACAATCCTTCAAGTTGTTATTGATGGAATAAAATCATGAATGGCCATTGAAGTTCAGATATTGTTACTCACAAAATTGCCAGCTTTAATACATGTGATTTACATGTAATTAAGGTGTATTATACTTTTAACTTAATTCATGTCATATGTATGTACATGGATTAACATCTGAACAATATTGCATTACAAAGAAAAACAAATAAACAAATATTTACGTATTTGTCACATCTTATCTCTCTTAATACTTCTATAAACATATTTTAAGAGCTTTCCAAAGCACAACTTTAAATATAAAGAAAAAATGTTAGAAACTTATTAAATATTCTAGAATACCCAACATCTTAAAGACCCATGCATTATAATTCCATAGCTTTGTTTCAACTTATATACGCCACTTTAGTTGATGAGTCTAGCTGGGATATAACCCTGTATGGTATAAATGTTTCACCACACTTTATAATACAATTTTGAAAATAGCCCCTACTGAATTTAAAAAACTAAAATTTTCCACCTGTTGCAAGTCTCATGTAGCTACTATTAGCATAATAGTAATAATGCATGTTCAAAAAATATTATAGTGAATAATTATCAGCTTCAGATACACATTCTGATTTTTATAAATAAGCTAAATATCATGAATTAACAAAGCTGATAATATAATCTCTACCTCCAATTTATATTACAGTGTTTAACATAGAGAAATTCCATATACATATGAGCACTTCAATATAATGTCACTTCAATATAATGTAACCCTAGTAATTTTTACCAAACTTAAATTTTGTGCATTCACAAAGTTACATCAAATTTGTGGATTAAATTACATGTATGTATTCTATGAATGTTCATCTCTCTGGTAGTAATGTACTATTAACAAAGTTGTTGATTTTCTTTCTCAGAGATTTTTTTTTTTGACGTTTCGTAACCGTTTCTATAGTAATGGTTGCTATTTGTCTCATTGTTATGTAATAATTAATTATTTCAGTTTGATTCAAATATAATTTTATTTCTGAAGAAGTAGGATGGACATCCTACGAAACATCAAAAAGAAAAAGAAATATCTCTGAGAAAAAAAATCAACAACTTTGTTAATACATGTATGTAGTTTCATCATATCCACATGATACATGTACTCATATTAGTAATAAAAATATCTTGAATGAAATGTTTTCAGTAGAGTTACTGAACATTCTTACAGAACACTCTTATACCTGAACACTCTTATAGAAGTTTCACTGTACATTTCTGCATTCACTAACCATATTAACAATTTCAACACATAGATGTGTACAAATTATCAAGAATCTCTGTAAAAGTACCATTTACTGTACAAGGTAGAAATCTGTGTTTTTCCACCAAAGTCAGTTTTGAATTGTCTTTTGTTATATTTTAATTCTTTTATTACAAAATGTCTACATATAAGAACCTTCCAAAAAATTCCAATGAATAGATGTTTTTACTTAAAAACAACTCAAAGTGACAATAAAAGACAATATTTACATATTTGTTAAATGAGTAGAAAATGTTGAATGAATTTAATTGAACTATCCCTGTGATGTGAATATATATTTACATAATGTTCATAAAGCTGAATTCTATAAGGAAAAAATAATTCTGAATTTAAAACAAATGTCAAATCTATTAATTAAATGTTGTCTATTTGCATAATAAAAGGGTTCCCAAATGAGATTTATCCATACAGCATTTTCTACTTCCAGATAACAGCAACATTTACATAATATAAGACGCTTACAAAACAATTCCCTAGATATAACATACACTAGGTGGCACTAACTCTTGATTTTTTATCGGTGAAAAAGCTACGTAATACAATCACTTGACCTATTCCAATAATTAAAATAACGACTGTTTGCCCAATTGACCAATATTGTACACGCTCGTTTAGATCTTCAGCGAAAGCACGTCCCTGTGCTTCTCGCAGACGATGGTGGGTCTGGTAGTCAACGACAACCTTCAATGCCTCATGGACAGTCACAGAACTGCTCTCCATCTGGAAATACAAACATTAATGATTTGTCATATATGATTCATGGTATATGACTGTTGTCCACAGGATTTTTTCTTAAGTGGGTACAAAATTCTCATTTTCACAATTCAGACCAAATTTGGTCAAAATATGCCAATTTTTCATGATTTTTCATTGTACGAAATATATGTATTATGTTTTTAATTTAATGATATATCATATTTTTTGTGTAAAAGTTGTGGAAAGTCATGAGAATGAATAGGGGTAATGTTAAAATAAAATGAGAATGTTCACGATGCAAGGTGATGTTGAAAGTACCTACTGATCAATATATATCGGGAGGATACATTGAATTACAAAACACATCATGTTCCCCATATTTTAGTGTGAGTACTCTATTCTTGATTTTATTTCTGATGTATTTGTTAATAATTGGTCATTCCTCTATATTTCTTGAACTTTGCGAAACGGGGTAGGTGCTAAATATGCAGATTACAGTATATGATTTATCCATCAACCAGTATTTGGGTTATTGCTTGTTGAGACATATGTATGGATGGACAGATGGACAGACAGACAGAAAATAGAATGAATGGAAGCTTCTCTATAAATATATTTTCTTTGGATATACATGTATGAGAACCATTGGAGACATATTAATAGTAAAAATTGTAAAATAAGCAAACATCTGTTCACATAAGTAAATCTTGCAGCTAGGTTCAGTAATCAGTAATAGTTGAATAATTAAATCTAAGATTTTCTTGGCATGGTCAAAGTTTTCAAAATACCATGAAAAAGTCATCAGAACTTCGATGTATCCTATTTTCATATAACCAGCCAGGGCATAGGCTAGGCTTTCTACTGAAAACGTCTATTACTGACTTATAGCTTTAAAGATAAATTTAACAAGGCATTAAGATCCAAATGTCACCACCTGCCATTTGTTACAGATGCCGAACATCAACCACCACCAGCCAACTATCGAACACCATCCACAAAAGAGTTGGAGACATTACCATATGTTATCACTTGTGATGGTGACAGAATATTTCTACCGACCAGATATTACATTTAACTCTATAGACACAATCCTAGTTATGGATATTTTCTTTGGGTAGTTGGCGATCTACCTGGGTCCCAAGCTTCTACAGCCAATGTAAACCTAAATTAACAAGGGGATGTGCTATAAACCAACCATACAAATTCTACAATTAAGCATTATTTACTGACCTGTGTCAATGCAGTTGCATGTTCTCCCATACCCTCCAGCAGGGGGTCCTCATCACCAACTTGGAAATCAAAGTAGACAACTTTGTGTGTAAATGTGGAGAACTCATTGCTAAAGCAGAATTTATATGTTCCAGTTGTATCAGGGGTCCATGTGAAACTGTCATATTGTTTGCGGGTATCTTTATAAAGAACTTGTTTATTTGAAAGCTGTGTCAATTCCATATCAACGTCATAGTTCCCTCCAGTCACAACCTGAAATATATTACATGAGAATATGAAATGAAGAAGGAGTGCTCTAGGGGGCAGTATTTTTGGAAGCATTGCTCTTATTTTTAAATGTCTGGTTGGTTTCAGTACCAGTACAATGTAACATACAGAAGAGTAGGTGTAAATATGTAAATACATGTGTACACGTGTATGTGTGTTATAACATTGTGCTAACTTTGAACAATAGGTGTGAATAAGCTTGTGCCAAGCCTCTCAAGAAAAGTGGCGATGGTGGACATGTCGAAATGCCCATGACACATCGCAATTGTAAAAACTCATCCAAAAGAATGTTTCATACAAAACATGGGTCTGATATATAGTGAACAGAACCCCACCCCCTTATGTTATCTATAGGTTAAACCAAGTGCGGAAAGAAGTTTGAAAAAAGCAAAATAAGGTAAATAAATTTTTTTGCCTTGTCATGTTTACACGATTCTCCTGGTGCGGCTAGAACACTTCGACGAAAAATATAAATTTTTCTCACCTCAAACCGGCTTATTATTGGTCAGATAATAAACCAAATCGGAGATGTTGTTCAAAATTTAGAATTGATCTGTGCTCCGCCTGTCGTGAGTGAAAAGACTGATCTTACTCGAGTCTCTAGCCGTCGTTCAATGAATTTAAGTAATATTCTAAAAATGGTTCAGTTAATATTTCATGAATTGAAATGATAACGGCTTATCTTGTTGATGAGATATTGAACGTTTTCATTTAAAATAGACGTCGTCTCGTTCTACATTTTGAAAGCATGCCTTTTTTCCGCTATAGCGATTAAGTCAAGATGGCCGCTTGTTGTAAAAATTTCCTTCAGTTTTATTTTGTGAATAAATATCCTGCGAAGTAGACCAATTTATGAATTAGGACTGTGTGTAAAGATCAATGAAGGTGAGTTTATTATGTTTACATCAATAAAAATAAGACAGCTCGGCAATTTAAAGGCAAATTCCAAGGAGGATTGGAAGCCAGGGTTCCAACTCGATATTCTTTAATCTCCACGCATGCGTCATTTGCTATTCGTGTCTGTATAATTTGTACGACTGCATGGAGAATGACCCGATACTCTCCAACAAAGCTATCACTAGGTGATTGTTTTGCAGAATATCGGTGTTGCATTCTGGGAGCCAATCCTCCTTGGGCAAATTCAAAACAACAAAGAGTGTCTTATTTATATTGTATGGCCACAGTCAGTGGCCATTGAATATGGTAAGACTGATCTAAAGGACGTCGTTATAACAAATTCAAATGCTGCGATTTTGAATATTTTTGCGCCAGATCATTTTGGTCTTATTCCATAACAAAAAAAATCAAAACACATTAGAGGTGATCGCGATATTAGAATAAACCTTTCGATAGTGCTGATTATAAATTTATAGCCAGTTCTAATGCAAGTGAAACAACATCTCAGGAAGCCAATTTTTTCTGATTCATGATGCCTAACCTGGAGTATTGTATAGATTATATCATGGAGAACTTCCCATAATCCATGGTCTGATTATAATCTTAATCATATCATACCTGAAATTCAAGGGTTGTTTTCTGTCCTTTTTCAATCTCTTCAAAAAAACACTGAATAACATTGTCAGGCAACTCGAATGTCAATTCTCCGGCCATAGTCGCGGCCCATATCACAGCAAATATAGTGATTCCTAAAGATAATTTATACATTTCTGAATCCTTGGTTGTTTAAATATAGTTCAGAATCATCAGCCCTTCCAGCAGGGTAATAATAAGTGTACAATCTGGACAAATGTAGATCACTTTACGAAATTTTGTTTTGCTAAAAGTCAATATGGCCGCGCGCATCCAACGTGGCAAATGCCCGGATGATGCAGACGATGCATTGTATAATATTGTTAGGTCAAAAGATAATAACTGAATTTTCCTTTTAATTAGATGAATTTAACATAAAACACTAATATTATATATGGATTAAGTTTTATATAACATTGATCAAAAAGGAATAGTGTTTGACCCACTTTACCAAAATGGTACTATCCAGGTCAAATTCTATTCGCAATTCATTTCCGGTGTAAAGTTTTCAAAATGAGAAAGTTTTTTAATTACTTATTAACCTGTAGTATTATTGATTCATAGCCATGTTGTCTAAAAGTCACAACATGACATATATCCAAGACTAAGTAAAGTCATAGTTTACCGAGATCGAACACAATTAGCCAGTAGAATGAAGAAACAGTAAGTTGATAATTTTTTATTCGACCTTTTTTATTTCCTCCACTCCTTCGCTATACTCTGTTAAGCATGATAAAAGGCAAGAAGTTTAGTTAGAAATAAAAGAGTTATCTCATGAATGGGACCCTTACATAGCTCCTAAAAGGTAGAAGACACTAAATGGTGTAACACTATAAGCTGAATTTTGTCCACATAGAGCATGTGCACGATACTAAAGACATGTAAAATTGAACTGTCAAAAGAACTGAAATATACTTACCAGCTCGCCTCTTCCGGAAGTTATGATACGTTATGGTGTAACTACGGTAATTAATTTTAAAATATTGAAAAATCACAAAATACAAGTTCTGAGGTATATATCGCCATTTTTAAGCGAATTAGCTCATACTATGACTATATATTCGCACCCCCATACACAGATATATATAAACTTCGTCTTCACAATAAATTGAGCTTCTTTCAAATTTCCATTTTTTGAGATAAGTGCCATTTTCTTACAATTCAAGCTGTAAAAATAGTTGGAAAGTGCTTCCCAGTTGAGGTTAATGGCTTTTATACTTACATTAATGTATGGAGTACTTAAAATGTACTTAGAATCGTATAAATAGCTCTATTCTGTGAGATTTATTTTTGTTTTTATTTTTATATTTTTCTCACCTCATAATTGAAGAGCTCCGCTGTTGATTTACATTCAGTTACACGTATTTCCTTGAAAATTCGCCATGATTGGAACAAATGATGGTTGGTTTATGTTTAATTCATTTAGTTTGTATTTGAATCTAGCTACTTAAACACAAAACATGTCTTCATGTTATGCTAAAGAGCAAAGATCGCGAATTCTAGGTGAAGCCAATTATTTTGCACAAGTCATATCCTGATTGCATCATAGTTACTTTGTACTAGTCACATCCTGATTGCATCAGCCAATTCACGTGATTTACAGTTTACACATGGTTTCAATATACATGTTATACTACTTCCGGGTAGGGTAGTGTTTTATACTTTAAAAACGAAGCCATTTCGATCAGTTTTTATAATCCTTGGTAGAACTGAGAGGTATTACAATACATATTTAAATTAATACACATGAGTGTATTTGATGAACTCTCAAAAAATAAAACCCACAATAATATCTTTTTTATTCACAATTTCATGTCATTGTTTCTAACAAGTCACCTCTTTCTCTCTTTTCTTTATTTTTGTCAACAGTCAAAATCGGAATTTAAAACTTGGTTTCTTTACAAGCTCTGCTTCTGTAAATACTAAATAACATGAAAAATGTTAAACCTTACATCCTACACTTATTTGATATGAAATAGGCGATCATTGATTACAAATTAAAATTAATTACCGTAGTTACACCATAACGTATCATAACTTCCGGTAGAGGCGAGCTGGTGAGTAATTTCTATTATTTTGACAGTTCAATTTTACATGTCTTTAGTATTGTGCACATACTCTATGTGGACAAAATTCAGCTTAAAGTGTTACACCATTTAGTGTCTTCTACCTTTTAGGAGCCATGTAAGGGTCCCATTCATGAGATAACTCTTTTATTTCTAACTAAACTTCTTGCCTTTTATCATGCTTAACAGAGTGTAGACCTAAACTAGATCTAAAGCATAGAATGCTTGATTTGAGAACACTAAAGTATGGTTATTAATAAATAAGAGGTAGGTTTTCAAACTAAATAAGACTTTTCCTTCCGAAATTTTTTGAATAGGGACTCCTAAGATTCTTATCCCAAGGATAGAATGCACCAACGAAGCAAATGTTTTGCTATGGCAAAAGGGTATAGCGTTGACACCATTCCGCTTCAATTAAGGGTAATTTCGATGTATGTGGTAACTTGGACACCTTGTTGTTTATTTGCTCACAAGATTTTTTTTCTGAAAACAAACGAATGGCGGAGAATGGAAATTCTAATTTTAACAAGTAGGTGTTGAAGTTACCTCATTTCTCATGTTGATATTTTCCCACCTGTCGGCGTTACACCCCTTTGGCCTATAGGCAAACAAATCTTTAAAAACTTGATGTGATTTTACCTGTTAAGGTTCAGCTGGAAAGTAACATTTTGGTAAATAATTGCTATACCTGCACATGTTATCTCCTGGTACAAAATTAAGTATGAAGGCATGTGTGTATTTCCTTGCTTTTTTCAGGAAAGTATCATTCCACTGTCTTCTTTTAGTAAACCTGGAAACAGGTCAATGGTAGCTGCTGTGTTGTCTGGAAACTTTGAAAGAAAATTTGGAAAAATAGAAAGTGTGAGATATCAGAATTTCCTGGAGTTCTCATTAAACTCCTACCAGATATTCTAAAAGAAAACAATGTAATGAAACTTTCCTGACACATGACTTCATACTTTGTTTTGTACCAGAAAATAACATGTGCAATTTTTTACCAAAATGTTATTTTCCAGCTGTACCTTAAGGACAGGGTGCATGTTGGGAAATTTTCTGCATTCCTCAATTGAGTCACATGTTATTTTTCAAACATGAATAACTCCTTCCCCACATTGTCTACATCTTCCAAGTTTGCACAAAGAGTGCACCTTTGTGCCTAGAAAAGCCTTGTGAGAAGGTTTGTTTTGTAAAATGTATAAAAAATGAGAAAATTCAGTGAAAAAAAATTCTGAAAATTTTCTGATTTTTTTCACTGAATTTTCTTGTTTTTTATACACTTTATCAAAACATTCTTCTCACAAGTCTTTTCTAGGCACATAAGTGCACTCTTTGTGCAAAACTGGAAGATAAAGACAATGAAGAGAAGGAGTGATTCTTGTTTGAAAAATAACATGTGACTCAATTGAGGAATGCAGAAAATTTCCCATCATGCACCCTGACCTTAATCCTGCATTTGGTACTTTCCATGGAAACACAAATTCCATGGAAAGAGAAAATGGCTAGGTAGAAATAACATGACATGCCCGCGTAATACGCATGCCTGACTGTAAGTTTGATCCAATTAGATTATTTGATACTTTGTGCATGTTACTGGTATCATTTATATCCTCAAATCTCTAGAATCTTTGGATTTCTGATATCAGATAAATAATTTAAGCAGGAATTGGGTTTCAGGCGAGTGATTACTTTCACCCATTTTGATGCAGAGTTAATGGAAATCATAAATTAAACATGGAAAATTTGAAAAGTCCCTAAAAACAACAGGCGATTTTGTGAAAACAACCAGTGAAAATTGCCTGTTGCCTGCTGCTACGTTTGTCTCTGTCTTCTCTATAACTCAAAGATATATTGTAATATTCTATTGCAATTTATGTTTCTAGGACATATCTCCACCAGGATAGTTTTGAACATGTCAGTTATCCCCCACAACTACCAAAGTCCCCTGCACCTTTTTCACCCCCTGAGGCTGATCGTAAATGTCCAATGTGTCGGGAGGAATACCAGAGTTATCTAGATTGTGATGGGAGACTTGTTGATGAACATAGGTTCAGGAAAGCAGTTTTTAGAGGTAAACATGATCATCTACTCTCAAGCTTGACTTGAGAAATACAGGGTGACACAAAAATGTAAACTTGTAATTTTGGAATAACGTTCCAAGTAAGATAATCCCCAATTAAGTCAAAAATGCAACTTTCTGAATTTAGGATTCCTATATTTGCTCTTATTTGAATAAAAAATATGAAGCAATTACAATTTGATCTTTTTTCTGTAAATGAATTTCATGTTGTTTCCTCATCAAATACAATTTTTAGAACATAATTTACCATTGGTTGTTTTAGGAGGGGTCAGTCCAGACATCAGAGTTGAAGTTTGGCAGTTTCTGTTCGGCTTATATCCATTTACATCTACAACTAGGTAATCTTTGATCATGCTTAATTATCTCTTAGAATTATTGAACAGTGTCTCGTTATTCAATGTTTCTATTACATGTATGCAGTTCTGGTGTTTTCTCAATGCTTGTTTACCATATCTTGGAAAACCAATCAAGTTTTAAATAACATGCATTTATATTTAATTCATATGAAACTACTATTATACATATTATATGTAGGCTTTTAATATTGAAATATTATACATTAAAAACGTAAAAACCAATTACAAAACTCTTTATGGATGTTTTATTATATCTTGTTGTGAATGATACATTAGTGTTTCAACCATATATTGTTCGTTTGGATTTGCTACTTTTTGGAGTTGTCGTTTCCTAGTTCATTTGTTTTTTGTATTTAGGGAGCGGTCAGTAATGCTGGCAGACTACCACGTAAAATACCAAGCACTTAAGACTAGGTGGAAACAGTTGCTATGTCAACATGTACAGTGCAATAAAGGTACAATATGTTGTCATACTTAATTGTTTTACATGAATGCTAATTTATGAATAATTATTGCTGATAGCTTATTTGATTTACAAATTACAGACATTTGGATTTGGATAGCAGCTTAAGGAGGTTTGATACAAAATACATTTATCAAATACATGCAGAAATCCATCTTTTCCTTTTTTCGATCTAATCTCCATTTCAAAGCATGGCTATTGTCAGATTTGCATGTCTACTTTTCCAGAATTAAAGGAACATTCCTTGCCAGACTATTTCTCTCCTGATATGGTAGCTACAATCATATATATACTTTATATATTTAGCAAAACACGGGGAAATGTTTTCATATGGTCAATATTGATCATTTAAAAATGTAGTACTCATTCCCAGTAAGCTGCCATCTTTTCAGATTTCTTTCAGGAAGTGATGTCATCGACTCTCACCTGTTATAACCTTGTCTATTACAGTATAGGAAAGAATTACAAAATCACTTCTAAACAAGAAGCCATTATCTTCTGAGTAAAAATATTTTCAGGAGTTGTCAACTTAGAAGTAAAGAAGAGATCATCAATAGGATTTTAATCATAGACCAAATTGAAAAAAATATTCAGCTGGTTTAGTAATTCTAATAGCTCCTTACCTAATGTTATATGCAAAGTTGAGAGTCGATGACATCACTTCCTGAGTGAACTTTTAAAAGATGGCAGCCTACTGAAATTGAGCACTACATTTTTTAGTGATCAATATTGACCATTTCAAAACATTTTTATGTTTTTTGATAAACTTGCAAAGTATGAATATGGTTATAGCTACCATATTAGGAGAGAGATGGTCTGGCAAGGAATACCCCTTTAAACTGGGAGAAGTTTAAGATTTAAATGTATTTTTCCAGAATTAAACTCAGAGAAATTTTTATCACCATGTTACCTGCAAGGCAGTGGTTACAACATAGATGATACAGCCACAGAATCCAGCCAGATCCCAACCAGTCAGAGCCTCTCATCACCAGAAATACAACAGCAGATTACCTTCATGAAGCTACAGGCAACAGTAATCATGCTTTTCCAGCCAATTTCTCACTAATTTACTTACCCTTTCCTTGAACATTTTTCTCACTAAGTACTTTAATTTATTTTCTTTGAAAGGAGTTGGGTAAACAAGGCCATTTTAAGCCCCACCTGATTTTCAAGTTTTCTCTTTATTTTATTAATCTATGTGATATATGTGTTTCAAAAATGTATGAAAATTTAGGTCAAGGTCATATTCCCCAGGTCAAGGTCAAATTAAAAAAATTCATTATTTTCTACCAAAATATACCTTTTTGGTTAAAATATCACAAATATCTGTAGGATATAGTCTCGTATCTCATACTTGAGTGGGTTTGGGGTAGATATCACCCGGGAATATATATCGTATCTGAGGAGCGGGAAGGATATATTGTATATGTCCCGCTCCAGGCCAAAAGCGGGCAGATATAATATATCCATCCCGCTCCCGGGAATTTTTCAAAAGTTTAATAAAGTTTAAAAATCAAAAGTTTTAATTTTTTAATTTTAAATTATTTTTTTTTAAGTTTAAATGTTACAATTTTATTGTATTGAACAAAAAGAATATTACGAAAATGTTAAATATAAATATCTTGTCATTTGAAAAAGGTGGAAAAGGTTATATCTACCCTAAACCCACTCAAGTATGAGATACACCAGTTATGCACGGTCGGTTTGGATACATGGAATATCCCTTGGGTTATACAATACATCTTCCCTCGGTCCCTTCGGTCCCTCGGGAAGATATATTGTATATCCCTCGGGATATTCCCTGTATCCAAAACCTCCCAGTGCATAACCCCTATATAGAGGTTGGAATTACAATATATAGTAAATTGGCAATTTGCCAATAATGAGATATTTATATTAATATATTCCGCCCTTCCCACGCAACACTGAAAGGGAACAAAAGTACCTAAAATAATGAAAATACTTTATTATTTTTAATTCATTCAAATTCAGAATGTACATTTCATGATTTGACTCGTAAAGTAATGTTTATTTTTTATGAGAAATATGTCCTGCTTCCTGTTAGCGACATAGGGTATGCTAAAAACCACACACTAAACACACACACTGTATATATTATAATTCAACATAATGATATTATTCAACATAATTTTAAAGCAACTATTCAGTTTATTATCAATCATTCTGATAATGTCTAGGAAACAGTAAGTACACATAACGGAGATAATCACTTCTTGGAGATGACCTAAAAGGTGAAAAACATCTAAAATCTCAACACATTTCATCATTGGCTTGTTAATGAAATAACAATGAAACATTTTCTGATTAGTTTTACTCATCATCACTTGAACTACCTGATTCAGATGTTGTGCACATATAACCACTTTGGCATTCTTGACTTGTGAAGCTAAATCTTCTGTAACCTTTCTCCGTTTTCTGGGAGAATTTACCTGCTTCCTACATATGCAGCATGATTAGCATTTGGCCATTTTGAATAATCAACAAAAATGGCAGGCAAAATTTTCTATAAAGTTCTAAAATTCACATCGAGCATAATAAGTCTCCATCAAAATTATTCTTTGTATGCAACAATATAACATTTATGTAACTAAAGAAGCACATATTAGAGTGGAGACTTGTTATGCTCTATGTGAAAACACTCAAAGGATTACTACCTCCAGTGAATAAAAATGTCACCCAGACTCAGCATGAAATGTCCTTTCAAAGCTTTACTTACCTCTAAACTGTACATATTGTTTAAATCAATTGTATGTATGGATCAAATAAATATATATTTACATAATCCTGGACAGATAAATCAAAAACATTCATTCATAGCTGAGTAAATTGAATTTATCAAGAGGGTTGCAAAATATGTGATTTTTTTTCCTTCTGGCCCCCACCCTCTTTGAAGGTCTCCAGACACCGTAACAATTTTTTCTAAATTTTTTTAAAAATACTACCCAAAAATATAGACTTCAATCTATCCATTTCTGATGTTTTTTTCTCCTATTCTTAAAAAAAGTTTTTTCACACTTCAATTGGGGCACTCTCTGTTGCTAGTTTACCCAACTCCTTTTTAATTTTTCTCGTAGTCACTTTACAACATTGAATTGATATTCATTGACTGATGTTTGAAGTGGTTGCACTGAGGGAAGCCTAAATACTATTTATTGAATCATATTACAAGTGAGCTTTATTATCTTAGCTTGCACTTTTTATTAAACATTTTGTGTTAATAGTTAGTCTATTGCTCCATAGGTCTATGCTGGCAGACAGAATATTGACATTGGTCAACTAAAGCCCTATATCAGAGTCATTGACAAAGATGTTCCACGCACAGATCGAGATGTACCATATTTCAGGTATGAACTCAAATGAAATCAGTAAATTTTTAAAAATACTAGTTATCACACTTTTTCGAAGTGCTACAATGTTGTCATCTTGGGCTATTGGGCAATGCATGCATGTGTCTGTCTGAGCATGCGCCACATAAGTTCAGTCACCAAAATTTTACAGATGCAAGAGTAAACTTAGTGTCAAAATCTAATTAGGTTTTGGGCATGCTCAAGGGTAAATCACTTGGTGGTTATAAAAAACTGTGATATTTTTCCTGTTTGTACAAGTTTTTGTACAAGTTTTTAAACTCATCATCTTTCTCTTAATCAAATACATGTGTCAATATAGAATGTCCTGGAACTGGCTCATGAGATCTTGACACATGCATTTTATGTATATTTCAGTGGAGACAGTAACCCCCACCTTGCAGTATTACGTGACATCTTGATTACATTTGCTGCATATCATCCCACCGTCGGCTATGCTCAAGGCATGAATGATATCTTAAGCAGGTTCTTAGTTATCTTTGATTCAGAGGTAAATATGCAATGTCAGGTCATCACAAATAAAAATGCAATATAGTTCAGAAGAGTGCAATACAAATATATGACTGTCGTCTTATACGTGTTATTCAATATTTTGTCCAAATTAATGAAATTGATGTAAATAAATCTGTCTCAATCAAAGATAGGTTGAATGTGGGATCTTGTCCAAAATTGATTTTTAATATGTAAAAAACAAGTCTTATGATTTCTCTTTCTGCAAATGTACAGGTGGAAGCTTATTGGTGCTTTAGCAGCTACTTAGAAACAATTAAACAAGAGTTCATGGAGAAAGGAATGATGAGAAAATTAGGTATGTTTAAAGCAGATATGAAATGGTATTTTTAACCTAAAGGAATCAATATAAAATTTTGATAGATGTATTTGGACATGTTTTCTAATCAGTAGTGTGAAAACTATTTCACTCTAACGATCGTTATAGCTGCTTAATAAGCAATATTCGAATTGGTTGTGACGTTATTGGCCCCCACGTGATCTCTCACTGGCCCCCACGTGATCTCTCACTGGCCCCCACGTGACCCCCATTTTGGTCCATTAGATCATGACGTCATAATGCCAAAATGTTTTGTTATTTGTTTACACAACAATCCTATGGTTGCCGTGACGTTGTAATTACTATGGAACCAATAAACCAAAGCTATAATTTGTATATGACGTTACTAATCACGTGGGGGCCAATTTGATTTATCAGTTAATTTTATTTCGTTATCTATGACCGTTAGCAGTTATCTAACATTTATTTTATAATGGCTATCGCAAGAACTCTACGGTGGGCTTACAATAGAGAAAACCGCATTTTTGTAGCTGCAAGTTGAGAAAAGCTATTTCAGTTGTCCTTTAAGCTTTCAAAATGGTTGCTCAATTCAAAATGGCAGCCATATTTTTGAAAAATGTTATCTTTGATAACTCAAATATCAATTGATGGATTTGGTTCAAACTCAATATGCTGATACCTTTGGACCAAATGGTCATAGCATTTATGTTTTAATATGTATAATAAAAACAAGTTGAAAGCCATGGTTTAACCATCATAATTATGCATTGTGAAAATTATTATTTCAGAGCTTCTTCAGCAACTTCTGATTAAACTAGACCCAGATCTTTTTAATTACTTGGACCAGTGTGAAGTTGGTGATTTAACATTATGCCACAGGTAAGCCTAAATACAAGAAGTGCATCGCTTAAATGTTCTATCTTTAAAATATAATCGCATGTGAATATTAGTACTCTGGTTACATGTAGCATTTGACATATATCTAGGAATGGAGTGACACGCACATACATGGAATTGCATTGTTTTATTTTGTATAGTTTTGTGTAGCATTGTATCATATTGTATTATATTACAATACATTCTATTGTATTGTATTTCATTTCATTGTATAGGCTTTGATTGTTTTATTGTTAGATATTGTTTTTGGTTATTATATTATTATTAATTTTTCTAAATCCTTTGACTTTAACAGGTGGTTGCTGTTAGGTTTCAAGAGAGAGTTCCCTTATGATGATTCTTTGCGTTGTTTTGAGATCTTAAGCAGCCATCATCTTGAAATGACAAGCATGGAAGCAGAGAAAGTTAGGGATGTAGAAATCAGGAAAGATTTTGAGCAGCAAGGTAATATATTATGTCACCTCTTCAACAATTTACTCATTTTTGTCTAATGTTATTCTCATTCATCTAAAAGTGAATGAACTACATTGCTTTCTAACTCAACTGGTTCACAATGAAGAACATTAACTTGCAACAATTACATTCAACTTGTACAACTATATTTCTAGGCCAATAAGATACTTATATTTCATATTTGATTTATTAATATGTTTGGTTTTCTATTATATTTATTTGTGGTGACATATTGTTATGGTCTCCTATTTTTTTGTGATGGCGTTCAGCATCTGGGACAAATGGCAGGTGGTGACATTTTGTATGTTAATGCCTTGTCTTATTTCAGAGGGTAAGGTTCGCAATGCAGAGGTGACAGTTAATACAGAATTCACATTTGACTTGTTCATGTGTGTGACAGTTTTAATGGAACACAGAGAGAAACTGTTCAGGTGTACTGATCCTGCCGAAATATTTCAAGTCATTAACAGGTAAGTAAAGTACAGTATTTTGAGTCACATTCAGGTCAGAACTGAACTAAACTGAACTTTGGCCAAATACTAAGTTTTGAAATGCCTGTAACTTTTTCAGATTTGTTAGTTGAACCATGATATTTGGTGAATTAATGTAACGTTTGATAAGCTTTAAAATGATATATGACACATACTATGGAGACATTGGTACATGTCTGCCTAGGGGGTGGGGGCCCATACTTTCGGGACACCCTGTATACTTGTATAAAATATCTTTTTTTGCTATTTTCAGTTTAACAATGTGCCTGAAACTGGAAGATGTTTTTTCAAAGTCAGAAACTATGTTTTTCAAATATTGTCGTAAATCTGTCCTGGAATGCTTTGAGGTTCTTGATGTTAATCCAGCCATGAGAAAAATTAAGAAAAAATGACGATGACGTTCATATGACCAAAATGCTCATTGCCAAAGAAAGTGCATCAATTGGAGGATAATGGAGGCTTCTCCTTCAGCAGACAATAATAGATATACCTGAGTGGGAGGATTCTCCTTTGGGAGACAATGATGGATATAATTGACTGAGATACTTCTCCTTGGGAGACAATGAATGATGGATATACCTGACTGAGATACTTCTCTTTGGGAGACAATGAATGATGGATATACCTGACTGAGATACTTCTCCTTGGGGGACTATGAATGATGGATATACCTGACTGAGATACTTCTCTTTGGGAGACAATGGATGATGGATATACCTGACTGAGATACTTCTCCTTGGGGGACAATGAATGATGGATATACCTGACTGGGAGACTTCTCCTTGGGAGACAATGAATGATGGATATACCTGACTGAGATACTTCTCTTTGGGAGACAATGGATGATGGATATACCTGACTGAGATACTTCTCCTTGGGGGACAATGAATGATGGATATACCTGACTGAGATACTTCTCTTTGGGAGACAATGGATGATGGATATACCTGACTGAGATACATCTCTTTGGGAGACAATGGATGATGGATATATACCTGACTGGGGAGACTTCTCCTTTAGGAAACATTGGGTTTAATGGATAAACAATGTTTTAATATTGTAACATTTTTAAACATGATCATCATAACATTTTCTTATGGGATGGCCATTAAATATTTTAATGAAAGTGCAATGATTAGGAAACTTGTCAGTCCAATCAAATGCTTAGTAGTGTATTGTAGAATTTGCAATTAATTGCAGAGTTTGGTAGGCACGCCAATTACAATGTGATCGGCAGTTTGAGAATTTTTCTGCCTGTTATTTCATATTTAATTACAAATTGAATTATTTTGAGAGATTTATTTACAATATGAAATGTTGAATTCATGCATGTTAATTTTTTTCCTAGCTTATTTCTTTCTTTTTCTCTTGTCTTTAATTTTGAAACATGACTGGCGCTATTAATTATTTGTCATGATTCAGTTGTCGGTTGCCATTTTTATGATTGTTTATGTTATTCAAGTCTCAGTATGCTGACTACGGGTAACCCGGCATTTAGAAGGGATGTCTACAATAATAAAGTCACCTGTAGTTAATAATAGTTAAAAATATCAAACAGTTCATTTAGACTTTAGAGAAAAATGTGGAGAAGCAATCAAGGCTTTCAAGAGATGGGTATATATGCAAACATAGAAACCTCATTATGAACATTGCCACACACCCCTTTGGTTGTTTATTTTCGCTTATATACCCATCTCTTGAAAGCCCATGATTAACATGACAATTTTCTCATAGCCACACCAGACTTTACAGTATTATTCTAATTGCCATAAGTAGGTTTATGTAGATGTATATATAAATTATTTTTCACATATTAAAACATATATACACACTGTATGACATTGTCTTGTTACTTGTTAGTCATATGCATCTTATCAACAAGGCATTAACATGGAAAATGTCACCACCTGCCATTTGTTACAGATGGCAAATGCCAATTGCCTGAAACCAACCACCGAACACTGTCCACAAAAAAGTTGGAGACTATAAAAATATGTCGCCACTTTGAACAATTTTACATTTTCATTACTATACCATCCATCTACTATACTAGTATTTGAATTATTTTCCGTATAGACTGACTGAGGGATGGCTGGATGGGGGGGGGGGGGGGGGGGTTCATTTTTCCCTAACAAACTTGTTCAATTGGATAATAATTTTGATAAATGAATGCAAGTTACGCATTGGTTTGTAAAATCACATGGTTTATTGTAGAATGAGTAATGTTGGATTACTCAGTTGATACCTAACCAAATTCAAATTTTTTAAGATATTCACTCTGAATATCCCACAAATGTTTTTACTTCAAATTATACATTTTTGAATATCAAATGTTAAAATCAAAGTTGGCCTAATGTTCTCTTACTTTGACATTATTATTATTTCTTTTTTTTTTTTTTATACTACAATTACAATATTGTAGAAAGAAAACATATAGTAGTTGCATATGCTATAATATCGTATTTATATATAATATTAGCCTTATTTAGCATAGTAGTTTTGATAAAAAGAGGAAGGGAAGGGGGGGGGGGCAGGGGAAAAGGCAAGAGGGGGACTTTTTGTGATTTTCTGCTCGATGGTTTGAGCTTGGTGAGGGTTTTTTTATGTTCCCAGTGTGTATTTTACTACGTTATGAAATGTTTGAGTTTCAACCATTGCTGTTCCATAAGTTCAGGTTTTTTTCTTCTTTGGCTGATGCTTTCTTCTATTTTTTTCTCTGTTTTTAGGAAGTTTTGCCAGCCTATCATGTTAGGTCTCCTTATTTTCCTTTTACATGTGTTTAGGAATATCTTTTGTTTCAGGAATAGATGTTCGTTTTCTGTTTTTCCATCTCCGAAAAAGAATTTCTCAATTGTGGGTACATCTTCGTCAAGTTGGTTGAAAGATGTTATTAGGAAGTCTTGTACGGCTTCACAATGGTATATTCCATGTTCTAAAGTATCTATGTCACTACGGCATAGACTGCATATATCAGTGTTATAGCCGTCTATGTTCATTTGTTTTAGTTGTTATAGTATAGTATCCGGAAGAATATTTTTATTTGGAAATATTTCTCTTTTGTCCTGAGAATATTTTTTCTATTTTTGTGGATTTTGGCCCACATCAATGGATTTTGTAGTTGCAGTTTGTTTTGCCAATTATCTTCCATCTTCTTTGGCAGTTTCACAGCATTGTTCTTTTTTAGTAAAATCTTGTAAACTTCTTTATTGTTTGTCTTTTTTAACCATTCTGTGTTAATTGTGACATTCGGATTCTCGGTTTCTTCTTCATTTTCTCTCGGGTGTCTTAATTTTCTTTTCCAATTTTGGGGGATGGCTGTAATTATACTGTTATATTTCAAAGTATTCCTTTGGTTCATAACAATATCATATTTATGGCCTAATTCTGCTGCTGTGAGGAATCGATTTTCGTCCTGGATGTCTTTTATAAATTCAATACCTTTTTGTATCCATACTTCGTTTTTCATGATTTCTCCATTGATTTTTATCTGTTCATTGTGCCATAATGATTGTTGCTCTGGGTTTCTCGTATCCGGAATTGTTTGATATTTTAGACTGCACCAATTTTTGTAGACTGTCTTCAGGTACCTTAAGTCTAAAACATTTATTTTGTCACTATTTTTTGAAAGGTTCAAAGCCCATACTTCTCCCTGCGTCAGGTTCTTCAGGTAGTAGTTCCATATCTTCTTCCATTTGCCACTATATGTAGGGTCTATATATTTCTTTATCCATTTGATGCTTAGGTTTTTTACGTATGATTGTAAGTGGAGCATGTTTAGGCCACCTCTCTCTTGTTCGTTCATCATTATCTTTCTTCCAATTTTGTCTGGCTTCTCATCCCATATAAAGTTGAAAAACATGTTTTCTATTTCTTTGATAAAGTCATCTGTTGGTGTGAGCACTGTACATAGATATGTCAGCTGAGATACGAGGAGTGATTTTATCATTATTATTTTTCCTAGAGGTGTGATGTTTCTACTTTTCCATGCTCTAATAAGTCCTTGAATTTTGTTTCTTTTCTCTGGGAAATTTAAACTGTTTATGTCTCTTCCATCTAAAGGAATGGTTATACCAAGGACTTTTATATCTTTTTCTTGGTATTTTAGCCCTGATGCCATGCTTTCATCTCTTACTTGTTGCTGTAATAGTGCATTTTCTCTGCCTATCACGGCTTCTTCGGTTTTGTGGAGATTGATGTTCAGTCCTGAGATTTCTCCAAAATTTCTGAACTTTTTAATTACTTTTTTTGCGGATGCAATATTTCTTACAAAGACTGATGTATCATCGGCGTATTGTGAAATCTTTACTTCTCCATCTGGTATTTGTATGCCTTCAATTTCTTCATCTCTTCTGATTGATTCACTCAATATTTCGGCACATAGAATAAATAAATACGGACTTAGGGGGCATCCCTGTCGTACTCCTCTGTTCAGGTTAAAGTAGCGTGATGTATACCCGTTATTTATTACTGAGCTTTTTGCATCGTTGTATATGGTTTCGATCCATTTTCTAAAGTCTGGTCCAAAATTGAAGTAATCTAGCGTCCGATCAATAAATTTCCATTCCACTGTGTCAAAAGCTTTTTCAAAGTCGATGAAAAGCATTATGCCAGATTCATTGTTTGATTTTAGGTGTTCCATACAGTCTATTATGAGTCTAATATTCTCTGATATATTTCTCCCTTTAATAAAACCTGTTTGGTCTTCGTTAATTATTTTTGTTAAATGGGCTTTCATTCTTTCTGCTAGACATCCTGTAATTATTTTGTAGTCTGTGTTTAGCAATGATATTGGTCGCCAATTTAATAGGCGTAGAATGTCACGGTCTTTTTTAGGTAGTTGGGTTATAATGCTTCTTTTTTGTTCGGTTGATAATTCTTCTTTATCCAATGCTTCCTTGTAGCTTTTTACCAGTATTGGCACAACTGGTTCTTGGAAACATCTATAAAATTCGCTTGTTAAGCCGTCGCTACCTGGTGACTTCCCGGTCTTCAGGGACTTGATCTGTGTTGTTATTTCTTCTAAGGTAATATAGCCCTCGCAGCTCTGTTTTTCCTCTTCTGTGAGACTGGTGATTGATTTTATAGCAGGGAAGAATACTTTACTTACTTACTTTGACATTATTGTATCCATGGCGACAACAACTGATGAAGTAATTCTTAACTTTTTGAAGTTTCTCTTAATGACCCTGAGATTATTGTTTATCATCAACTTAATCAATAAAGAACAAACAATAAGGTAGAATTATTATATTTATTGCACAATATACTCTTACATATAATTTATATATATACATGTACACTCTAATGCACTTCTTCAAATATTGTGCACATAAATTCACTCAATTTCCTCAACTGTAAAGTTCACATTTGTAATGTAATGTATTCTAATCTAAACAATCAGAGTTCAGAGAATACAGTATTGCAACAATACAACTTTTTTAAAGCAGCCAGAACTCATGAGGCTTCTGAAGTGTAACTTTATGTACAGGCTTTTGTAAAAAATAGAAAATTCCCAAACATCATTATTGACTCCTCACTTCCACTTATGGGAGCAGATCCTTGTTTGTAAGTTAAATCTGACAAAGTCTAAACGTTGTGAGTAGCCAATTATTTACCCCTGGGTTACCTTTTACAATAAGAACCACCCCAATTTTATTGACTCCTAACTTCCACTTAGGGGAGCAGACCCAGGTTTATAAATTAAATCTGACAAAGTCTAAAGGTTGTGAGTAGCCAATTATTCACCCCTGGGTTACCTTTAACAATAAGAACCACCCCAATTTTATTGACTCCTAACTTCCACTTATGGGAGCAGATCCATGTTTATAAGTTAGATCTGACAAAGTCTAAACGTTGTGAGTAGCCAATTATTTACCCCTGGGTTACCTTTTACAATAAGAACCACCCCATTTTTAGCTCTGATGAGGAAAAACAAATACAAAATTTTGATAGTGAAAAAGTCATGGGCTAAAATGGGAGTTTGCATATGAAATTAAACCGAGTTACTTATAATTCTGTATGGCAAGGTGTTTTTTGATCAACCAAATCAGATAATTTCAATTATTTCTTGTTAGGAGAATGTACAGGGTGTCCAATAAATAAGGTGAAAGAAACGATAGGTTTTTTAATGTTGCACCGATGCGAATCTACCATATTCTTAAAATATATTATTACTCAGTCTCTATCAAATCCAGGTGGCGCTGCTAGTCTCAACTGAAAGTTCTCATTGGACAGAATGCTGCTCCCACTCCGACTTTGTTTTGAACTTTTACTGGCTGCTGTGTCCATTTTCGATAGTTCATGCAAAACAACCAACTGAAAACCAAAATTAACAATGCCAACTGAATAAAGGAATCTCAACTTCTCATTTTACTAAATACATTTATTGGAATTTTAAGTGTTAAATCTTGGGTTTTAACAAGTAGCAGAACACACTCATCTGTAAACTGAAATAGGACTTCCAGATTATGGCTAACCAAAATGTAAAAAATTAAAAAAGGATGATCTTTTCCGCAACTATTAACAAAATTTTGATCTTTAACAGATATTCTAAGTGAGTCTCAATAAGTCGAGGAATTGAACAACATCATGCAATTGTGAGACCCCTAATACATACCCTGGATCTTGTTTTTTGACTTTTCTTGAGGTTATCTATGGCCTGGATCTGCTGAGGGTTTATATAAACCTGTAATAAAAGTTACAATTAATAAACATTGATTGTATCCCTATTTATACATTATTCTTGGATGATTTCCCAGTTGTTTCAATGTCAAGTTTCTTTTTATTATTCCATAGTAACTGATATTCATAGGATATCTGATGACAAAAATGTGACTGTGTGAAAAATATCATATTTTGGCAAACATACACCAAACCATCAAATAAGGCTTTTAAAACAAGATGCTGTATCCGATGGATACCAGAATTTTGTGACTTGAACAATTGCTAATCAGTAGAGCATGTAGTTCGGAAAGTTTGATTTGAATCATTTTAGCACTCTTTGACCATGATGTAAAGAGAAATTTATAAGCTTTACTCATGATATGATACTCGTATATGCTCCCTTGTGCATTCATGGATAAAAATCATAAACATAGGATATCCTTTATATATCCTATAAAAAAGTTCCTATCAAAAATTACTACTTGCCTCTTTTTTAGTTTTATCAGGCTTTATAGATGGCGCTTGCTGTGTTCCATCCTTGGATGATAACCTTTGTATACGTGAGCTTGGTGCCACACCCCTCTTACTGCTATTACACAGATAACAGACCCATTGTTCTTCTCCATCAACCATGTGACTTGACCCAGTGCTCTGCAGGCAAGGAATGTGATATGCATGACTGCATCTGAAAATCAATGTATTTAATTTACACAATTTATGCAAATAAAACCTGGATGTATTAAATAGTATACAAATAGTGACTGCCATTGAGGGCAATAGTGTAAATTATTTCCCCGAGGGAATATCCTCTACAATGTACTATTCCCGAAGCCGCAGGCTGAGGGAATAGTATATTGTAGAGGATATTCCCAAGGGGAAATCATTTACACTATTGCTCGAAATTAGGCAGTCACTATTTGTTTTATTATATACCCTATACTGACTCTTGTCCCGTTTCCTCTGCGAAGGCCAAAAAGGCTTAGAAAGCCCCCTCCCCGGGTCCATTGTTAGCATTATAAGCTGTGACGTCATCAGATGCTCAACAGAAATTTTTGCCTCTGAGACTCTCACTTGACAAATTCAATCGCGTTTAACACGCGGAATAGATTATCATAACACTTGAAATTACACAGAAGTATTGAGCTTAGGGAACTTTATACACGTTGCTTATATTGTATCGTTCACGCACGTCTGTCATGGTGAACGGAGTTGATTTGTGTTTGTGCTCATCCTCCATTTTTCTGTTTTTCGTCTGCGCAGTGATGATGAGCAGACGTTTCCAAGGGTAATAGAGCTTGCAATTGTGACGTCAGCGGGCAATAGTTCAAATGTATATTCCCGCTGACGTCACATTTGAGGGAATATAACTTTCCGAGGGAAATAGTAAATCTATTTCGGAACACGTGACTAGGTATTGACCAATCAGGATTAGTGTTACATATTGGGTATATAATAATACTAAATATGTGAATTGTGAAATGGGCAACCATCTATTAAAATGTCATCATCATCTCGCTTCACTTGCTTTCTTTTTTTCAATGAAACCAAACTGAACTGTTGGTTGGCTATCACAAAAACACATGTTTCGATCTTTAATGCTGCCCTTCACCTATGGAGATTACAAAAATAAATCAAAATTCTTTGATGAGAATATTACCCCAAGTGGGTTTGTTGTATGTGACAAGGCTTTAGTTCATTTTTAATTTTGCCTATGTATATATATCTTTATCAAAAATATAATCACTTGTATCAATCAATCAAAAAATGTTTGGCATACACACAAATAGAAATCGTTCCAAGTACACTGAACTATGAAAATGTTATAAAAAACATGTAGAGGTCCAAGAAAATTCAGTTTGTACTGTCATAATTTTGGCAAACATGTCCTGTATGCAAGAAGCGTATCAAAATCAAGTGCAAAAACAGTCTGGTATCCATTTGGGTGAAAGAGAGGAGATTGATAAGACAGAGCAAAATCTGAGCATTTCGAAAATGTTGAACAAGATCATATTAGGAGGATTGGCACTCGTGTGTCTGGTGAATATCGCAGGTTCTGCACCAGTTGACGAATATGGGTATGTACCTCAAATGTTACCATTCGATAGCAATAGTGTGATATCCTATATTATAATATCACAGTACATGAATTACAACTATATTATTCTCTCAAAATCATACAGGTAGTACATGATCTTTGATTTCCATTTATACATCATCAAAATCATTACAAAGCTACATATTTGCAGTATGGGTTATCACTTTTGTAGCCAAGACAACACTTTTTTATTACCAATGATGCAAGATGGGAATATGCAATCAAGATACATTTATTGTACTGTATTAGAAAAGTACACTGAATAAATAATGTAATATCCATCAATACCAAATTCTAATCAATGCACACATACAATATAGCCCAAATATTTCGACCCAAAATAAAATTATATACAATGTAGTAGATATATTTTTTGTTTATACAATCATACCTAAATAATGTTTCATAATGGTGTCACCAACTTTGATTTTTACTTAATCTGAAAAACATTTTACGATTCCATGTTAGGGAATTGGAGAGTATGTGATTTAGAAACTGCACAAGAGGATTTTTGAATTTTTGCAGACTACACTGAATAATTTGATAATTTAAATTAAGTTGATTTGAATTCGTATTTATATGGAGAAAACAGATATTTTAAAAAATTCTACAAAAAAACAGACCACAGTGGCTTGGCTCAAGTTGCGAGCCGGTCATGTGTGAAGTCTAGCTCACTGATTTCAGATTGGAACGTTTTCAACTTGCCCAGCATTAAACTACAATATGTCAGCTTGATTCCCATATGAACTAATGACTTCTGGCAAACGTTCTGGCAAATCGAGATAATTAATGCATTTTAATGCCAAAGTATTTCAACATATACTTAATATCCCAGGCCCAAGAACACGGTCCAGTTCCCCCTCCCCCACTCACCATATACTAAAGGTCCAGGGCTTAATATAGATTATATGTTTTATATGTTAGTCGCTTTATATTGTAATCTACAGTCTTTTGCTTTGTTATTCTTAGGGAGAATCTCGATGACATTGAATCGGTCCTTGAGACTGAAGACCGTGAGGTGAACGAGGATGAGATTGAATCGGTCCTTGAGACTGAATACCGTGAGGTGAACGAGGATGAATTGGAATTTGAGATAAGGGTAAGTCAGGTCCACAAATTGCCACTTGTATACATTAAACAACATTTCCTTTGTTGTCATGGCCAATTTGAAAAAAATGTGTAAAATAACCACATTAAAATTACTTTACAATAATTGTCACTTTTTCTGAAGATATATACAGAAAAAAGTAACCATATAAATCACCCCCTCTCACAAAAGTTTTATAACTTTTGCGAAATCATTTACCTTTTTGGCAAAGCTTTTTAAATGATAATCTGAAGTGACAGGTTTAAATGAAGTGACAGGTTTAAATGAAGTGACAGGTTTAAATGAAGTGACATGTTTAAATGAAGTGACAGGTTTAAATGAAGTGACAGGTTTAAATGAAGTGACAGGTTTAAATGAAGTGACAGGTTTAAATGAAGTGACAGGTTTAAATGAAATGACAGGTTTAAATGCACATGCTCATATTGAGATATGCATAGCAATACAGTTATTTGATGATAAAACCAGGCCTTTTAAAAAATACTGTTAAAATCATGCCCATTTGAGTCCTAAATCACTCTAATTTTGTCTTGCAGGGTACTGCATGGCGCTTTTTCAAGGCAAAAGAGTCTTTTAAAGCCACCAAATCAGGGGACCTCAAGTTCAAGAAGAATGCAGCAATTTTGCTCCAACTGGATTATCTCCCTAGAAAAAACATGAAAGTAAAAGGCTATAAAAGGATTAACAATGGTAAGAAATGGATCAGTGGTAAAGTTAACACCAAATATTTGAACTACTATGGGAAGAGTATTATGGAAAGAAAATACAGCGAACCAAGTAACGGAAAGATTAAGCTACTTGCCTAATTCATCCAGCTGCGTCGAACAGATGTGTTATCTAAGAAACATAACTCATTGAACTGAGGAAAAAACAGATTAAGCTACCGACTAATTTTTCCAGCTGTATTAAATATAATATGTAATAGAAACTCATTCAACAAACCAAAGGACAGATAAATTGAGCTAGGTCTTAATTTATTCAGTTGTGCTCAATGTTGATTTCACTTCATTTTTCACCAATAATGTTATGTAAATCGTTAAAATTATTAAAAACTATCAACTGGAAAAAAACTTTATTTGGTTGGTATATCATAGAACTTAATTAATTTGAATTGAAAAATTTCCACTTACTCAGTAACACATCAGTTTTCTGTAATTTAATTACTTGGAGAAATAAATGACCATATGAAAATGTGTATTAACTATAGTTCATAGTTTGTATTTCAGAAGTTAAAAGTGTGTATTTCAAAGCTAATAACAGTATTGAGTATTTCAGGAGTGAAAAGAGAGTATTACAGAAGTTAGTAACTGCATATTTCAGGAGTTTATAATAAGGGTGTATTGCAGAAGTTCTTGACTGCATAATTCAGAAATCAAAAGCATGTTTTTCAGAAGTTAAAAAAACAATGCTGAGAAAGCTAACTCTAAGTGCTCATGACCCCTTCCCCTCAAAAGGTTCCACCCTTATGAAATGTCATCTTTGCAATGATACATTGTATGGATTCATCGAGCAGTTTGCAGTGTATTATTACCAGAAAAAGCCCTATAGACTTCTTTACAGCAGTGCAGCCTGTATTGCTTTAAAATGGTACCATAGTATTGTGAACTTGTTGACAGATAGCCAAAAACCATGTGGGCCAAAAATCATTTAGCATCCAAACTCAAATTTATTTTCTATTTTCCACCCTTGTAACTTCTATCATAAAATCATAAAAATACATTTGAGCCAGGCCACAGGAAAAGGGGTCTTATCACAAATTTTTTCAATATTCTGATTTTTTGTTTATCTTAAAAATTAGTACCATGGGTACTGGGCTCACATGGTAACAGAAAAAAACGGATATATTTTTTTGCTGATTTTTTGTTACAAAATTATTTCAAGCCATCTGTCTCTCAGTCAATTAAAATGGCTGAAAAAAAAACGGATATAATTTTTTGCCAATAATTTGTAACAAAATTATTTCATACAACTACTCTTTACAGTGACATGGCTTTTTGCAATGCAAGACACCTGAAATTATTTGTAAAGCTAGGAAATGGGCCAAAATTGAATTTCGCGAGACAAAAATGGCGACCATTTTGAAATCAGGCAAGCTTTTGAACCAGGAGTCATAGGGGATTTTTTTGTATTGATGTTGAACAAAAATAACTTGAAACTGGAATCCTATCGACAGAGGTTTGAAGCAAACGGTCCAAAAGAGGATTTCGCGAGACAGATGGACAAATCAATGTTAACTAAAATGGCTGAAAATAAAAAAAAAGGATATAGTATTTTGTCGATTTTTTGTAACAAAATTATTTCATACAACTACCTTTTACAGTGACATGGCTTTTTACAATGCAGGACAGCTGAAATTATTTGTAAAGCTAGGAACTTGGCAAAAAGTGAATTTCGCGAAACAAGAATGGCAACCATTTTGAAAATAGGCGAGCTTTTGAACCAAGAGTCATAGGAGAGTTTTTTGTATTGATGTTGAACAAAATTAACTTAAAATGGGTATCCTATCGACAGAGGGTTTAAGGTAAATGGTCCAAAAGTGGATTTTGCGAGACAAATGGACAAATCAATGTTAACTAAAATGGCTGAAAATAAATAAATGGATATAATTTTTCGCTGATTTTTCGTAACAAAATTATTTCATACATCTACTCTTTACATTGACATGGATTTTTACAATGTAGGACACTTGAAATTATTTGCAAAGCTAGGAAATGGGTCAAAAGTGAATTTCGCGAGACAAAAATGGCGGCCATTTTGAAAATAGGCAAGCTTTTGAACCAGGAGTCATAGGGGAGTTTTCTGAATTGATGTTGAACAGAAATAACTTAAAACAGGAATCCTATCGACAGAGGTTTTAAAACGTGCCACAGAAAGTGGATTTCGCGAGTCAGATAGACAAATCAATGTTAACTAAAATGGCTGAAAATAAAAAAATGGATACAATTTTTCGCTGATTTTTTGTAACAAAATTATTTCATATATCTACCCTTTACATTGACATGAATTTTTACAATGTAGGACACCTGAAATTATTTGTAAAGCTAGGAAATGGGTCAAAAGTGAATTTCGCGATACAAAAGTGACGGCCATTTTAAAAATAGCCGAGCTTTTGAACCAAGAGTCATAGGAGAGTTTTTTGTATTGATGTTGAACAAAAATAACTTAAAATGGGAATCCTATCGACAGAGGGTTTAAGGTAAATGGTCCAAAAGTGAATTTTGCGAGACAGATGGACAAATCAATGTTAACTAAAGTGGCTGAAAATAAATAAATGGATATAATTTTTCGCTGATTTTTTGTAACAAAATTATTTCATACATCTACTCTTTACTTTGCAATGGATTTCTACAATGTAGGACACTTGAAATTATTTGTAAAGCTAGGAAATGGGTCAAAAGTGAATTTCGCGAGACAAAAATGGCGGCCATTTTGAAAATAGGCGAGCTTTTGAACCAGGAGTCATAGGGGAGTTTTCTGAATTCATGTTGAACAGAAATAACTTAAAACAGGAATCCTATCGACAGAGGTTTTAAAACGTGCCACTGTTATTGACAGAAAGTGGATTTCGCGAGTCAGATAGACAAATCAATGTTAACTAAAATGGCTGAAAATAAAAAAATGGAAACAATTTTTCGCTGATTTTTTGTAACAAAATTATTTCATATATCTAATCTTTACATTGACATGGATTTTTACAATGTAGGACACCTGAAATTATTTGTAAAGCTAGGGAATGGGCCAAAAGTCAATTTCGCGAGACAAAAGTGACCGCCATTTTGAAAATAGGCGAGCTTTTGAACCAGGAGTCATAGGGGGGTTTTCTGTATTGATGTTGAACAGAAATACCTTAAAACAGGAATCCTATCGACAGAGGTTAGCTAGGAAATGGGCTAAAAGTGAATTTCGCGAGACAAAAGTGACGGCCATTTTGAAAATAGGCGAGCTTTTAAACCAGGAGTCATAGGGGGGTTTTCTATATTGATGTTGAACAGAAATAACTTAAAACAGGAATCCTATCGACAGAGGTTTTAAAACGTGCCACTATTGTTGACGGACAGACGGACGGACGGACGGACAGACGGACGGACGGACAGACAGACGGACAAGTGAGTGATTGCAAAAGCTCACCATGTGAGCTAATAAAAAGCACAAAAAGACCTTTCAATTGAGCCATGGCTTGTGTTTTAACAATTTTCCCTTGCATATATGGACCAAAAAGTCAGATTTGAATTTAGCATATTTTCATCTTAATCTTGGGCACATTTTTGGCTCTGTAGCACAATTTAAATTTTTGTGATAAGACCAGTTTTCCTATGGCCAGGCTCATTTAATAACATTTTGCTGTAAGACAAAGAATGACAATTGAATTCTGGGATTTTCCCCCTCTGCTGTAATACACTTACTTGAATACAATAGCTGTGTCATTGTCTGTACTGGCAGAGAATGTTTTATTACATAGGCTGCAACTATTACTCCTAGCTATGTAGCCTCGTGTAGCGACTCTCGTCAGACTGGTCAACTGGGCATGCAGGTCGTGGTTTAGCAGACTATTACACGTGTTTAACAATGTCTGAAATATGATATATCTTTTATTTGATAGAACTCAATCTGTTACTTTCACAGGCTGAAGAGATGAGATTTTTTACAGTAACACTAATCCCCCAAAGAGAAATGGGCCAAATATGGAAAATGGACCTCAATTTTAGAGATATGGCCCAGATTTTCAAAATGGCCTGGTTTAAAAAAGAGGCCAAATATTTAGTTTGGTCTAAACAATTTCATCTACTCCTTGTCAATGTACAAAGTGTTCACAAAGCTCTATTTTATATATACCTTTTCATAGTTATAGGTTTCCAACATTCCTAATATGAGGTCCTTGATCTCTTCAAACTTTCCTGTACTGTATGTTGGGTCCTGCATGATTTTCTGGAGTATTGCTGGTAGCGAGATATACCCCGACATACTGTTTAGCACATGACGTGTCATCTCTTTAAACTCTGGAAAAAATTAATGATAATAATAAAATACATGGAAATGTTTTTTCATTCCTATGTTTTTATTAAGTTTTCTGAATGTTGAGATTATGATTAGATATAAATATCATATAGTATGCAACATGAGTATAATTTGATATACTTAGAATTCACAAATATCCAGAGTTACTTGTCTTGTCTTCGTTAGCCCAGCTTTCTACATTTCAGTGATATGAGACTTAAATTCTTAATCAAATTCAAAAGCATCTCCACTTTAAATCTGAAGCCATTATTTAACATGTGGTTTTATGCTATTCACCTTGTAGACAGTCTTTGTCCACCAGATCTTTTACCTTTCTGTATGGGGCCATCATGGTCTCAAGGAGAGGGAACCATAGCGACTACAACATGAAAAAAGAATACCGTGTACAAATAACAGACAGGCGATCATTAACAAATATTTTGTAAAGTTTAGAATTCCTAATCCAATTGTTGTTTACTATGGATGATGTCATAGTGAGATAACAATGGTGTTATGAATTTTTTACTTTACGAAGTTCCTGTTAAACAACTTAAGTAGAAGGATTTCAAAAATAATATCATTTATTACAACTTTTCAAATATACCTCTCTGTCTTGCTCATTCATTTTGCCAGTGTTCCGCTGACAGAGTTGGATAAGAACTGTTAAGGATGACTGCACACTGGACATACTGATTGGAATATCTATAATAAAGACAAACCCCTATCAAGAATACATATGCATTGGCCATGTGTTAAATCAAAAATGACTGCTTTCAAATTTACCTAATATCCCCAAAATCAAATCAGTGCGAGATTTACAAAAACATCCATGAAAATTTCAAATCAAACCATCCATCTGTTTGTCTGGAATAAACAGACAAGTGACAACCCATCCCTTTAATATGATTAATAAAAACTGTGCATCAAAAAGAGTTACCATCATTTGTGGTGTTGTTCTTAGCCTGCTCAATTAGCAGACCAGTAAGGCCATCTAGCTTATGCTGTAGGTTCTGTAAAATAAGACATAAATTCATAGGTATAATTCTTAATAGTATAGGGACCTAGCACAGGGGAGCTTTTCACTGCCATAACATTCAAAGAAGGTCAGTCATCTAGTCTATGGCTTATAACATAAAGTCTATTATTCTAAGGAGAGATTTAAAGGCCCAATGTATTTTAGCTCTATAAAGGTCCCATGTATTTCACTTCTGTAAAGGCCTGATGCGTTTCACCTCTTTAAAGGCCCCATGCATTTTATTTCTGACATAATGTTAAATGCTTAGCATATTTTACCTCCAGTACAATGTTAAAGGCCCCGTGTATTTTACCTCTAGTATAATGTTGAAGGCCCCATGTATGTCCCCAGCCTTCTCCAATAGATAGGCTGTTGCATCGGTAACCTGTCTCCTTCGACATATCTGAAAATAAAATAAAACGTGTTCAAAGTCCAAACATATTCATCTAAATAATAAACCAAGGCGATTCCCTTTAATTATGAATCAAATTTAAACCAATATGAATTATTGATATTTTGATGGCAAGATTTCTTGAAGTGCCACACGCATACCCTCCCATCATCACAATAAAGCACTTATCAAGTGCCATACATACGTCTATGTCACCAACACTTAAAATTGTAAAGATATTCAAGAAAACAATGATTAGGTCTTTCACAATCTTGAGGAAAACAATGGTACAAACAATTCATGTCTAAGAAGTATATATGAAAAAAGGTACACAACTATACATACATTGAGTGTTTCTTCAAGCCTATAACCCTCTGCCCCCTTCAGGTACGTATATACACTATTAGGTTCATGTTGACACATTAGGTCTATGAATCGCTCGTGAATGTTTGCCTCCAATGTAATTTGCTTTTCGCTATATATTGCACTTCCGTTCGACTCCCTGTAAAATTAAAATAATAAATAATAGAAATTCATATGTATATTCATGTTTCAGATATAAGTATATCATCAAAAGATAACTCAAAGTTACATTGAAGTGGATAGCTGTGGATATATGACCTTGAGGCAGGCACAAAATCCAATTGTATGTATGGTAACTGAATTTGACTGTAAAAAATAAAACTCTATCACTTACTTGTATTCAAAGACCCCATGCAGAAACTTATATAAAAGCTCTGGGTTGGGCTCCAGCTTACCGATGGTGTCCGAGAGAGGGTTGTTAAAACCTACAAGGACCAACTGCGCTGTTTTCCCAGCATCTATACCCACTAGTTCCTACAATCATATCAAACTTACTTTATATTTTATCCTATAGAATAATTGTGAATTGTTTCTCACAACAATTGAACCCACTGAATCAGGAAATATAACATTTGCTTTGGCAAAGATTAGCTTAGATATAGAGCTTCATGCATGAGTAACTATGCAAGATGTCCATTCACACTGGTGAATCCAGAAGCTAACAAGGGGGGCAAACTTTGAGTCAGGAAAAAACCAAAAAGGCCTTAAAAAGCCAAATTATGCCCAAAAGGCCCATATTTTGAGGCCTAACAATTTTTTGGGCCATGAAATTTTTTTAATGGGCCCACAAAAAGGGGGGCCATGGGCCCCGCAAGCTTATCCCCCTGGATCCGCCAGTGATATATAAACCTTTATCATGAAAATAGCTCCAATGAGATTTAATAAAATATAACACATACCTGTATATGGCTGCAGGCCTCAATTTCAACACTTTGCTTCTCAGCTGCAGTGTATTCAGCGCTCAACATTACAACTTCAATGTAATTGAATGCTGCGTCCTAAAGTAATGAATTTCAAATAAGGATATAGCTCATGAATTGAATGGCCCCGAAGAACTTAACAATATTACCAATTTTTGAATATTAACCAAGGTTGTTTAAAAGTTTTAAGAACTACTGAAAGTTTCCAATGGGTGCAAAACTGAATACAGTAATGGTATCGTTAGTTAGCAATATCCTATTACTTTCTATAATACACATGTAACATCGTAGGTGAAGAGATTGTAAGAATTTCATCCTAGAAATTGATATGTATTTCTAGTACAAAGGAATTAAAAAAATGAGACTCTTCACGCCATCCCAAAAAATGTGTCTATACCTGCCTGGCTGGATCATTCCAGTAACAGGAGAGTATTTTGTCAAATCTTCGTTGTTTTTGGTAAAGCAGCTCACATACACGGAAACTGAAATACATACATCATAGGTACTTTAGCATTACAATACACAGAAGAAGACATCAGAGGTCACCCAGAGCTAGAGGACAGTGGCATTTACATATACATGTACAACAATTCGCACCATTCTAGCAACTGACAATTAACCATAATGGCATTCACAGGCATGTCAACTTAGGAACACCAAAAAGGAGTGACTTACAAATGTTGGGGGTAGGGACAAAAGCAAATGCGTGACATATACGCAATTAGAGTGAAAATTCATAACGAACTGTGTTCGTTTTTTCAGCCTTCGTTTTTTGATGTTTAGCCATTCGTTTTTTTGAAATATACCTGCATTAAGTGGTTACCATTAGCAGTTAGGCAGCTGTGAGTGTCGAATCCCGGTCATAATGCTTACTGGGTCAAAATTTAAATTTACTCCATCTCCATCTGATCCCCCTAATACCATTAAGTCAAAAACTTACAATTTGGCATTCTCAGCAAGTGTGAGAAGTCTCTTTTCATCAAACTGTTGAAAGCCACCTGCATGAAGTAGTTCAAGGAGAGCCTGCTCCCTTTCTTCATGTCTTGAACCTTCACCTGGCTTCGACAAAAACTCTAGCACCTAAAAATGACAGCTTTGTTACACAAATGGACAACCTATAGTACTACAGCATGAACATCACACACCGAAAGTGACATAGCATGTCATAATACATACAATCACTTGAACAATGCTGAAATATTTTGGCAAATAAATTTCATTGAAATTTGTATTCGTATAAGCGTACTTGATGGAATAAACAGAAGTTAGAAAATAGAAGCAGGGAGATATTTCTCAACAACCACATTCACATGCACAATAACATCTTTACAATGAGATACAATTAACTTTTTTAAATAAATTACAAATTACAACAGTAAACTTTACTGTGCCAAAGATTTTCACTTCATTATAATGCCACTAATGACTGGGCTCCTTATGCGCTTAAGTGAACTAATGGTAATAAAATCTGTTCGTAATAAAAAAACGTTTACCTGTTCAAACAGCAGTCTGTTTACCATGATCTTGTTCTCATGTCTGGCCATGAGACGCGCCAGGAAAGTAAACAACATTCCAATTTGGGATGGCTGCAAAAAATATTTATATTCAGGATAAGATTCCCATACTCCCATCAAACTCTGAGAAAATCATCTGATACTTCCTCACAAGTGTGAGTTTTGTTATATTTGCGATTCTGATTCTTAATAATTACTAAATCACCAGTTTTACCTCATCCCATAGACAATGACCTTCTCTGATTTAGAAAGGTATGCCATCATTGTATACAGCGAATGAAGACTTGATAAGTAGCAGAGTGAGAATGCTTCTTTTAAACTTTTAACAAATAACACTCACAGTGAATCCTACACTTTCTACCATGATCTGGAGTAAGATATCAACTATTCGTTGTCTTTGATTCACTCTGAAAAAACAAACAAACAAACATGGACATGTTGCTAAAATGCATGACTCTAGGCTATACATTATTACCGATACAATCCATGTTTAGATTTATGGGATTCTAATTTATTTTCATAATAGATTTTCAGATTTTCTAAGCCTGGCCTTAAAGGGGAAAATAAACATACCGTATTCACCGTAATAAGCGCCCTAATAAGCGCTTTTTAAATTGAAATTCCCATTGTAACCCATTACAAAGAGCGCCCATATATGAGAGAAGTATAAAATCCCCGGGAATTTCATGTATGGGAATTTTTCTTGTGAAAAATGCCTTATTTGCAACAAAAGTGAAAGCATATTTTTACAATAATGATATGTATTGATATTGGAGAGAATATGGTAAAGATCGCTAAAATAAAGAATCCAACTATATTGACAGTGATCGAAGAACTCCCCTGAGCAGAGCCCCTCCAGGTCAAGGAATTGTTTCTCGCGATTATCTTCAATATAATTTTTTTAATTTGATGACAGATCATCATTTTTTATGTAAAAGTTATGAAAAAGTCGAGAAATCTTAAAAAGAAACAAGAAAGTTCACGACCTTGAGATGACCTTGACGATCGCTAAGTGGGTAAAATGTCGAAACAAATCTCTGAAACGTGATCATTTCCTTCATTCATTATGGACTATTTGAGATAATTAGCTTACCTTATTAACTTAGTATGATGTGGGAAGCACCCACTGATAGATGATTCATCGAGGGGATGCATTAGGGGTGGACCCTTAATACGGCGATTACGGTACATGTATTTTGGCTTCTGGACTTCTGGATTCAAATGTTAATACTTTCTGTCAAAATGTATATGATGAAAAGCTTTAGATTTACAATAGTCTGATTTTGGCCAACTAAACAAAAATTACTGGACAGAAGTGCACAAATAGAAACATATGGATGAAAGGAAAAACAGACATGCAAAATGAGTGGTTGATTCCACAGGCTCACCATGTAAGCTAAAGGAGTTCCCTTACCCATCTTCTGTGTTAAATTCCTCCTCTTCAAAGGCCAAAGCAAGAACATTGAGGAACTCTCTTGTGTCAAACTGTAGTAAGCTCTTCAAATGTGGATAAACTGGTTCATCTAAAATAAAAAATAGATGAATGTTATTTTGATAAAAAGTGTTAAAGGTCAAAGGTCAGAAATAGAATACTTAAACTTAAATTAAAGCAAATTGCAACTAATGATACAAACAAGTTTTTACACAAGACTGCTCATTTAAATTATTTTCTCTTGTGTAAGGCTTTCTATGATTCAATATTTCTCACATTAAACACAATCTCATGCGTGTTATACCTGAATCTGGATTCTTAGTGTGGAGACATGTGATAGATTTAGTGACATCTTCCTTGACGACAGATACGAGATGTTCGGGGATATCTCCAAGTGGGTAGGCGCGACCAGCTAGACAGCAACTGATGTACACCAATAATTTATTTCCAAGTTTAATCTGCTCATCTGCAATCGTGGAAAAAAATATGACATAAGCAATTTCATTTTCTTACCATTTTTGAGTAGGCAAAGAAAATCTGAAAATGATGATGTCACTGTTTGCTGTTTGTGTATGACAGACAGTTTTAAGGAGTATACTAGTTATACTTTATTGCATTGTAGTAGTAACAAACTAAATCAAGTTAACAACAAAACAAAACACAGTTATAAAGATCATCTAGTTTTGAACATTCTTGTAAAACTCAGAATGTTATTCTTAACAAAACTCAATCATCCTTTTCTCTAGTGATTCAAATTATGAACAGATTGATATTCATTATTTTCCTTTTTTTTCAAATAAACAATTTGCTACGTAGATGAATAAATAGATGACAGCACATGTGTTGATAGGGCTAGATATACAGCTATAACAACTGGAAAAACTTATAAATCACTTTTCTTGATTTTGTTGACGTGTGCATTGTGAATGAACAATAAAACTGTGATCCTTGAGAGAACAAATCAATTTAAAAAGATTTTTAACATGGTGTCAATGGGATTTTAAGTCAACTGTCTTCAGAAAAGTTAAATATCCTTGGAAATTGAATAATATGAAATGACTATAAATCAAAGTTCTTCTAGTAGAAAATTATGCACAGAATTCAATCATTGTCATACCTAGTTGCTCACAAAATTATGATTTCAATCTTAGTCTGATTTGAGAACTTGTAGATGATTTTGAAAAAGAAAATTGGTCAATTTGAAGCATGTTGAAGAAGACCTTTTTGACCTTGAGAAGGTTTATTGATGGTGACATAAAACAAAAGAAACTGTAAATCCTTGAAAGAAAATAACTCCTCTTTCATTTCATGATGTGAATGGACTGACCTGTTAATTGCTTGCCAGTTATAACTGCAGCTCTTAAAAGTCTGAGTAATTCTTCTAGAGGTGTTGTGTAGTCATTCATCCCCTTGTTGTAGACGTACAATATGGCGTCATATAAACCATGGCTCCAACATAATATGACAACCTGCCAGAAGACATACTTAGTGAGAAAACAACTCATCCTATCAAACAAACAGTGATAAATATCACACTCTTTTGGGAAATTCAAAATGGCCACCAAGTAATTTTACCAGCATGCCTGAGACTTTATCAGATCTTGCATCTGTAAAAATTGCAAATTGAACAGATAAGTTGTTTTCCTAAAATTTGATGACAAGATTTATGCGGTACTCGGGTACCTGCCTACCAACGCTACCAGCAGCACAAGATGACAATATACATGTACCTGTAACACTTTGAAAGTGTGATAAAAGGACTACAAATTTCCATAATCATTTCTGTTGGTTTGATACTAGATATAGTAAGGTTTCAACCATCTCAAATGCATATTCTGTACTAAATATAGTATTCTATGCACAGTTTGAATGTAAGATGAAACAAATTTGATATGAGCTAAAGCACAGAATTACCTCTATTTTGAAGAGTCTAGAAAAAACCTACCTGGTGAATATCAAGGCTTGCTATATCTAGGTGCACAATACAGGCCTCAACATCCTGTAGCATTCCTTTCTGTTCATAGTGATTCACAAAATCCTTCATTACGACAGGGGTGATGAACACAAGTCGGTCACTTAAGATATATGGCTCGAGGCACTCAAGGAAGAATCCATGTGCTATCATATCTGCACTGAACTTTTCATAGATTTCTCCAAATAATATATCCCTGGTAAAAACAAATGAATTATCTTTTTTAATTACAGTTAATAACAACAAGAAAAAGGATGATGACTAGGCGTTTTAATTTTTCTTTAATATTAAAATAGCAAAAAGATGTCAAAAGGAAAAAAATCTTAGAATCCTTTAACTTAAAGGCAGAATCAGATCTGGTACAAGAAAAAATACAGATTTTGGGATGGCCAGGTTGTTAGGTACTACTAAACATAACGAATTTGTAAAGGCCTTAGTGTATCATACAATAAAATCTGTCTAATCTAAACGCTACACCAAAAATGTTCTGATTGGCATTTTGAGATTTTTGACAAAGCAGATTAAAATTGGACAGAAAAAAGTATTCAGATTGACAGGTGTTTGGTTATACAAGTTTTATTGTACAAGGACTAATGTACTTACATTCTATCCAAATTGAGACAATAGTCCACACAGACAGGCACCACATCCAGATAATGGGATTCAAGCTCCTGAATGCTACCTAGAATATTAAATAAATTCACCACAGTCATATTGTATTTCAACATGGCATTAAAAAGTAGAATTCGAAAGGCTTAATAGACAGATGTGTCATTAATGCTCAAGAGTGTATCGTATATTAAGAATAGACCTTTCCAATAAATCCTGAACCCTTTTAGTGAACCAATGAACTTAGGGTATATTAACTAGATTTATGATCCCATACTTTGTAGATAGTAAAACTGTGGGAAGATTTGGAAAATTAGCAGCAAGTTTATCCTTTTTCTCCCCTAGAACTGTAATAATCTAATACTGAAATGGAGGCCTCTGAGGGTCCAAGTGGTTTAAAGAGCATTATTAGCCTCAAGTTTTTACCTCTTTGTGGGCAGTCAGTTGTCATCGAACGATCCACAAAGTCATGAAGTAGCTGCAACATCTATAAAATAAAATAAAAAACTGAAAAAAGTGGCTATTTCCTGTTTTTCTAAATTATCATGGGGGGCTATTTAAAGATTCCTCTAAACATCCCAATGTGAAAGATTATATTTGTGAAAAACTGAATATTTGTAATCTCCTCTTCTTTCCTTTAATGTGAAAAGGATGACTACAAGGTCCAGGATTCAGCTTTAATACTGAGCTCTCCATTAAAGGAGGTGCAATTGTGACATGGTTATGATGTCCACAAATCCAACATGGCAGGGGTACAATGAGAATACATGGATCAATGATCTGCTTGTACTGAATTCATAAGATTTACTGAATTATCATTTCAAGCCTTCAAAAGAAAGAAAAGAAATTCTGTTTTTTTAAATCTATTATTTGGAAATAACATAAACATTGAGGATTTTCCTACCTTCTCTGCCACAACCACTTTGCGCCTCTGTATGTTTCCCGCTAGGCCCACAACAGCTCTAGCTTTGTTCGAGTAGAACGACTGTGCCAGGGCAAGGGCATCTTTGTAGTTGTTTTGTTTCACAAGAACGTTGATTCTCTGCAACAGAAATACTTGAAGTTCTTCAATGATTCGAGCAAAAGACAGAAAAGATTGTACCTGAGAATGACTCGTCACATTTCCCCATCATCGAATAAAGATGTGTTAGAACAAATTCATAGTTGACCATGACTGTTTCACACTTTTCTCTCAAATATCTGAATGAACTGACTGATCTTTTAACATACCTCATCCCATTTCCTCATTGTCATAACATGGACAGACTTTGTTCCAAGGAGTATCAGCTGGCTTGTATAGCTCACTATAGAATTGTAGCATGCCCTCTCACCAGCGTATGCCTATATACAAAGAAACAGAGAACCATGATGTGCAGCTTTTAATAAAAACACATTTACACAATCTATTTGTTCAATTTCATGAGTATTTTGTACAAAATATTCAATTCTGAGAATTAATGAGTTAAATGAATACAAATATAAAATTGCTCTGTAATGTTATCATTTCTCAATCAAAACAATACATAAGCAGTTGTCACTTACCAATGCTTTGCTTACATTTCCCCCTGTAGCTAGTGACTTAAAGTATGAGGTCCCATAGACCAGTTCTATGCCAGATATGTCTATTACCTGTAATACAGAGTAATATACAGAGTTCAATGGTGAACAGTATGTTACGAAACTAATCTGTCACAAAAATCTGTCACAAAACAAAAAGTGTTAATGACATCTATAGATGCACTGATCTCCAAAGGATTTTTTCTCAAGTGGGTGCAAAATTCACATTTTCACAATTCCGACTGAAATTGGTCAAAATATATGTATGACTATTTTTCTTGATTTTTCTCATTGTCAAGTGGGTGCAAATGGATTTTCAGGTGGGTCCAAGCCTATTTTCAAAATCTCAGGTGAGCGCTGCGCTTTAATGCTGGGGAGATCACTGAGATGACATCGGATATGACATCAAGTCAGATACACTGTGGTACATCCACAATCTCTACTATCTCTTGAAAAAAGTAGGTGCAAGCAAAGGGGAGTCTGGAGAATCAGGATGATATAATCTGTTTTATCCTATAACCTTTTTATTTACAATGTTATATAACAAAATCACTGGGGTGCTATGGTTATCTCTCTTTCTTACAAACAAAATGTGGTGTTGTATATATGTTGCTATGGTTACCTCTATTTCTTCCTCTGTGCGCACATCAATAACATGAACTTTCTCCAAAGAGTCAATTGTGACTAATGTACGAGAGTTCATCCACTGAAATGGAAAATGACAATATTTTATAAAGACGGTGATAAGCTACCAAACACTACTTCTCAAAGTTCCAACCCTTTTACCTAATTACAATCCAATCTTTGATGTAGCAAAGCACCTTAGTGTCAAGGTATTTACAAAGGGGAAAAAAAGAAATATATCCCGAAATTAACCCATGTTACAAAATCAGACCCTTTTTAACATTTAACATTGTATAGTCTGTATGATATCTGGTTCATGTAATATGCAAATAAGAAAATTAATAATATTGGGATATTCCATGATATCTGAATAGTGTGTCCATCAATATTAAACCACTGTCTATTTGATCAAACCTGGTATTTATTCAATACAAATGCTATTAAGCCTGGATCATGGTCACTCCACATCATTAACCTTAAAACTTACATCATAATAGTGGACAGTGATTTAAAAAGTATAAAACCCTCATCGCTACGTTTTAATCAACTTAGTCAAGCAGAAGTTGAATAAAGCCTAAATGGGGATTTATACAATTCATTATACACGTGTACAAACCATGATACTTACACTGATAGACATTAGTTTATAACTAAGTTCCATTTTCTGCAGTGGGCACATCTTAATATCCTCTGGGCTGTTACATACAACCTGAAAATCATATAGATTTCTTCCTAAGAAAGATATCACAACTTATCACAATTTTAGAATTTTGTTGTTGATATTTTTATGTTCATTCTTAAAAAGGTTTCTACCTATGTCAGACATATGGAGGGAAAATAGGTATATTCATTGTAACATACAAATTTTTACTTACTATATTTACTTCATATTGAAGTTGGGTCATTAAGTTATTGTAATATAACCAGATAACGGCAACTCCACGGAGTAGCAAATCCCAACGAACAAAATATCAATTACCGAATTCCAATCAATTATACTCATAACTTTGGTTAAAATTGAAAAAATTAGATTTTAGAATTGCGAATTCCTGCAAAGCAGCCATTATGAATTTTCTGAGGTACAAATCTGAAAAATAATACCATAATTGTGATCTACTCCAAAAATCCTTCAATTTGAGTATAATATAGCCATACTTTGAAGGGATCGAAAAATTATTGCGAAATCGTACATTAGACGGCCATTTTGAATTTTACGAGGCTCGAATCAGAAAAAAGATACAATATTTGCAATCTACTCTTAATTGCCTTTCATTTGAGTATAATAAAGCTATACTTCAGAAAGATCTAAAAATTAGCGAAAATTTCTGTTTTCCTGACCCCCCATACACGGCCCCTGGGGGTCAGGATGAAAAACACGGAATATATGTGAAATAGATAAATGTTGTGAATATACTACCAAAATTTCAAACAATAATATTAATTACTTTGGTTTAGAATGAAAAATGAAAAATTTATGATTTTTGCAAAAAAGTCCCGTCATTTTTAAAGCGGCGGCCATCTTGAAAAATTTTTTTTTGCGTAAAACTATTCACCAATATACATCTTTCCACTAAATATGAAGAAAATCCGTCTACTAGTATTCGAGTTATCTTCCGGACGGACAGACGGACGGACGGACTGACGGACGGACTGACTGACGGACGTCATTTGTTGTTGCTGCATTGGTTTCTTCATTCATTTTCTTCTTTCTTTGTCTTGATTTGATTGCGATGTTACTTATCTTTCTTCAGGGTCCACAGACTTGAGACTGCGCATAGGTGGGTTAAACGTTTTGATCCGGCCGGAAAACTCTCCCCTTCCCCTTACTGTTGGTCTTATGCTGATTTGTCATCTTAGTTTACCCTCTTTGCGGAGAAGATACTGTTTCATATTAATTTGTTAATGTTCTCTTCTCTCATTAATTTTCCAGTCCTTCATGATGATATTCTCCTGCATATTGTATTTTTTTTTTTTTTTTTTTTTTTTCATGTTATCAATTTATTTCTAATATAAACATTTACATTCAATTACAAATTCTAATTGCCAAGGTTTTGCAACATTAGCGGCAATTTAATATATATATTATATATACATGTAGATATTAGATAATGAAATAAGATAAATTTGTTAAGGTTATTTCAAAATACCTGAAGGTTATCCCATGGGCCAGGATGTTAACGGAACTTGAAAAATAATTCGGTCATTGCAGAAAAAAGGACTTGTCAAATTACTACTAGATAGATAATAAAACAAGGCTTGTATGTATATAATAGCTAACAATATGAATTAAAGCTTCATTCATAGTAGCATCCAGGTTAGTGCTTCCAAACAGTAAAAATTGTAATTTGTCATTCAAGTTGTAGTTATTGAACAAGTCACTTAAATTGTAAGTACGAAGGCCTGCAATGAGGTTGTTTCTTTCATTCTGTAGCAGTGGGCATTTTAAAAGAAAATGCATGGTTGTCATTGGTACACCACAATGGCACAAAGGATCAGTAATGTCTTTGAAGTTGTGAGCATAAAGGTGTGATTTTAATAAGAGGCCAGATCTAAGTCTATTAAGTTTTATTTCGAGATGTCTGGGTAAGGTCACATTTAATTTAGTAGTTGGGATTAAAGAGACAGGGCTCTTGTACTCTCGCACTAATCTTTTAAAACTAGAAATAGGTTGACCCCTTCTAGTATCAGGTGGCAAATCATTCCACAATGTTATAGCCTGAAATATGGTACTTCTTTTAGAAGACATGCTCAGTCGAGTTGGAAGAGAATAATCTCTTTGATCTCTTAAATTACGGGCAGGTATATGCTCATATTTACGAAGTAAATCACAAATAAACGGGGGGTTGATATTATATCTGCATTTAAAAACAAACATTTTTAGGTGCTCGATTCTTCTAACGGATAAGGATTTCCAATTCAAAGAATTTAAGACTTTAATAGTATTGGATCCATGAATAGAACCAGATACCAAACAGGCTGCTCGGTAGTGGAGTCTGTCAAGAGCTTGTAGTTTCAAATTTGAAGCCTTATTGTAAATTACATCGCAATAATCAAAATGTGGCATGATATACGTATTATATATTATCTCTAAGTGCATACTATTTAAAAGTTTGCTCAATTTTTTCATTGGTCTTAGGAGTGAGGTAACTCTTTTTATAATCTGATCAATATGGTAATTGAAGTTAAGGTGTTTGTCAAGATTAAGCCCTAGATGTTTGTGATTCTCACAACTGGGAATAACATCTGCACCTAATCTCAATGGTGGTGGGTCAAAAGGAATATTTCTTCTAGAGAAAATGATGTCGGCGCTTTTTTGAGCTTTGAATTGCATCTTCCAGGTGGCAGCCCAGAGAGCAAGCTTGTCCAAATCACTTTGAATTGGTTGATGAATATTGAAGAACACTGTATTTTTGTCATATGGGCAATAAATGGAAGTATCATCGGCAAAAATGAACGATTTTGATAGTAATTCATCTGGCAAATCATTTATATAAATTAGAAATAGTAACGGTCCAAGGACAGACCCTTGTGGCACTCCAGCATTGATGGTATAGTTCACAGACTGCTCATTAGGTTCATTTTGATTGTTAATATTATTTGAAGACCATTTTGAAAGGGTGCCATTCACGCGGACTCTTACTCTTCTGTTATCTAAGTATGAGGACATTAAATTGATAAATTTATCATTACAACCGTATCCCTTAAGTTTTGAAATTAATAGTTTATGTGGAACTAAATCAAAAGCTGATGTTAAATCCAAAAATACTGATCTTACATTCTTGTTATCATCAATGTGTTCATGAATATCATGAACTATATTAATAAGCTGATTGACAGTACTATGTTTGGGTAAGAACCCACTCTGAAGCCTATAAATAAGATCATGTTGCACGAGGTGAGAATATAGTCTTTTATGAATTATAGATTCCAAGATTTTAGAGATTGAACTAAGAAGAGTAACTGGTCTGTAATTAGTAACTAGTGCTCTGTCTCCCTTTTTAAATATTGGAACTATTGTACCCTCTTTCCAAATGTCAGGAAAAATGTTGTCTTGAAAAATTCTGTTAAATAGTAATGAAAGTGGATCTGCTATAGAATGTGCACATAATTTGAGCATTTTATTGGATATCTCATCAGGACCATGTGCTTTAGTGACATCAATATCATTAATTAGATGTAAAATCTCTTCAGGTGAGGTTGACATCTCAGCTAGGATACTTTGAGTTCTTGGTCTAAAAAAGGGAATATAATTGTCATTGATATTTACAATGTTCTTATTGACAAAATATTTGCATATTGTATTTAGTACATATCCATTTATTTCTTGTTATAGCTTTCTTAGTATACGAATTTAGTATGTTGCTCCTGTAGCCTTGACATTGTAGTTTATTTCCCAGGCTGGTAACTCTGTTTGTTGCATCTTCCAGTTGACTGCAGATTCTTGAAATCCTTATTATTTGTGATATAAATATTCCATAAGATTGGTTTCTAGGAATATTTCCAGATAGATCAGGATATGAGACTATTTGGAAATTGAAGTTTTCCCTTTTGTCGTATAGTTTTGTAGTGATTTGTTTATTTACTATTTTCATTTGTATGTCCAGAAAAGTTGTTTCTGTATCCTTCTCATTTTCCTTGTTTAACACTAGTTCTTCAGGATAGATGTTCTTCATATCAGTCTCCATTTCTCCGTCGTTGTTTATAGTACATAAATCATCGATGAATCTTGTAGTTTTAGCATATTTTAGTACTTTGGAGTAGTCTTCCCTATACATTTTCTCAATGGCTTGAAATTCATAACTGTATAAGTATAGGTTTGCCATATATGGCGCCGGATCGATTCCCATCGGTATTCCAATTTTCTGTCTTAGAATTGATTTCCCTGCTTTAAAGTAGGCTGTATCCACGATGAAATCCACTAGATCATTGCACTCTCCTTTGGTATATGCCTTTTTATTATCCGCCTTTCCACCCCATTTGGCTTCATCTCCACCTACTGTTATCTTTTGGTTAGTTCCTCCTCTGAAGGCTTTATCTATCACCCATTTCAGTTTTTCCTTTATGTCAGTTAGATTAATCTTTGTGTATAGTGTAGAGAAATCATACGAGGCTATGTTTCTTGCCGCGTTCCTTAAATTTACACTTTTAATGTTATCTAACATATTTTGGTTATTGTCACTGATCCACATCCTATTGGCACCTGTATAATCCTTAATCTTCTCACAGTATCTTTTGTTAGTATATTGCACTAGTTTAAGAATTTTGGTCAGTTTTTTGGCAGCTGGTTTTACAGAACTTTTCTTTGAGCCAATGATATATCTAAATTTAATTGGCTGTTTATGCATTTTAATTGTAAGATGAATCCTTGGTATAATATTTTGTTCTTCTCCCGGTTCAATCTTGAATTTTGTTTTCATTGTCTCTTTGATTTCCTCCACTATATCTTGTTCTCCTTTATCTTCTACCCTTTGATAGGTGTCACTCCCAATTTCCTCTTTAATCTTCTTTATGTAGTATTGTTTGCACATAAACCCAATATTATTTGCTGCCTTATCAATAGGTACAATGGCATATTTTTCCTTGAGTTGATTGAGTTCTTCCATAGCATTATGGTCCTTTAGTGTCTGCTTTGGATTTTTAATATGTCTAAATTTTGTATTTTGAAGTAACTCAATTTTTTGTTTAACCTTTTCCATTACAGTATTTTTCCATTCATTTAAGTATACTTTTGAAACTTTTTCATTTTTTGTCCAACTTATTGCAAATTCATCTATTCCTTTCTTTATTTCTTCTTTTGCTTTCCTGAAGTTAATGTTTCGTTTTTCTCTATAGCCAGGACCTTTACTAAATAGCTTTCTCAATTTTGAATTTTGTATAATCTTCAGATTTCCTGTTATGACGTGACCATGGTCTTCATCCTTAAATTCAGATGTATTACAATCACATTCTCCTGTATTGTTGCCTTCGTCGATACTTTCTGTAATCTCACTATAGTTGAACAGTTTATTCCTTATTGGCTTTGTGTATATATAGACAATTCCTGGTGGTTCCTTATTTTTGATACTTGAAGGTATTGTCTTGATCACTTCTTCATCTCTTAAGATATTTGCAATGTTGATTACTTCTACTGCTTTGTTTTCAAATAGTATTTTACAGAATTTTGTTGGTTTCTTTTTCCTATTCTTGGTCTTTAGTTCATTGTTTTTCCTAAGTTTTGATTGGATTCTGTCCTCCAGAGTAATTTTAAGTCGTGTGTGTAGTCTATCATTATCTTCTATATTTATCATTCCAAGTTTTTTCAATTCTGTCTTCTTCATTTGTGGGACTAATCTCAAGATTGTTTTCATACCTGCCAGTACATTTCCATTGCTTTGTTCCACTATAGTTTCAAATACGTCATTGGCTTTTAATGCCTTTTCTTTACGGTGGTTTCCCTTTGGCCTTTTGTTTTTCTTCTTCCGTTTGTTATCAAAGTCGTTGTATATTACATCATCTTCTGTTCTTTGCTGAAGATTTTTCTCCAGTCTGTTGTTTAATCAATATGGGTGTACACATTGGAATTTCTTTATCCAGTATGACTCCTTGTCCTCTCTTTGTTTTTGGTCTGCTGCCTTTTTGATTTCATATTTTTTACTTAGTTTGCTAATTTTCTTATCCTCTATTGGAACTCTTTCAATTATTTGTACATTATATTCTGAATCTTTACATGGGCCTTCATTGAAGTGACGGAGGGCTTCACTATATCCCTACCGAACTTCGTTCGTTGGGATAATAAGTATATGGTAAAATATTAATACCCTCCTCTTACCTGATAGAAGTGAATGGTCTGATCTCTGCCAAAAGCAAGTACAGGGTCAATGACTCTGTCCTTCTGTGAGACCTGAATGATCACAAATTGCCACGCCAACAGGGGAAGGGTAGCGGGATCTCCCTGAAGAACAAAAAGGCAGAGTCAACGAAACAAACATATTAAGACAAAGATAGGCTGTTAAGTAGGACTGGTACAATTGGAATGGTTTTTGGAACTTGCTTTGGGTTCAGGACTTCAGGAAGTTAGAACTGCCGGTAAAAATTAAATACTGGCTGGATTATCAGTTCATTGATATTCAGAAACCCCAACCCCAGTATCCAAGGTTTGTACACCCTTACATACATTACAATAAAATACAATGCAAAAACTGCAATCAAATCTTTTTCAGTATAGAAACACCTGTATTGTATTACTGCATCCTATTACCTTTAATGGATGGGCAAACATGACCTTGAGTTGTGGTCTAAGTCTCACGAGGAGAACCTTAGAGAAGCTTGCCATTGCCAAGATCATGACGTCTTTCATAGGGTGGTCTTTCACTGTGTAGTTCATATGTAACGGTTCCACGATACATACTTCCCCACGACTCCCTGAGAACAGGCATTTAGACTCACACTTCCTGACTCCAATCAATCGTCTGAAATTATAGGATGTTTCGTTTACTATTTATCTTTCATGAGTGGTCCTTTACTGTGTATAGTTCATATGTAGCCATTGCACCATGACGAAAATACTTGTTCTACAAGTTAAAGATAGCCCGTTATGAATTTGCCGGCAATGCCAGGCATTAAAACAGGTGTTTACAGGTATTTTGTTATCAATAAACCAAATGTGTTAATTACAACATGTTATAAAACAGATTCTTGAACCCAATCAATTAACAACATGAGCAATTTTATATATTTTTAATTTAGGGGAATTAAGAGTTTTTGAAATAAACAAGAATTATATGGTGCCCAGGCAGACGAACGCATGTCAATAATACATAAAAAATTGTTTTGATGTATACTGTTATTTATAAAACATGAGCAATTTTATATATTTTTAATTTAGGGAAATTAACAGTTTTTAAAGTAATCAAAATTTGTGTGGCACCCACCCGTCCACCTGTCTAGACAGAAGCACACAAGAATCAGTTACATAAAGATGTATTTTGTTGTTAAAACAAATAATTAAAAAATAAGCCAAATGTGTCAATTACAACATGTTATAAAACAGATTCTTGAACTCAATCAATTAACAACATCAGCAATTTTATATATTTTTAATTTAGGGGAATTAACAGTTTTTGAAATAAACAAAATATATGTGGCACCCAAAAAACCCACCCACTCACCCACCCACCCACCTGTCTAGATGAGATATATAAAATATTGAGATGTATTTTGTTATCAAATTAATTCGAAAATAAAGCAAATGTGTTTGTTACAACATGAAAAAACAGATTTTTGGTGACTGAGGTATGTGGGTTCATTAAAGATGCAGTTCTAAAATAATATTCAACTCAACATTTTTATTTTAATTGTGAGTTAGAGCCTTTCTTATTGAGGTGACCAAAATAACTTAAAGTATTATGCTCGTATATACTTACTTCATTTCTAGCTCAAACACAGAGCCCCCACTGTCGCAACAAATTGCAATCGTCAAATCGTCAGTGAACTGAAATACAAAAACAATTAATGGAAAACACTTAATATACTCAATTTCATTGGTCCTAAGTGAAGTAAGCTTCTTCTAAACAACTACTACAGACATCTCCAAAATTGGAGAATTTTAAAGAAAACAGCTTCACTTAGGATGACTAGAGCTCAAAAAATATTTTTTTAGCACAACTTACTTCTTTCCTTCCAGTATGAATTGTTAAATATCTGACAATCAAAGCAGATCAAAGCACTCTATTCCTTGCATCCTTTCTTACATAATGTTGCATTTTGCATTTTGGAACCTGAGGCCCAAATAGGATCTAGTTCATGTATGCATTTTCCAACTTATCAAATATATCAATAGTATCTTATATTTCTGATACATTGCAAGGTACCTTAACATGCAAGACAGCAGTACCAGGGGGATGAGCATCTGTTATTGTGCGTATAAGTTTACCATTGGTCAAGTCCCACATTGTGATCTGAAACAAATATATATATATTAATATATTAATAATAAACATAGCAAGATACATTGTCCATGTATACTTTATAAAATTGTGAATATACTATACCTGTGTGTAATTGAATCAATTTATGTAGATATACTAAAAGAAAATGTGTTAATAAAATTGATTCACCCAGGCAGTCCCCTTCCTAGGATTTAATATGTAAACGCAATTTTGACACTAATTGGGATTATCAACAATGTCTTCAAAATGAGTGATGCAAAAAAAGGTAATCAAAAGCTGGTGTTAAAAGAGAGGACTAAAGAGTAATTAGAGTACCCATTTAAAATATTGATGATTTTAATTAAGGAATAAATAATGAAAGGCCATTCAATATGGTGAAATTCAGCATGAGTTGGACAGAATGTTGTACAAAGCACAAACTGATGATCAATGCTGAGTATAGTCTATATAAGTCTAAGTCTAACCCATAAACTCAAACAAATTGTAAAACCGTGATTTGATGAGAAGGGTGTATACCTGTCCTTTAGCAAAGCCACATAGCAGTCTTGTGCAGTCCCTATTAAAGCTAAGTGCAGACACTGCCCCATATTGAGCCCCCACTGCAGTGCTACCTAAGCACCACTTCAACACCTGCTTGGGATCTACAACACACAACATATATCTGTAACACAGGGTGGAGTAACAGGAATCTATAAATGTTCAAATACAGGTATATTAGTCTAAAGTACATGTACATTGTAGCTAATAGACAATTGAACAAAGACAATTGAAGACAATTATATTTTTCCATTGTTTCTCTAACCATGGGTTTTCAAGGTCTGACCAAAAATGAAATATATTCATAGATGTTTTATGCATTGCAATTTACTTACCAAAAACAAGTACAAGCCCATGGGATGTTCCAACACTAATCATAGAATTGACTGCCTAAAACAAAGAAAAACACTGGAGTACCATTACCTGTAAAGTTGTTATATAACTTTATAGCCTTGATCAAAGGATTTTAGTTTACTTTTATATTCTTTGAGTATTTCCCTTGTGGTTTCTTCCAGAGATTCAACCAAAACATTATTTTGCAAAATAAATATAATTTCACAGATCAACAGCTAGGGCAGTTCAGATGGATTAAGGAAATACTAAACAGCAAAAATAAAAGAAAAGATATCCTTTAATAATCAAAAAATTAATTTGCTTTAAAAACTTATATAAAATGCTGGAATATTAAATAGCTACTTACAATGGCAGTGGGCATTCCTGCATTCACTCTGTCCTGAAAGCAAAAGAAGCAGGAAATATAATCAAATGTTGAAACAGTAAACGACTAGAAACAAGGCATTAAGATGCAAAATGTCAATAACTGCCACTTGTTACAGACACTGACCACTGAACACCAACCATTGAACATCAACCACCGTCCACAAAAAAGTTGAAGACTATAACTCTCCTTTGAAAATTATGCAGCACTGCCATTGTACAGATGAATTAATATTAATATGTGTTTATAGTACACCCTCAGTACTAAACATAGAGTCAATAGAACAATGGAAATGGAAATTTTCTGTATAGAGAGGCTCAATCATACATTTTTTACTGAAATATAAAATATAAGATCATTCAGGAGAAATTGACTTACAGCAGCTGACATGAGCTGTGACGAGATTCCTTTTAGAATAACATGACGTAGAATAGACCCATGTATAGCATAGGACTCATCCTTCTTTCTACTGAAAAACAGAATGGTTAAAATACAAATCTTTATGTACAAGTACCTTTTTATTGATGGGACTCTTTATGTTCTTCTTACTTTTATTCTCAACATAAAGAAGAAAGAGAATTTTATCCACTTTTTTTATTGATGGGACCCAGTTTTATTCCTCAATCATTTTACTTTAACAAAGAGGCTTATTAGAGTATTTATTTTAATTCTCAATTATTTTACTTTAATAAAGAGGTTTATCAGAGTATGTTTAACAGATTTCATTTTGTAGCCTGATTATATTCATGAAGATATGATACTCATTTTCCTCATATTTCAAAGAGGTTATGTCTCAAGAATTTGGGCTAAATTTTCTGCTAAAGACATTTCTGTTTCCTTCACTGATAAGCCTCTCTACCAACACATGTTAAATAAACAAGACTCAGCTTTTTAATGAAAGACTTAAACTTACTTTAGTTTGATCTTGCTGTCAGATAGAATTCCCTCCTGACTGGACATTGATGAAGAGTCCCCAGCATCATTATTAAATATGTCAACATCATCTTCATCATCAAACGCTGACTCAGCATCAGGCTAAAAATGATCAATCCCTATGGTAGTATACATTGCTTTAAGAATGGGTTCTTAAAAATTTGTCAGTACATTGTAATATTGCAAGTCCGCCAAATGTTCAAAAAAAACAAATCTGCCAAAATAAGTCGTGCCAAATTAAGTATAAGTACACTATATTAAATAAACAATCCATTGTACAAAATCAAAATTTTTTTGGATACATTAATACATCCTCTTATCCACTACAGGCCTATACCTTCTTTTGGGATCAACATGTTTTCTAGGTTTAAAAAACCAAGTTCAGTGACACCAATTTGTTTGCTAATTATATCAATACACTTTATTAGTACAGTGTAGTTATTTTTAGGCCTCCAAAGATATCAGTATAACTGAACCTAAAACAATGTTACTTACCTCATTTAGGATGCTTTCAAGGGTAGGGGCATTTCCTATAGGAGGAATATCTATTCCAAGCTGTAATTAATAAACATTGTTTTATAGGATACATTAAGAAGAGGAAGCAAACATAGTTCTTAATAGACCTTGAAATACTGTAACCTCTTCAACACACCACTTTCGGTTCATATAAATCTTTTACAAATATCTGGTACTAAAGACATCCGTGTAATGTTTTGGTATTCCTTTCATTTTTCTTTATTTGTATGTACATGTATATGTAAAATGACAAGTTCTAATATTGCTGATTTACCCAAGAAACTAGTGCTTTATTTTATTTTATTGTTCAAGGCTTGTTTGGGAATTATCATTCATCGATTTTGCTTCTCTTTGCTACATAATCAATGTTTTTTCTTCGTGTGCAGTACAGACTCCTATTAGAGGATATTTTGTACTTTGTACCACCAAACAACAATGATATGTGATTGACAGGATATTTCATGTCTTAGATATATTACAGATACTCCTAAATAGTAACTTTAGAAAAACCAAGTTTAAATACAGGGTGAGCCAAATAAGTAGCCTTGCCCATGTCGGTATTTTTTTACTTATCTGATCTTGAATTATTACCACCTTGTACAATCCAATACATCTCCGCTGACATTATTCTAAGTTATTCAGCGGTTTCAAGATTTCTATAATACCTGTCAGGGCAATCGCAAAACCTTATTGATTGACAAGATCGCATGGACACGACACGACGTGTGACTTCAGGCTGATTGATCAATCAAAATGTTATCAGATCGATCTGCATATAAAACAAAGCAAACTATCCGTCCAAATTCAATGATCTGACCGAGTGTTTCTTTAGAGATTCAATATATATTATGTATAAATGTACATTGGAATGTAAGCAGTCATTAATATAAAAAATTAAATCATGCAATTCAATGTTGATTTAAAACTGAATTCGTGATAAAAATGCACGAAGACCTAGCAGTAGTAGTTGTTGATCTGATTCACCGATTGAATCTCAGCCTAGACGTTCGATCATTTCAGCGATCGTTCCAACGTTTCTTGTTGAAATCTCACCTCCGGGTCTCCGATCGATGCTCCGGCATCCACTAAGCTCTGATTGATATTTATCTGATAAAATATTTGTATTTTCATGATGAATTTGTGCAAGATTCGTTGTGAAAAGTGTACTTGTTTTTGACCATGCATAATAATGAGCTAACGCGTCAGGGCTGTCGTTGATTGGTCCAATTTTACCGACACAAACATTGGGTTGGTAAAGCACGTGGCTTTCTCTCAATACAAGGTGGTCATAATAGAAATCAAGATAAGTAAAAGAGACCGACTTGGGCAAGGCTACCAAATAAGTAACCCAATGAAATCTAATAACTCGCTCATGCAGTATGCAGTCAGTGGTAATCCACTCAAGTGTCGCCTGGTATGCGAACTCTAAGTGTCGCAAATAATGATGTACACAGATAAGCCCAGATACGTAGCATGCTAACACGACGAATTATGAATTAAAAAATGTAATTTCTTATATCTTGCTTGTTTTCTATAAAGTATGAAACTAGGGTCAGAAATTATCCATTGTAATGCATAATATTGACTCTTCTTTCAAAAAAGTATAATACCATTTTTTATCTTATGGTATATCCTTTTCGCTGTGATACATTCAAGAGAAAAATATTACAGTAAGATTACTCATTTATTTACTGGGCGATAATATGTGAAAAAGTAGAAATTTAATTTTTCATGGACAATTTCGATCTTTTTCAAAGTGCATCTGGTTTATTTCTATACACCAATATATATTCAAATAATATCAGAAAGCAATGATATGTTGCTATTTCATCCACATACCTCATCAAGGTCAATATCAAAGTCTTCAGTGGCTGCAAGAATATTTTCAACTCCCTCCGCCATAGTACTTCCGGGTGCAACACCCAATCAGAACGCTGTATTATGTCACGTGATTAACCCAGCAACCATAAACATTTCAGAGGATTAATTTACAAAATTTCTCCAATTTTAACATCGAATTGTGCAAATATAGGTAAGAATTCGATATTTTACTCACGTTTTTATTGTGTATGAACGTTTCGTGATTCATAATTGAGGTAGTTTTTTAAACGTTTATGTCCTGTTCATTTTGTCCAGGTGATTGTTTGGAACTTGTATTTTCAATTTTTATTTTGAAATTGAGTCTGAATTTGAACACTATGCATGCATCTTAGCCGAGTGTTTTGAATATCACGATTTGTAACTAAGTAACTACAGTTCACTATTTTATCAAAATGTCTTAGAAAATGTTTCACCTAAACTGCCTCATCTCATGTCTAAATTTTATTTTACCATCATTCACTGATTCAACACAGTAGGGGAAGTGGTCCTAATTATCGCACGGTCCTAATTATCGCACGATTGTCCTAAACAGCTAAAATATATACCCACCATCTTTTAAACCAGTGTTACGAAAAGCAGTTCAACACCATTACTCCCAATCTTTATGATTTATTCATATATTTAGAAATATCTCTTCATTTTTAAGAATTGTTTACTTCCGCTATTGTCTTATATCCTATTGCTCAAGAAGTGAAATTCGTCTGACAAAGTTTGACCCCCCTCCAAATAAAGACAGAAAAGTAAGTGTATAATGTATATTTTGTTGATATTTTACATTAAAACTGATAGAAAAATGATTATAGCATATGTGTGTATCTGTTATAAACAGAGAAATGTATACAGTATCGTGAAATGACATCTGAAACACAACTTTGCGATAATTAGGACGACTGTGCGATAATTAGGACCACCGCACATGCGAGTCTAAGGGGTCTTAAAGTGTTAGCGTTCGGAGATTGAGAAATGTCAAACACTACTTAAATTTTAGAAGAAAGGTTGATCTTTCATCTCATATTCTCAAAGTAATTTGAAGTTATCATATTTGAAATCGTCAGTAGTTTTCCAGAGTACCCGTGCGGTGATAGGACCATTTCCCCTACCCCCATAAATCAAATGTGGGGTTGATTTCTCAAATGTCCCCCACAACTACTTGTGAAATCTTGTGAAAACGTTGTCAGTAGATGACAAAAAGTTGAATTTTATTTAAATAACCACTAGATGTCTTATCAGCTTATTTTCAACTGAACACTTTCATTACACAGTGCACAGGTAGCTGGGGGGGATGCTGGTTTTTCACTCTTCCAAAATACATGTAATTAGGATGGTTTTGTAGAAAATACCGGGTACTGGGTAGTAAATCCTCCATGCTGGGTTCAAACTTGGTACCCAGTACCCGTTTGAAAAAACTGGGTACCCCAAAAAACGAAAAATACGAATATATAGCATATTAAGTTAAATATCATTAGAAAGTCTCTGTCGTTTTCACCCAATTTTTTTGACATGAATATAACGAGTAATATTTGAAAAACATGACAAATCAATCTTACTCTATTTTCAAAAGTTGGTATGTGAATTCTTTTGATTATGATTTAAATCTGGGGGGTGCGATGATGCAATCATCGCAATTTTGAAGGAAGTTACATACATTTTTGTAAATTCAAAACAAATCTTAGTTATTGCTTATGCCACGATCACACACCCCCTGACTGAAAGCTGTCTACGCCCCTGAATGTACTTCGTGTGTTTGAAGTGATGATGTTGTGCTATTATTAACTTTGAAATGATTACATATTTCAGAAACATAGAATAAGTGAAACATGTACAAAAACACCTCTTAATATTATATAGCAGCGCTATAAGGCAGGACTGAATCGGGATTTGAAATAATTTACAAAGTAAATTCATTTTGATCGGTTAAATTAAGACTTTCTTACGATGGTAGAACATTATTAACTGTACAATGAGTTATAAAAACACTTTGATTGAATTTTGTGTCAAAGGTATTGTCTATTAAACATACAGTTCATGAAAATATAATTAATATAATCAGGTGTGAATAGAACAGCAAATATGACGTAAATAAAGGGATAACAAGCTTTATTACTGTTCTAGTCTACTGCAAAGAAACATATACGTGTACCTGTTTTTGGGGTACCAAGTTTGAACCCAGCATGGAGGATTTACTACCTGGTATCCGGTATTTTCTTCAAACCCAATTAGGATTTAAGACTGTTCATCAATCATTATGATATTTTCCTCATCTTACAGGTTGAGCTATAATGTCAAAGAGGAAGCAAGAAATTGCTCTCCAACAGGAGTTGGAGACTCAGGAAGAATGGGAGGAGATGCTAGCAAAGGAGGGACTCATAGGTAAAATACCCTCTAGTGAATAATGATAATTAGTTATCACCCTTGAAACATTCAAGTATGTCATTTCTAGAGACGAGGAAAAAGACATGTGTAACATGCATTTTGCTGAAAATCTATTGTCATTTTTTGTAGTGTTGTCTTTTGCAAAGTTAGCAATCAAAGGACAACAGTGAAATAGTGTATGTCAAAATACAGTCAAATACATATTATAAACCTAACTTTTGTTTATTTTATTTGTTTAGGTTTAGTTATTAAAAATGTGGTCTCACATTTTAACATTCAGTTATGACCATTTCTGACGTTATACCCATTTTAGCAACCATTTTTTATTAACATTTGGAATGTACATTTTTATCCAGGATTTTGTCAAGGCTATGCTTTTTGAAACTTTTGCTGCCATTGTTGCAAGTCATAGTGCTATTGTTAAATGCCATGCTACCATTGTTATTGGTCACGCTCCCAGTTGCAGGCCTTTTCACTCTTGAAATCACTTGAAGTCTGTTTTTCATGAATATATAAAGTCTGCTTTACATGAATTCATATATATATTTCAGTTATTGATGTGTACCAGGAGTGGTGTGGTCCATGTAAGGCACTCGTTACAAACCTCAAGAGGTACAAGAATGAGACGGCTGATGATTTGTTACATTTTGCTGTTGCTAAGGCAGATACCATAGATGCATTAGAACGATACAGAGGCAAATGTGAACCATGTTTTCTCTTTTTTGCTGTGAGTACTTATGGGTCTGTCGTAGAGAAACTTAAGTGAACATCCATATATGTATTCTTTAATTCAACTTTCTTTACAATGAAAAGCAAGATTTAGAATCAAATTCAAACATTGTTTTTCACTTTTGATAAAATGTTAATTGGTATTAAAATTGGTATTAAAATGTTAATTGGTATTAAAATGTTAATTGGTATTAACACAATGAAGGTAATACCCGACTGTATATTAACCATGTTCATACATTGATTTTTAACAATGTCTCTTGGTTACAAAACAAAACAAATGATAAAAATGTTATTAAATTACAAAGTGCCAGTCATGTTGAGAATTCTAATCCTTTATTTATTGGTACAGTAATCTATTTATCCCTAAATTCCATTAGTTTCCAATGACAGATACCATCACATCCTATATATTATATTTTTGTGGTTAAGATAATAATTTGACTGTACAAATGTATGTTACATTTTGAGTGAAAAAGGTTCAATAATAATTTTGAGTGATAAAAACCCAAAAAATGAAAAATTACACTTAAACTATAAAATCTGATTTCACTCTTTTCTGTCTTAAAATATGAACATATTTAATTTTAGGCCTACATGTATTTTATTCATTGGTCATATAATGCTTTAAATGTGTAGGGTGGTGTACTGGTCGCTGTACGTAGGGGGGCTAATAGTCCCTGTATACTGAAGTCCATTGCAGAGCAGCTAAAAAAAGAGCACGCAGTCCTCGATGGCGATGCAGAAAGGGAGGAGGTGCGTTCCCAGCATTCTAATAGATGTATCATGTTTGATGATTGGTTTCTGAATATTAGCTTGTACTTTAAAATTCCCATACATGTCAATTCAATTCAATTTATTATTCAATTCTAGTTTTCATACAATATTAATTTACAAGTGATATGAAAAGGACACCCCGAGGGGTGTATGGATTCCATGTTTTGAAAAAATAAAATGTGTTATACATAAAGCATGTCATGTTAGAACAGTTATTGTAATGTACAAATTTACAAAGCATACATTTTTAATTATCTTGATGTAACATAGTGGAAGTATGGTTCAAACTAACTAATAATGACTTAACAAATTGGACTTAAAGGTGCAACAATTAGTGCAGGGGGACCATTCAACGATCATCGACCAGTGTCAAAATATATTTAAGTTTGGATATTTCATCAAGACTAACATATATTTTTATTATCTACAAAGAAACCCCCTGGATGAACATTATTTCAGCTGATATTCCTCTTGAAATGTGGTGAATCTTAAAATTCTATAAGTGGGACTCCCTTTATAGAAGCTTTGGACTGAATTTACACTTCTTATTGCTGAAATTGAGCATTTATCCATACATTTTAAGAAAATAGGTATGTCAAAGAAGATGATAAGACAAATATTGACCTGATAGCTCAGAAAAAATAAAAAAATTCGAATTTTCTCTCTACAGTCCTTGTTGCCCCTTTAAACTTTCGTTGAAACATTTTTATATGAATTGAGTTTCTCAAATCAGTAGATAAAGAGTTATAAATTGATGGGCCACTTGTCCCGATTGATTTCCTTCCATATTCTGTTCTAAAAGGTTGAACAATCAAATCATTTTTTGATTTTGTGTCATGTGAGTGAATTGTTGATCTTAATGAGAAAAGACGGTTGAATTTTTTAAAAGGGAAATCAGGCGATTCAGAAAGTGTTTTTTGTACAAAGCTAGCTGTTTGATGGGAATGTATATCAAATACATTTAAAATTTTTAGCTTCTGAAATAGTGGACCTGAAGCGGCAAAGCTATCAGAATACGTAATGACTCTTAAGAATTTCTTTTGCAAAATATATAATTTCTGAATGAGTGTTTTTATGGCATTTCCCCATAAGATATTTCCATAGCTTAAGTAAGAATAAATCATTGAATAATAAATTGTAGTCATGGCATTCAAGCTCAGTCGATGTCTAGTCCTGTATACTATACCAATCAAATTAGAGATTTTTGTACATATAGCATTAATGTGAGGAGACCAGTGTAACTTTGAATCAATGATAACGCCAAGGAAATTAATTTCTTTCACCTCTTCAATTGGTTGATTGTCAATCTTAAGGATAATATTCTTGTCGTTCAGATCTCTTTTATTGCTAAATATCATAAACTTGGTTTTTTCAACATTAAGAGTTAGTTTATTTGCCTTCATCCAATTTGAGACATTTTGTAATTCTTCATTCATTTCAATGACTAGATTTTCAATATTTTTGTCAGTAAGCGCAATATTTGTGTCGTCAGCATATAAAACAAAGGATAGTTTATTTGAGACGAGATATATGTCATTAATGAATATTATAAATAAGAGGGGGCCTATTACCGACCCTTGTGGTACTCCATATTCAACTGTATTTTCAATTGATCTATATTTCACATCAGTCTCTGTAAATTGGTCAAGTGAAACATTCTTCTTTGTAAATTCAGTGATGATTCTTCTATTTTCAAGATAACTTGTGAACCAAGAAAGAGCTACTCCACGAATGCCATAGAATTCAAGTTTTTGTAATAATATTTTATGATCAACGGTGTCAAAGGCTTTAGTTAAATCAATATAAATACCAAGACTAGTTTTCCCTGTATCTAAAGACTTTCTAATATTTTCAATGAAATTTAAAAGGGCCATGTATGTTGAATGTTTTTTCCTAAAGCCATATTGGTGTAAGTATAAAATTTCATATTTTTCAAGAAATACGGTAACCTTATCATGAACAATTTTTTCCAACATTTTAGAAAATACACTTAAGATAGAAATGGGTCTGTAGTTATTAAAAATTTCTTTTAAACCTTTTTTAAATATAGGAATGACTCTAGCAATTTTCAATGCATCAGGAAATGTTCCAGTAGAGATTGACAGGTTAAAAATCTGTGTAAGTGGGGCTGATAAAGATTCTTTTAGTAATTTGACAACTGAGGGCTTAATATCGTCTATTGAAGCAGCAGAAGGTTTCAAAGATTTAAGTTGATTCTTAACATCAGTTTCTGTTACAGGAGATAAAAAGAGTGATTTATCATTTGAATTAATTTTTCTTAAATTTACCATTGGATCAGCATTGCTTTGAATCTTATTTGCAAGTTTATTGCCAATAGAGCTAAAGAAATTATTAAAGTTTTCAGCTATTTCAGCGCCATCTGTAGTTTGTCGATTATTAAGGTTAAATGTATTATTTATTTTTGATTGACCAGACTTTTTCTTTAAGATGGTGTTAATTAAATTCCAGGATTTTTTTATGTTGCCTTTATTTGCATGTAATTTGATTACTGCACATAGATTGAATGTTTTCAGCATCTCAATATAAGTAATATAATATATATGATATATAGTATGAGTAATTTAATATTAACTGTATTTTATAAATGTAATTTTAACAATCAAAATTAATTTTTGCATTTGTAGATTCGTGATCCTGGGCTTGCAGATATTGAACCAGAAAAAGGTGCTGATGATGAAGACGATACTGAAAAAGAGGCAGAGGAAGGTATGTGCTGCCCTCTTTATTGTCTAACATTTATACCGTTTGATTTAACTTCTACTATTATACAAACCTTTTGTCTTTCCTACTTTGATATGACATATATTCTAAAATACCTATACTTAATAATAAAACTGACGATAAGCTTTTTATACTGTACCATCATTTTTCCCTAAAGCTTGATTTGTATTTCAGTCTCATATATAGTCCACATTTTAGCCAATGTCTTCATTTATTTACATAATTAACTCAATTGTCAGTGTTTTGGGGGCTTTGTAGTAGATTATTTTAACAGTATAGGGTATCTTGAAAGTTGATACGTTTTGTAGTTGTCATCATACATGTAAATGTTGATGAAATAAGACCATGATAAAATGTGATACTTTCTCTCTGCATACCTCATATTTGAAGTGAAGTAGCAGCCATTGGTGTGTTCATTTGTGGTCTGAGATAAGCCTTAGAGGCTAGGTCTTGATAAAATGGGCAATTTTGAAAGTGGTCCTTAATTTTTGAAAAATGGGTCCAAATTTGGAAAAAAAGAAAAGTGGAGGGAATTTTCAGAAAATGTTCAAGCTCTCCCCCATTGTGTGATTTATAATAAACCTTCTGTTAGTCACTCATGCATGATTTATTTATACTCAGATCCTGAAAAGGCTCACTGTAGTATGAGAGGTGTCCCAAAAGTTATGTTGTTCAAATGAGTAACACTCAATTAATAAAAGTTATATTTGATTTGAAACCTGGAATGACTGCTTGTATTGGATAAGATTGTAAAATGTTCTTTTATACATTTTGACAATTCTAGCAGTAGGATTTTATAAATGTTCATCATTTCTTGGACACCCTTCGTATGATCTTATGAACCTGAAATTTATTGCATGGTACTGTGTCTTTGATGTGAATGATGAAATAACATGCAAAGGTATAATAATAAATTATGGCATTTTTATTCATCATTTTCTATTTTTAACACACTTTCTATGAAAACTCTCAGAATGTCAATTCTTTATCCACATACGAGACTCAGACATGTCCCCTCAAAGAAAGAAGGGGAAATGTTCAAAACAATCTTCACATGAATCACTCCTTCAAAACATCCTTCTGAGAATTTTCAATTTTCTGCATGTTTTTCTCACTCTCTCTTTACTTAGTTTAAACTTTAACCTATAGAGGGAGATACTAGTAGTGGTGAAGTAAAAAGCAAAACTAGCGCCAAGATTAGATCGAGAGCTCCTTCTAGTAAAACATCTGGTAGGTCTTTAACGATTTAGTCAAAATGTATTTTGTACCTCCCAAGTTTTATAAGGGTCATGTTTTGAAATAGAACAAGAGCCTTTAATCTAAAATAGTTACGTCTAATGTGTCGCCAAACCTTCCATTCATTTTTTGCAATGCACTTATATACCTTGAGCAATTTGATATTCCAAAGTACATTTTGTGGTGATTTTCTCATTATAAGGAAAGTCATGGTTGTCCGGCTTTGAAACAAAGAACAGTATGGAACCAAGGGATCCCACAATATACAATTTTCGATTTTGATATGAACATTGTTATTTACCTCACAATAATAGCAATTTTTTCATGCCCAGCATTATGATTAAGACTACAATACATAGAGGTGATGCCCTTAGAAAAATATGTCGACTATTTCACATACATTTTAACATCAGAACGAATATGACTAGAAATCAAGAGGTTGATCAACATTTTGGAGATAATATTCAATGACTCCCATGACTTTTCTCATATTTCATGTCTTGTATCAAGTTCACAGTTTCTCACCCCTTTCTCCAACCCTTCCCTTTCCATACCACTCCCCTGTCCCACACCACTACCCAGTCCAATAGCAGGCCCGTAGCCAGGGGGGGTTCGGGGGGTTCGGACGAACCCCCCCCCTGGCGAAAATTTCTTTCAAAATCATGCAGTTTTTCACCATTCTGACTAATTTTTGAGTGATTTTTGGCCATATTTGCCAAAGTGAACCCCCCCCTAGAATTTTTTAGAAAAACGAACCCCCCCTTGGAAAATTCTGGCTACGGGCCTGAATAGCCCAACCCTGTCCCACACCCCTACCCTGAATTTGAAACTATAAAAGTATAATCCTTGATGCAAGACCTATAACTATTCTGTTTTATTTATATTTCTTTACCTATTTCTCATTCTGTGTTTGTTTCACTCTTCTTGTTCATCTGTTTCACATTTTATGCTTCACATTTAAAACTGCTTGTATAACATATAAAACCTTCTCTAAATCTTTCTTTGTTTAAATCTTGCTTACAAAGGAATGAGATTTAGAGGTGAAAATGTGAATTTCATGGAAGGTCCGCCAACATATGATGGTGAGCTTAATCTTGTTTAGATTTGGGTCTTAAACGTAGATCTGCATGTTAAGTATTTTCATGTTATTTTCATGAAGATAATTATTATGAACAAAAATGTGATAATTTCTAAAACTTTTTGTGGATATTTTCCATGTCATGGTAGAATATATCTCACATTTTTAAACCTGTTTCTAAATGTGCAGAACTACTTTAAACTGACTTATACAGTAGACATACAGGGTGTGACATATGCGATGTCCCAGAGTTCCTTAGCCTATTAGCTTTGCCTGATAGCTTTGAGCTGAGACATCTTAATATTTTAACATGCATATGAAAATAACATGACAATTACTGGTCCGTAATTCCATTTTGTATTTAGCTCAGTACCTACAAAATTCTTATGACACACCTTGTATATTATACATGTTTGACCAAGATATGATAAGAATTTAAAATATCATCATCATAAGCATGAAGCTTGCATGTAAATGTGCTGAAGCGTACTTACATTTAGAATGTCACAAAAGTTATAAACAATGTATGTCTTAAATTAATATAGGGACATTTATGATGTTAAACGTATTTTCATGAACATTTTTTTGTTTTTATGATTTAGAGAAAAATTTAGAGGAATGGAATTTTTTTAAAAAGGTTCAGCTTGTATATGTTATGTAATGTTATTGCAGAAGCCATTAAGAAGGAAGTCACTGTTGCAATACTTAAACCAGATATTGTTAAGGAAGAAGGAAAGGTGGAAGAAATCCTACAAAAGGTAAGGAAAAGCTAAACCTTCAGTGTAATTTAGACACCATATGGGTCATTGAATAGTAACAGTGTTTTTGGTTATTATGCCAATACCACAAGTGGTGACATTATTATGGTCTCCAACTTTTTTTGTGGATGGTGTCCAGCAGTTGGTGTTTAGCAGTCGGTAACAAATGGCAGGTGATGACATTTTGCATGTTGATGTCTTGTTTTTCTGGTGCAATCATTTTAAGTGCAGTTAATATTTGAAAGAAATTTTTGCCATTTGCACATCCTTCTTTAGGCATAACCCTATCATAAAACGTTTCATATTTTGTTCTCCATAAAACCCGAAAAACCTCTATGACTGCAAAACACTTCCGTCCTTATGACTGAAATTAACTTAAATTAATATATTTGATCTCTAATGACAGATGGAAGAGGCTGGTATTGAAGTACTTGAAAAAACAGAGAAACAATTAACAGAAGAGGAAGCTCGCGAGTTTTATGCTCATCAGAAGGAGGAGGAGTGGTTTGAAGAGCTCATCACACATATGACGAGTGGTCCAAGTTTTGTTCTAGTCTTAACAAAGGGAGACACAGGTAAGTTATTTTAGATCAAACATAATTTGCTATTTTTGATAGTACCCTTAATCTCGCTCAGGTAGGAGATTTTATGATGACCCATGATGTCTCATTAATGCATCTTGAATTGTTTTTTATCTTTTATTCAATTCAATTTCAGGTGCTTGTCGAATGAAAATAGGCACGACATACATGAATACAAATAACACAAATCTTATACAGAGAATGTTTTGTGTATGATTTCAATAAATCTACAAGCATTTTGGTGGGATAATCCAATGCTGTTTAAATATCAATGATTTTCTTTCATTCAGGAGAGAATGTCATCCAAGGCTGGCGAGATATGATTGGGCCCACAATGGTGGAAGATGCCAAAGAAAATGCTCCAGAAAGTTTACGTGCTCAATATGGTTCAGAAAAATATTTCAACGCACTCCATGGTTCTGATTCCAAGGAGACTTCAGCCAGGTATTGTATGCTCCAGATATTTCCCAGAAATTATTTTTAAAACCATGTGCAAAATATGCTCCAGAATTTATTTTCAAAATCAGGACCAAGATAAGCTCAAGAATTTAATACATCCAAATTGAAATGAAATATTTAAATGGTCGGCTGTGTTTGTATTCTCATATCAAGGTTTTTATCATGGAAATCTATGACAGATTAAAAAATTGGTATTGAAAAAGCGTTTCCATTAAGAGGTGTTTAGATATAAAGGTTTCACTGTATACATTTACTTTATTTTTTTATTAACTTAAAGTCCATATATGACATTTTTGCAGGGAACTTGCATTTTTCTTCCCAGACTTCAATGTGCCTGTGGTGCCTGGCTCAGGCCCTAAACCCAAGATTCAGCGAACACTTGCCCTCATACGACCAGATGCCCTCACAGAAAGCAAAGGTGAGTAAACCCTATTGTCCATTATAGTAATAACATGATGAAAATCCAATGGGAAATGTATCAATCTTAAAAACCAGACACTCCACGTTTGTTGCAAGTGAATCTAAGTTTTTTTTCTGATGTTGACCTGGACATATCTTTTAACATTGTATTGTGGTCAGATGATTACTTTCACTCAACAGTATTATTTTGAATTTTAGAAATGCTCCCAAACAATATTTAAAGTACATTTAAACAGGGTATGTTTTCATAATATATACTGCTCACTAGCAGAAAACATCAAAAAGAAGGCATTGACTAAATCAGCAACATACATTGAAGTGTCAAATGTTAATGTTTTATCATTGTCCATATTAATTGCAGATGCTATTTTGGAGAAGATTCGTGCTGCAGGGTTTGAAGTGGCCCTCCAGAAAGAGGTTCAGCTCACAAAAGAGCAGGCAGAAGAGTTCTATAAGGAACATGAAGGACAGGATTACTTTGAAGAGCTCACTACAAGGATGTCAAGGTATTGCTAAAACCATGCCAGTATAGTAGTGAACCTGGAAATTAGCACATTTTGAATTCATATTTATGTATTTTTTACAGATTTCTCACTGTTGTTAGAAAGTTAAGAAATGTTAACATCATCCTCCTTCAGCAGGGTCTCAAGATCTAGAATACCTTCTTACTCTTTCCATAAGAGAAGGAAAGTTGTTTGCTTTGAAGGATGTGCAGATATAAAAGAAAAACAATAAGACATCTTCCCCTCATGTATCATTCATACTTGTTAAAGAAACCAGGTGCAATATATATTTGACTAACACATAAGCTATACAACTCTATTGTTTTCAGTGGCCCATTGTTGGCCCTTGGTTTGGCAAGAGAGGATGGTATAGAAAGATGGAGGGATATGTTAGGACCTAAAGAAGTAGACAAAGCAAAAGAAGAAGCCCCTGAGAGGTAAGAATGAATACGGAATATCAGCTAATAATAAAGTCCCTTTAACAGGGTTCGAAATTCACAGCTGCCTGACTGCCAACAGCTGTTGGCTATGGACTTGGAAAACAGTTGTCTATTGGGCAATGGACTGAATGCCAATATAGTGAATTGTGGCAGTCACTTTTAGATTTAACCTTAGTTGTGAGCTTTCATCAAGTCTTATGTTACCTGTATATATTATATAACGTATACATGTATTTTCGTTTTCTTCAGTTTACGTGCCCAGTTTGCTGTAGAAGACGTCCCCATAAACCCACTTCACGGTTCAGACTCTCCAAGCACTGCAGAAAAAGAAATAGACTATTTCTTCCCTATGCAACAAACTTTAGCTGTAGTCAAACCAGATGCTTATGATAATAGAGGTAAGCTTTTGAAATGATGAATGATAGTAAATCCTGGGTTAATTTGTATTCAGAATACATGCAGGATTGACACTCAACTGCATTATAAGGTATAGACTGAGATTGGATTTTTATTGCGTTTTATACATATCTGGTATTTCATCAGGAATGCTATTTTAATGTAATTTACAAATCGGATGCAAAATGCGCCAAAATATAAACTGAATATGTACTCCATGTTCAGGAGGTGAAGATTTCAGAAAGTAGTGGTAAAACATAATATTGAATTTTTTGTATAAATATTTTATAATGAATATTTATTTGTGTTTTAGATGAAATTATGGATAAAATAAAAGAAGCAGGATTCCACATAGCAGCCAGGAAAGAAACCGAATTAACAAAAGAAATGGCAGAGGCATTTTATAAAGACCAAAATGATAAAGAATTTTTCAGTGATCTCACGGAACATATGACAAGGTATGAAATGAGTACATGTAATTATACAATAAAGGTTGATTATTATTATAGTCAAATAACAAGCATATTTTCAAATACATGGAATTCCGTGATTAACTCATGATATACTTGTTCAAATAAAGAGCATGTTTTTAAAAATTCTATGATAACTCATAATAGACTTGTTCATGGATAAAACATATCCCATCCCCCTTTTAATAATTTGGTTTTGAATAGTAGTCTCTATTAGGCTTTGGGGATTAGGGTACATATTCTAGGATACCCTGTATATAATTATGCCTCATTCAATATTTTCATTCAATTATAATGCTGAAATTAAGACACACCATGGATTGCCTTAACTAATTTAAAAATAGACAAAGGAGCCAGTACACATCCCATCATACATTGTATGTATTCATATATATTTCTTGTAGTGGTCCAACTCTATTTATGGTATTATCTCGGAATGATGCGGTGGATGGTTGGAGGTCTGTAATAGGCCCTACTGACCCAGAACAAGCAAAGGAGGCAGCTCCAGAAACGTAAGTCCAAATTCAACACAATACGAACATCTTCAATACAAAAGATGTGAAAACCATTGAGTGTAAGGAATATAACAATTTATATAAGTACAGTGCATAACAGTACAGTATACTGTTATGGAACAGCTCTGTTAGTGGAACACTTCATAGTCCTTAGACCAACTAACTTAATGCTAAATGCACCTCTTTAAGTGGAACACCTCCCAAATGGAACACTTTTAAGAGGTACCAAAGGTGTTCCACTTAGAGTGTATTAAGCTGGATATCTTATGGTTGATAAATGTTTAATTATAAGGAATGTAATGATTAAGGAATAAATTCTGATAGGCCATTCAATATGGTGAAATTCATCACGAGTTGGACAGAATGCTGTACAAAGCACGAACCGAAGGTGAGTGCATTTGTACTGACATTCTGTCCAACGTAACAATATATAGATACCCGGATGATTGAATAGGGCATGGTCGTGCAACTATGGAGAAATAAATTATTATTGGCCATGCTGCATTCTGATTGGTTGAGAAATTCAATTGGAGCATGGTCATGTTTGAATGTTGTATTAAGAGTCAGTATCTCAAATCACAATCCTACTATTTCAGCTTACGTGCCAAATATGGAAAAGATGTGAAAGCGAATGCACTTCACGGCAGCTCTAGTGTGAACCATGCTCACGAAGGAATCAAAGAAATATTTGGAGATCTTGAATTCAACAAAGATGGTACATTGAAAGGTGGTAACTTGGTTTATTATTCTGCATGCAGTTGGTTGTGGTCGCTATAGTAACCTATGCATATATATATTGTTATCTCTTATCAATTTCCATATGGGCTTAACTCCTTAATTGATTTAACTCCTTAGATGCTTATTTAATGGAATATGTGGTTATCAAAATGAAAATGTAACATGTTGAAAATTACAAATTACAACCATGATTCCTTTGAATAAAGACTCTAATTTTAACAATGTCGATAACAACGTTAACAATAATAATATTTTCCATATACTGTAATACCTTTTCTATGCATGTGCATTTATGGTATATTCCTTATACTGATATATCCTTTGATTCAGAGTGTTACTTTTTAAGCTTAACATTGTGCTTCAATAACTTGAACACTAATAGCTTTAATCCATTTACTAACACTTGGAACATACATTTATTAACCAAATATTACTATAATGTTTATTTTTTATTTTATAAACATACATGTGCTATAAGCTATTTTGAAAAACATCAAGAAACAAATCTTGTTTCTGTTTCTGCTATTGATTGTATATTGTACGCTTGTTTAATAAAGCCTTTACAAAGTCTTAATCCATCCTTATATGCGCCCTTGACCGTGAATGACCTTAAACCCTTATCCTCTTGAATGTGACCTTGATTTTTGAATGACTTCTCAGTAATGACTCAATCCTTTATCCTCTTGTTTGTGACCTTGAGATTTGCATGACCTCATTGATGGCTACCCTTGCCCTTGACATTTGATTGACATAAGCGTTGGCTATTTACCCTCTTCTACATGACCTTGACATTTAAATGACCTCAATGTTGGCTACCCTTACCCTCTTGTATGTGACCTTGACCTTTGAATGACCTCAATGTTGGCTAGCCTTACCCTCTTGTAAGTGACCTTGAGCTTTGAATGACCTCAATGTTGGCTACCCTTACCCTCTTGTAGGTGACCTTGACCTTTGAATGACCTCAATGTTGGCTAGCCTTACCCTCTTGTAAGTGACCTTGAGCTTTGAATGACCTCAATGTTGGCTACCCTTACCCTCTTGTATGTGACCTTGACCTTTGAATGACCTCAATGTTGGCTAGCCTTACCCTCTTGTAAGTGACCTTGAGCTTTGAATGACCTCAATGTTGGCTACCCTGACCCTCTTGTAAGTGACAGTGACCTTTTCATCATAGGGCTGAGCCAGAGCCACATTCCTTCACAAGGTGTAGAAGTTATGGTAAATCAGGCATCCCTTAAAATACATTAATAGTTGTATAATGAGATCTCTTTATCTAATCATTTGACCTTTAAAATTTGGAATATATTCACTTGGATGCCTTCAGATAACTAATAGGTCTAAAGATCTACTCATGCCTGCCATCAATTACTAAAATCCTTTCGTATCAAATATTTAAGCATTTTCACTTTATACTACTCAATTTTTCAATCTCAAATATTTATACTAATGTAGAATACTATAAATTATTCTGAACTTTGTCTCAAAGCTATTTATTCTTATTTCCAAAACTACATACATAGGATGCTAGCCTGGGCCATAACTGCTATATGTTAGGGTAATAGATCAAGCTGCCATGTTTGTCTATTATGTCTATGTGTAGACCTGTCTGTAATGTCCGCTTGCATTTTCATATGGAATGCTTATTATGAAATATTGAAATTATGAAAGAGTAGAGCTCACAATGTTTGGAATGTGAGTCTACAAATTATAATGAAACCAAGTAGAGTGATTTGTAATTAGTGTTTTCCTGTTTTGTTAAGAATTGTTTGTCATGCAATAGTGTTGTCCTATATTCTAGAAGAGACTGGTGAAGGAGAAAAGGAAAACGAGGATACTGATGAACCAGCTGATGGAGAAGGGGAGGAGAAGGAAGAGGATCCTGCTGGAGAAGAGGAGCAAGAAGGGGCCGGTAAGACACTTTTACATAGTCAAACTATTGCATTGTAACATAATCGTACAAATGACTAATTAATATAAAGGGGAGTCCAAGATTATGTGTCTTTGAGCTTTTGCTTTATTTTTGACAAAAACTGAACAAATTATTTTGTGATTAAATTTACCAATGGTGAAAGTATTGGATTTTAATGGTAATGAATAACAATACACAAAAACGTCTTTCCCAAAATGTAGGTGATGCTGACGACGAATATGCTGATGAATTTGATGAAGGTACAATTGTAGAATGCATGTCTAGAACAACTCCTGTGAAAAATGTCATACTGGTCATGCTTTGAAAATGCAAAATAAAGTAGGAAAGAGTGGAATTGGCAAGGAAAAGTAAACTGGCAAACTGGCAAAACTTTAGATTGTATAGAAGATAGTCCTAGAATAGTACTCTAAAGGCATATAACCTACATGACATTTTCTTCATTGATCCTTAGTACATACTTTACTCTGTACATTTACCTCTATCTATAAAAGTAGTGAGGATCTTGCACAGATAAGTGTGTATTTATTACACATTGCTCTGACCTAGATAGGAAAAATGAAAATCACCTAATATTTAATTGTATTATAGGTTATAATTAATCAACTTTGATTCTGGTCCATGTATTAGTAGTATATATTGTAAGAAATGTAAGATTAAGAAACTAGAAACTTTATACTACAATTTAATTCTTGATCCTTATACTATTCTCTTTCTACATAAGTATTCTGATTCTTCTATTTTCTCTTCTGCCATAAATCGTTGTGCCATGTTTACAGTTCTTGGGGGCATGGTTGAATATAGAGAGGGTGTCAGTGGACCTATACGTGTTAAACCTAAGAAATTTAAAACAAAAACCAAACAAAAAGATGAAGAAAACTCTGAAGATGATCACGAAATGGAAGATGATTACCTGATGGATGAATTTGAAGATGAGGCTGAACTTGACCTTGACCTTCAAAGCAGACAGATTTTCAAAAAAGGCGGGAAAATCAAGGTTGAATGGGACAAAGTTTCAACAGACACTGCAACAAGCTATGAAACCATAATGTCCATTCAAGAGCCTAAAACAAGAATACAAGTTGCATTTGATTCTAGTTCTATTGATACATATTCAATGAGAAGTGATCAGAGGAGACTAGATAATGACAATGAAAGTTTACAAATAAACACTGAGACTGGTATGCTATGGCAGTGTTGTTTTCTTCACAGATGTAACCCAGTAGAAAGTCACTAGAGAAAGCAGACATGAATTGGAACAAACATCAACAACACAATAGATAATGCCCTATTATCACAAATTTACACCAAGAAAATGAAGTGTTAACATAAATCTTTATTTATCTAACAATTCATTTTCTGGTAGATCTTACAACAGAATAGGATTTTTTACATTTATTAGAGAGCAATCACATCAATAGCAACATATCACAATGATACCTACTCCCCTCATACTAGTTTTTACTGCCCACCCTTCTCTTTCCCATGCATACAAACTGTATTTCATCATAATAAGATTATCATTTCAAAATCTATCAATTGTTTAAAACATAACTTAATATTGAGATGTACATTTAAAAAAGCCCCACACTAATTATTGTACATTCATATTTAAATTTCATCCTTCCCTTATTAACAAAATTTTACCTAACATTTAGAAATGTCAATGAACATTTTAAAAAGGTAAAAAAATAGTTGCTTTACATTGCTAAGTTCTACTGTCCACATTATATTTATATTTCTTATTTCAGCCTTTACTTATTCACATGAATGACTTGGTTTACATGTTGTTGTTGCTTTTATGAACTTAGGTCTGGAACAAGATGATGGTGATGGTAGCAAAGAAGCTAGACGTGAATCATTAAATGAGGAATATGTTGATGATGATCAGAGAGAAGATGATAAAATAAGTGACGATGATGTAAAAGATAAGACAGAGGACAAAAATGACGATACACTTGAAGACAAACAAGAAGAGAAAATAAATGAAGAAGAGAAGCAAGAACGTTCTGAAGATGAGAATAAACTGGAAAAAGAGGAGGAAAATATAGAAGAGGATCAAAAAGATGAGCAATCACAGAAATCAGAAGAAGATAACAAGTATGATAATACAGAACAAAAAGTTGAAACCCAAAATGAAGAACAGATAAAATTAGAACAGACAGAAGAAAAAGAAGAAACAAATTTTGAGAAGTCTGAAATTAAGCAAGATGATGATAACACAAAGACAAAAGAAGAAAAAGAATCTGTTGATAGTAAAGATGAATTGGAAGATGATGAACAAAAAGTGGAAGATAAAGAAGCTGCTGATTCACAAGAAGAAGCTCAGACAAATGATCATCAAGTGGAAAACAATGTAAAAGGGGAGCTGATTGAAGAAGAAAAAGCAGAAAAGGAGCAACCTGTTGAAGAAATTGTTACTAATAAAGAAAAGTCTGAAAATGAAGTTAATAATGAAGGTGGAAGCAATGGAAATGGTGTTGCCATTAATGATCAAAATGTTGTAAGAGGTGAACTGTTGGATAAAGAAATGGATGGTGATAACCAAATTGAAGAGACAAACGATGAGGATGTAAGACCTCAAGGAAATAAACAGCTTGAAGAAGATATTGATGATGGAATTAAAGATGAGTTGAAAGAAGGAAACATTGAAGAAGGAGAAAAAGAGCAGAACTCTCCAAATAAGGAAACCTCTGAGGAAGGAAAAGTGAGTCCCCAAGAAGACAAAGAACATGAAAAGACAGAAGGTGATGATGGCATTATAAGAGGTGAACTTCGTAGTAGAGCAAGCATAACAAGTGCTTCCTCAATAAAAAGTAAAAAACAAACACCAGTATCCTCCCCTGGAAAATCTAGTTTAAAAAAGAGTGAATCTTCAAGAAGTTTAAGATCAAGAAGCTCATCTAGAGGCTCGTTAAAACGTGCAGCAGATACTGGAAAACCAGATGGCAGGCACACACCTCAATCTGTTCTTAAGAAACAGGATTCCAAGACGAGCCAGAAATCAGCAAGTAGCCTCAGATCTGTAAAGCAAGACTCTACAGAGAGTCAAAGATCAGACAGAAAAGGGTCTAGTGGAAGTCAAAAATCTATAAGACAAAGGTCTGGAGGTAGTCAAAAGTCCTTGAGAAAAGGATCAACTGGAAGTCAAAAGTCTGCTAAAAGCTCCACCAGCAGTATACATCAAGAGTCTCCCATTAAATCATCTAAAGAGCCAGGGCAGGCAGAGGTGAAACCTCAGAGTAAAGATAAAAGGGAATTGAAAGATCCCAAGCCCAAGGCTGAGACACCTGAACCTCTGGAGAACAGGGCAGTTAAAGGTGAAATGGTTGAACCAGGAGAGTCCAGACACAGTTCACCCCAACCAATACTTAAAGCAAAGGCTGAGCTTTATGATAGTGAGAAAGATGCAAAAATTGCAGAAAAAGATGAAGGTCATGCTGATAAAGGAGAATTGGCAGATGAGGAAGTAAAATCTGAAACAGAAAATGTGAAAGAAGAAGTTCTAGAAGATGAAATAGTTACTCCACAGGATAGAAGTTATCACAATGTTGAGAAAGGTGAACTAACAGACCAGCAAGATGTACCACAAAATGAGGCTATAGATGCTAACAAAGGCCCAGATGGTCTAAAGGATGAACTTGTTGAACAGAAAGACGGAGCTGGTTCTACAAAAGGCTAGTGGGAAAACCCTAGACATTGTTTACTACCTAGACATTGTTACCACATAGACATTGTTTACCACAGTAGAACTTATGATTCATCTAGATATTCCCCACATTAATACATTTCCATAAAAGTATGCATGACGAAAAATATTCCAATTTGGTATGGTTGTAACTTCTTCTTTGGTTGTTTGTCAAACAGATTTTTGTAATACTGGAATATAACAGTTAGTTACTACTATACCAATGACAAACCCTAATTTCTGCATGTGTTGAATCTACATTTTAGGTTTCCTTTAATTTTCTAGCATGTCCTATCAGGAAATGAATCCACTTTCTTGCATGGTGATCACTGCATGGTTATTCCACTGATTGTCTTTATTCAAGTCAACATGGAGAGGTTCAGGACAAACTCATTGAGCTACAATCTTCACTTGCAATCGTGCCTCATTACTTTTATTAGTGAGGTACGCATCGAAAGAAACTGCTTTTGGAGATACGAAAAGAGCCTGAATCTCTCCATATTGACAGATCGTACTATATTTTCATTACAGATTAAGCCAACACTTGCATGAATCGCATGAATCCACATTTACACACATTTCTTCACTTTTTGACCAATCAGAACACAGTATAGTCATGCCACATCAGACAAGTAGTCATTCATGGTTTATCACAAGCATCTAAGAATTTTCAGATATCATTTCTCGTAGTGTTTCACGAATACTGAATTGATTTTCACAATTGTCCTTTGTTTTCACACGTTTAGTTTATTATATTTCTCATTTTTATGTAATAGTCACATATATCACACTGGTATGCAGCCATTCCCTGCAGCTGCTTCAGTTGTGTTCTATGTAAAAATGGTTCATTTAGTCATTTCCTCATGGTACTCCAAGTCCTTGTGTGTCCTTTATGGAAATGGTATAAATGATAATTCTCATAGAACACAAGGTTACCATATAACCCCATGTTTCCTTCACCCAAAGCTTCGATTCTGACTTAACATTTCTATTAAAACAGATATAACAGTCTACAATGCATTGTTGAATTTTGACTGATAAGAAGCATTTGTGTAAAGGGTTACCAGAGTTTGAGAACTCTTACAATGTACTGTAGACTGAACACTTTAATCTAATTTGAATTTCTTACATTTAGCTAAAGTACACAATGAATGCTCAATAGTCTCACAAAAACACTTACAGTTTTACACTAAGAAAATTATATTGACGTCGAGTTCTTTCTATTAATTGTTTATTAATTGTAGCTTTGCTTGTTTTAGATGGAGATGATGTGAAGTCCTCCCTTGAGGAGAAACAAGAGGATGAAGACACTGAGAAACAGACAGATGGGGAAGATGGAGACAAACAGGAGGACACTCAAGGTATGTTGAAATAATACATGTACATTTACATGAAACTGGATGCAGAATTGTGAATTACGATTAGTGATGTCACTACCACAAGTGATGGCATATTGTTATAGTCTCTGACTTTTTTTGTGGATAATGTTCAGCAGTTGATGTTCGGATTCTGTAACAAATGGCATGTGGTGACATTTTGCATGTTAATTCCTTGTTTTAAGATGTACCATGCAAGGATAATAGAATACTTCAAATTCATGAATCTATATATATCTTGATGTACCCATGATTAAGGATTAACATGTTCATTCTTAATCTTCTTAATATGCTTATTTCTTAATCCTGAGACCATTACGTATCTTCACCCTAATACATAAGCCATACATTCATCCTTACATAAGCCATACATTCATCCTTACATAAGCCATACATTCATCCTTACATAAGCCATATACTGCATATATACATGGAGAGGTAAAGCTATATCCTGCTTATACATACAAATCTGCTTTACTTTCCATATTTAGGATAAATCTAGTATATATGTAAATATGTAAATATATACTTCACCCTTACATAAGCCATATATTCATCCTTAGATAAGCCATGATATATATAATGTTCAGCCTTAGATGAGCCATGATATATATAATGTTCACTCTTAGATAAGCCATGATATATATATAATGTTCACTCTTAGATAAGCCATGATATATATAATGTTCAGCCTTAGATGAGCCATGATATATTTAGAGGTTATGTCACTATCGTGGCATATATGCCCGAGGTCTCAGTGATATATGGCCCGACCTTGGGAGGGACATTGATCTCTGAGAACCGAGGGCATATGTGCCACGATAGTGACATAAACGATTTATAACATACCTATGATGATGTAGACTGGTCAGAGAGTACCGTTTTGTTATAGAATTGACAAACAAATGGTTTGAAAATGATTGAAATGAGTTTAGAAAAATTGCTCGCGCAGTTTTATCTTCGATTGATTGGTTATGACATCAGCGCCTTCACCAATCAGAATGTTAGCGGGCGCGGGCTTTTCAAAACTTATATTGGCCCGCTGTCTTGTGTACACTTTGCACTATACATCATCATAGGTATGTTATAAATAATGTTCACTCTTAGATAAGCCATGATATATATAATGTTCAGCCTTAGATGAGCCATGATATATATAATGTTCACTCTTAGATAAGCCATGATATATATAATGTTCAGCCTTAGATGAGCCATGATATATATAATGTTCACTCTTAGATAAGCCATGATATATATATAATGTTCACCCTTAGATAAGCCATGATATATATAATGTTCATCCTTAGATAAGCCATGATATATATAATGTTCACCCTTAGATAAGCCTAATGATGATGAAACCAAAAGTGTAAAGGGCAGTCGGGCTGGAAGTGCTACGGGCAGTCAAGCTGGAAGTGCGAAGGGGAGTCCACCTGGAAGCGCAAAGGGGAGTCCACCTGGAAGTGCCAAGGGCAGTCGGGCTGGAAGTGCGAAGGGGAGTCCACCTGGAAGCGCAAAGGGGAGTGCACCTGGAAGTGCTAAAGGAAGTCAGGCTGGAAGTGTTCAAGGTAGCGCGAAAGGCAGTCGGGCTGGGAGTGCAAAAAGCACTAAAGCTGAAGGAGATGCTGGAAGAGACAATGCTGATGAAGATACTCAGAGTGCTAAAGGAGATGATGACAAAAAGGATGAAGAACAGAAAGAAGATGACACTAAGAGTGTAAAAGATGAGAACCAAGAAGAGAAAAAAGAGGGTAATCCTATAGATATACATTGAGGCTCCAATTGGGAATTTTGACAATTCATGATTCAATTCATGCATAATTGAATTTTAAATGTTTTATATTCATTTAGTTAATTGTCATATTGTCCATGGTCAATGGAACTCTCTGTTTCTTGATTAAATATGGGATTTACACATCATTAGTACTAATCTAGTATAAGGATAATATTTTTTATAATTTTCCTCATATTAGATATTATTGTTACCATTTACTCCTATTGGCATTATCCCTGATACCATAACCCCATTGGCATCATTTGTTTACAATAAATCCCTTTCCCTATTGGCAATTCTCCCAATAGCATTATATATTACCCCTATTTGCATTCCCTGTTGGTGATAGCTGCTATTGTCATTACCCATGTTGGCATTACTCCTAATAATAAAAACTAGATAAAAAATCCCAATAAGCATCGCACCCCTATTGGCAGTACATATTAAGCATCCCATTGGTATTACCTCTGAAAATGTTACACCTATTGGCATTATCTCGATTGGCATTACCATGATACCCGTTGGCATTACAGATGAGGGTGAGGCCAGCACTGAGGCAGAAAAGACTGAGGAGAAACCAGCTGACACTGAGGAAACGAAAGAAGGTCAGTGAATATTTTGCTTCACTTGGGTTGGACTTTGGCACAAATGTTTAAAACTAATATTATTTCACTCACACTGTAACATTCAGATTTTATATTGTTGGGTTTCTCATATGTCAACAAGATTTGGTATTTTTAACTTAATTTTAATAATGTCATGTGTGATGGTATTTTGTAATGAGACACTTCCCCTAGTGTGTATAATGATTGAGTTAAGATCCACGAGTGAATTTCAATGTCTGCACATGTGAGTGTGTTGAGTGAGTCTAGATATGTCAAATTATGAGTTGATAAATTTTAAATGACATTACATATACATATAGATACTAAAGAAGAAGAAGAAGGAGAAACTGCTAAAGAGGAAGAGGAGAAAACTGCAGAAGGTAAAGTGTAACTAGGAAATGGGAGCTCCAGGGAGTAGTTAGAAAATGGGAGCACCATGTACCAGGGAGTAGTTAGAAAATGGGAGCTCCAGGGAGTAGTGAGAAAATGGGAGCTACAGGGAGTAGTTAGAAAATGTTAGAAAATGGGAGCTCCAGGGTAGTTAGAATATGGCAGGTCAAAGAAGTAGCACACTCCAACTAACATATTATAATTACCAATCAAATTATAATTCGATCAGCTAATTTTAAAAATACCTTAGCTTGGATATTCCTGATATGTTAAATTAATCTTAAATGTTTTAAAAATCATTGCAATGTACATACATGTATTTCATTATCAAAAGATCAACCATGCTACACTTAAGGATATGGAAATATTTCAACCAGCTTTGACATTTCTTACTCAGAATATGTAAATAAGATTATTGTTTCATGTATAATTCCCATAAATCTTGACTCTTTTTGGTGAAAAATAGAAACATAATAAAACTAATATATTTGTACAGTAAATCTTAGATGTACATGTGTATGATGTTTTTCCAGGTGAATCATCAGAGCAAACTGAAGATAAAGATAAGGAAAAGCCAGATGAACCTAAAGCTGAATAGGAAACATTTAGACAAAATCTCACTTCCACGGAATCTACCAATCCCTTTATACATTATCCCACTACAATTGGTGATGTGGAGAGCCACCTATTACCAGTGTACAATACTAAATAGCCTGGAAGGATATGGGATAATTCATGAACTTTGTTTTGGAATATTCCAAAGAACATTATGTATAAGTCATGAGTTAGTCATCACCCTTTGGACTTCATTTGAATAGGATCTCTAGAATCTGATTATGTACATTTTTGTACATAGGGTTACACTTCAGTAGGGTGTTTGCAATGCCCTATTTTGTTAAATATCTTTGTCCGTCCATTTGTCATTCCAATTTTTGGTTGACAATTTTAAAATATTGACTCCATAATATATTATTTAAGATTTGAATTGTTAATGATATCAATAAATTATTTTATAAGATGATATTCTTCTTTTTTTGTACATTATTATGATCTAGATATACAATACATGCAGCTCCTGACATGAGGGACGAGTTGTCCAGGGGATGAGTTGTCACCACCACAAGTGGTGACATATTGTTATGGTCTCCAACTTTTTTGTGGATGGTGTATGGAATTTGGTGGTTGGTGTTTGTTGGTTGGTGTTTGGCATCTGTAACAAATGGCAAGTGGTGAAATTTTGCAAGTCAATTTGTTATCATAGCACAACAAAAACAACAACAAACAGACCAGATTATTTGTGTTAAACTCGCCCTATATTTTTATTTCATGGATAGCATAGCATTACAATTTCTCCTACATCAAATCTCGTCCACCCCAACCCTTAAGTAGTTCCCAATAATTTCAGGGGGAGGGGATAGCGGGTGGGTAACAGAGGTACCTGCTGCAGAACTAGTTCATATTATATTCCTCAAAAGGAAAAAAAGTTTACAATTTTCTACATATGATACAGTATATACAATTTAAAAATGATCACTCCCTAATGTAGACTAATGTATTTGTTTCTCACCCTGGTTGTTTTCTTGGATCACAGCTGCTCAAACCAGACATTTTTCTTTAAAGGTTACTGTTACTTTTAGCTCTGGTCCTTTACACAAAATCTTAAAAACAGGGGATTCTGAATTAATATGTCTGTTTGTTTTTCTTATAATTATAATGATGAAAAACAACTCTAAAATCAAATTTTAACAAACAAATTATATCATTTTGTAATCTTGAGCAGAATTCCAGCTAAATAATAATAAATGTTGTTGAAATGAGTACACTAAAGAGCTTATGATCCAGATTCTAATGCTTCTAGGGAATGGCCTAGCCTAAAAACCAGGGTGATAAATAGAATAAATAAATACTGAGTTTAAATGTAAATGACACACTAATATATAATCACAACCTATTCAGTCCAAACCTTGTTCTGTATGCAACATGTAATCTACTCATGCATTTTGTTAGCACTTTTTGAGTGGTATTTGAATTTAAAATATATATTCATTGTACTTGTAATACCTTAGTATATAAGGTATATACAGGGTGCCTCAAAAGAATGACCAAATGCCAAGTGGCAGATACAGGCATGAAGGAAAGTGTGCTAAATTCAATGTCGTGTGTTTGAATCGAAACTAGGACCCTTTGATCCAATTAATATGAGTTATCTTCCACAGGCATCCTAGCCTAACTCGATTGGGCTTGATAAAGTAAGTTACAAATCATTATACGGTACCACATACCTATAGACTTTGATATATTGCCTCATGCCTCGCTACATTTTCCCAGGAATCACGAAAAAGATCGATAGATCCTGCAGAACTTAGAGAACATGGTTACATGTTTTTCAACAAAAACAGCTCGGCTTATTGTTCTCTTTTGTGATATCCAGGGAGAAATCTTATTAAAGGTGCTACAAATAGTGCAGGGGGGCCATTCAACGATCATCGACAAGTGTCAAAATATATTTAGGTTTGGATATTTCATCAAGACTAACATATATTTCCATTATCTACAAAGAAACCCTCTGGATGAACATTATTTCAGCTGATATTCCTCTTGAAACATGGTGGATCTTAAAAATCTATAAATGGGACTCCCTTTATAGAAGCTTTGAATTGAATTTACACTTCTTAATGCTGAAATTGATAGTTTATACATACATTTTATGAAAATAGGTATGTCAAAGAAGGTATTAAGCCAAATATTGACCTGATAGCTCAGAAAAAATATAAATTTTCGAATTTTCTCTCTACAGTCCTTATTGCCCCTTTAAATATTATGCAACTGACTTGCTCCGCTAGCAGTTCAAAAAACGCAGCCTAGGTCAATTCTTAAATGTTTAATCTGGCTGATAAATAAACATGACAGTTGGCATACTGACATCCAACATTGTCCCTCTCTGCCTACTTCAAAGCATCACATTTACTTCACCAAATAGTTGTTTTGTTTTTCATAAAATATTTTCAAATCTAATATTACAGTAGTTCAGAGAATACTTATTTCAGTAGCTAGACAATAGTTATCAGTAGCTGTACAATAGTATGAGAAAACATACATTCTCCCTTGCTAATTCTACTTCTATTTTTCTGTACAGTTTTCTCCTGACTGGTATATAAATATATGTGAATTACCCAATCCTATAATGATGTCATAAGATCATTTTCCATTTGTTCTTCTTTAATACTATGTTAAAATAAACTATACTAGTTTACAATATTACTACATGTATTTCTAAATTATTTTACACTATGGAAACACTAAATTTATTTTCTATTTTCCACTCTCTTGAATATCTGTAATATCATTGGAAAGCTCTAGTCCGCAACAGAGCAGCATTAAGGTAGTTGTATACACATAGGCTTAAAAATCACAGATAAAGTTAATTTACAAGTAATTCCTCACACCATAATGGTTCATGTCCAAGCAAAAATGAGTGTCATAGACTTCAATGGGCAATACTTTGAACTCTATTCACTGTAAAATGGGAATTATACATTGGTTATATCTGATTAGGGAATGACATACTTCCAAAACTAAGATATAAATAAAGATATTTCTGTTGCTCCTTTATCTTTTATTTCAATTTTACACCAAAATGCAATCACGTAACCATACATTCATCAAATCATTTTTAAACCACAACACAGGGCTGTGTTGCAAGTGTATAAAACTACCTTAATTGCTATAAATATGATTACAACACAAATTGAATAATATACAAACAATGAAGCAAGTATTTACATATTAGTTCTATTGCACATGTTCCTACTATATATAGAGTAATAATAATAGTGGCTATATACATATTTCAATGAAATAATACTAATATAGCATAAAATATAATATATAATTATCAACATTAACCAAAGAGCTAAAAACAGCAACTTTTCATAACATCACAACCGTAAGAATTTGTTCTTCAATCTTATTTGGATTTTTGTTGATATACAGATAGTGTATTTCCTGAACTATGATACATACTCGAATGTTTTTATACTTTGTTTAGTTTAAAGTGGCACCAACGTATACAGTGAAAAATGTTGGGAACAATCTTTTTACTAAATATGCCAAATGAATTAATTAACATCTAATCAAATATAAAAGTAATGCATGAAAATTTTAGGAAGTAATTGTAAAACTGTGACAATTTTTCAAAAAGTTTCTATATTCTTGGTTGCCTCTTTAAAATTCACATTTTTGATCATCATTCCATGCATGTACTCTGGATTTCTTTCTCTTGTTATTGATAAAGAGTGTACCTGGGCCAAAATGTCCTAGCTATTCACGATGTTCAACATAATATCTCTAATTTCTCTCTGCAGTTGAACAATCTTTGTCAGTTATAACATTTTAAACAGTATGTTCCACTTAAAGTGGAACTGCCTTCCAGTTTACCTTATCTTAACTAATTCAAAGTATATTTTGGATTTCAAAACATGACAATTACAATTTTCTCATGGCCATGGTATATGACCCTGAGCCTATCACAGACTAATAATGGATATACAATGTGCAAGGCTATGTACACCTTGCATTTGCTAAATATATGGTTTATGACTACTATAGCAAGTCATATATAGCATAAAGTCTGAGGTATAAATCCCCATTCACAGTTTTAATAATGTAACTTCGAAACCATAGACAGGATTTGACAATGACAACAATCAACTGCAATTTTCTTTTTTCCAATTTTGTATCTGCACCTTAAGCTACCATCAAATGTTAGAGTAAGGTTTCCAGTAACAGTAAGTATTACTGCTTAAAACTCCATTAGACTCGGTATTTTGGCTGTGGATCTTTCTTTATGCCTACGATGATTAATTTCCCATCATTCAATGCTGCAAGGATGTGACTGTTGTTAGGGGCAACAGCGAGACATGTGATTGGTACATGAAGTGGCAGTGAGGCTAAGGTATTCAACCTGTAAAAAGAAAATATTTTACTTAGAAACACCATGGGCTTTAGAGAAAGCCAAAAGTTATTTTGACTCCAGGAAGGAAAATTCAATACTTATTCAAGGTAATGATAAATTATACATCAATCCTAGGACCAGAGGGATTTCAAAAGAGTAAATTTGAGAATAAATACAGCATCAAGAATATGAAAGACCAATTTAGCTAGAGTTCCCCATTCTGTCTGGTGTGGAAGGACAGATGAATTAGTGAGTGACTCACTAGGCTCATTGTGTGAGCCATAACATTACTCACACTTACCCTATAAGTTCCTTGATGGCAAGAAGACCGTGTGTTGTGCCCAAGATGATATGGTTGTCGGCAATGACCATATGGGCCACACGGTGGCTTGGGGTCTCCATACATAAATACTTGCCATTGATAGAATACACATGGACAAATTGTTTGTTCTGAAATAAATCAAAACAGTTATGTTAACATACATGATGTCATTGCAAAGTGATATAAAGACACAGAGTTGAAATTGTGAGAAATTCTTTATAAAGGCATTAGCATGAAAAATGTCACCACCTGCCATTTGGAACAGACACCAAATGCCGAACTCTGAAAGCCAACCGCTGTCACATAAAAGTTGGAGACAATAAATGTCATCACTTGTGGTAGGAACGAAAAAAATCACATATGTCATATGTATTTTAAAGTTTGATATTACTGTCAATTTCCATCTGTTGTCTCAGGTGACATGACCTCTTTTAATAATTTCTGATTGTCCTATTTTTGTGTGTATCCTGAATTTTCATGCTTTGGGATACAGAATCTGGTACACTTTCTCAGTCAGCCTGAAAACTCTATTCAATTCTTTTTCATAATAAATATGGAAAATATTGTGCCCTGAATTTTATTCAGCTAGTGCCTCTAAAATTAAGATTTTCTCTGGCAAAATATATCCTGTATTTTACAGTATTCCTTGTATGTAACAGTATGCCTGAGTTTTGCAAGTGAATTTTACTTACTTCTTTCACAGGTGTATCAGGCATACTCTGTGTAGAGACTATGGCTATCTGTCCGACATCAGACAATGCTAGATGATCTATTTCCATCACATGACCACGCTCACAATGGGGTCTCAATGTCCTCATGTAGTGTCCTTTACGCACAGTGTGGAGCATTATGGTTCCATCCTGAAACAAACAGTAAATTGAAGAAAACCGTTCCTATGGCAACAATTCTAAATGATATATTTCCATCACATGACCTCGCTCACAATGGGGTCTCCTTTAAGCACAGTGTGAAACATTATAGTTCCATCACATAACAAGGCATTAACATAACAAAATGTCACCACCAAGTTGTTCACAATATTTTGGGTTCAATCTTAAGTCAGATTTGAACTTCTGAAAACTAGTAGATGATTTTGAAAATAATTGGTCAATTTGAGGCAAGTTGAAATAAAAAATACCTTTTTTCCATGAGAAGGTCATTGAAGGTCTTAAATCTAAAAGTCAGAACTTGTAGATGATTTTTGAGAAAAAATGGTCAATTTGACGCAAAAAATACAATTTTGACCTTTTTTTACCTTGAGAAGGTCATTGAAGGTCAAATCTAAAGTCAGATTTGAACTTCTGAGAACTTGTAGATGATTTTGAAAAAAATTGCAGTCAGTCTTTGCCGTATTGGTTAAGATACTTTTGGTGGTGACATAACAATGAACTCGTGGAAAAGAATTTTTGTTTTATAAAACACAAAAAGAGGTAAGGGTTTGGAGTGGACATGGATTTCTATCATATTTTAATGATGTAAGAATAAAATGATGATTAGAATTCTTAAATAATTATTCAAAAAAGACTGGTGGTTTTGATTAAAATTATTATTATTACAATACAATACATGTGTTTTACCTTTGATCCTGAAACAGCCAGGTCTAGCTCAATAGATAGCGCCACGCAGGAGACTTCATCATCATGGCCGTACAGTGTCTGTATTGGCTTCTCAACAACTCCTGTTGTTACATTATTCTAGAAGAAAAAGATACATTTAAATATTTCATATCAAAAACAAGCATGTGCCAATGTGCTCGGTGATTGGTATGGATGGCAGATCTCAACAGGGTTATTCTCAACTTCCTGTTGTTTTGGATAACATGTAAAGGTGTCACTTTAGAAGAAAGTCATACCAAAACCAGTTGTGTATATAGTGAGAATAAGTATATGTATAATGGCCATGAAATGCAATGTTCAGTGTTGGGATAAAGATAATATGAAGGAGAACGCAGAATTATATCCATCATATGGCCCGATACACTCAATGGCAATATAGGTAACTGGACAATTCGGACCCTGGACAACTCGGACCCAAGACATCTCGGACCCAAGACAACTCGGACCACTTTTTAAAATTATGATTTTTATCATTATGTGTGTGTTTTTTTTTATTTATGAAAATTAAAACATATATTATATATTGTGACTTTGTATTTTGTATTAATTTGACGAAAATGTTTTATTTTAATTATTTGATGAAAATTAAGTAGAAGATATTGGAGCCAAAAACCCAAGACAACTAGGACCACTTTCTGACATTATACTTTTGGTTGTCGTTATAGGGGATTATTTGTTTAATGTTTAGCATGACATATTGTGAGTTTATATATTGTATTTATTTGATGAAGATCTTTCAATTGGTAACTTTTCAATTAACTTATTTGATGAAAGTTAAGAAGTAAGAACAGTAAGAGAATATTGAAGCTGAAGACCCAAGACAACTCGGGCCACTTTTTGAAATTTTAGTTAATCTAATTAAAACAATTTTCATCGGATTAACACAATATGTGAATTCACAATATATAATATATGTCATAAAAAACATTAAACAAAAAAATTAGAACCCCATACAATGATAAAAACCATCATTTCAAAAAGTGGTCCAAGTTGTTTTGGGCCTTGAGCTTCAATGATTTCTTACTTCTTAACTCTCATCAAAACATTAATTAAAAACAATTTCATCAAATTAACATAATATATGAAATCAAAATATATAAAATGTGTCAAAATAAACATAAATAAAATAATTAAAACCAAATATAATGTTAAAAATCATCATTTCAAAAAGTGGTCCGAGTTGTCTTGGGTCCGAGATGTCTTGGGTCCGAGTTGTCCAGGGTCCAAGTTGTCCTGGGTCCGAGTTGTCCGGAAAACCGCAATATATACCCTAGAACTAACATTTTGTGATTTTCAGTTTTTTCAATGAATTACTAAAATAACACCTTAATATTGCTGTAATAGAACTTAAAAATTACATTATGATGATCAAACTAAAACATATTTATTTTCACACTTATACTCACAAGAAGAATGATCATATATAGAGTAGTTTTTGGTAAAACTAATGCAATCAATGGAGTTATATGTGTGATAACAGTGAATACTGTTAGGATATTGGGATATTGGAAAGCAAAAATTAAAAATTTTAATTGATGAGATACCCAGAACTACTGATAAAAAAATAACATAGGGTTGTTGGTATATTGTGTGACAAAAATATTAACATGAATGGGCCAGGTGGACAAGAGAGTATTTGGTCTTTTTCTACTTCACTGGTGATCCACTCGATTACACTGGAACAGTTTCGGTAACAAAATGTCGGAACGTCGAAGGCACGATTTTTCTTTTTTTCTTATTTCACACGTTGTAAGCAAAATTCCCACGACGTTTTTATCACAAACGTGTATCAGTATTAAGAAAATGTACACATTTGCGAACAAACAGTTCCAAAGACAACGGAATCGTCGATTTAATCCCTCACTTAAGTTACCGAAATGGTATTTCGAAAAACAGTTGAGATCTGCACTTTTAACCCTTACCGTTTATGTAACGTGAGGAATTAAATCGACAATTCTGTTGTCTTCTGAATTATTTTTTTGCAAACATGTACCTTTTATAAAACATATGATACTGATACACGTTTGTGATAAAAAAAGTCGTGGGGATTCTGCCTACAACAAGCGAAATAAGCAAAAAAGAAAAATCGTACCTTCGACGTTCCGACATTTTGTTACCAAAACAAACCGTTTCGGTAACCAGCGTAATCGTGCGGATCACCAGTGTACTTATAAAGCATAACACTTTTGAACAAAGGTTGTATTTCAAGGAGCAGTCTTATCATTGTACTGAATAGAACCCAAGTTGGTAAAAACATGGGCTTTCAATCTATTGAATGTCCATGGTAAAAAACAATCAAGTTATTATTATAATATGTTCCTAAAACTTCAATTTTTAAGATATGGTGGCCATTCCTACATTTTTTGGTGGTTATTTTGAATTGTGATGACATTGAATATTCCAACTTGAGCAGAGGTCCAATGCCCATAGGCATCACCCTTTTTAATTCAAAGCAAGTCTGACAACCTGTATTTGACTTACTACCAGAAATATCCAAATTGCTTCCCTATATCCCTACATGATCTTCTCTTGTGAAATAATAACCAAGGACAATATCTGAATATTGCCACCTGACAAATGTGATTATTATACTGTATTATTACCACCTTGCCGGGCCAGTTCTAGGGGTTTTAGTGCTAGTTTAGAAAGCATTCATTTTACTATATCGACCTGAGCAATATGTGACGTCATAGTGGTGGTCAATATTGCCGGTCAAGAATGCATTTAATGACCGGCAATTTCCACGGGAAATTAGATATCGTTCAGTGTGTAAGATTTTCTTGCTGTTTCAGTCCTGGTCATTAACGGTGGTAATAATACTAATAACATCATTTCTGCGGGCAATATAGTGAAATATTGGACTGAGGGCAACATAGTGATATATTGGAGATACTATCTCATAATGTAGGTAATATAATAACAATATATAAGATATGAAACAACAAAAATCTCTTCGGGAGATTTTCCTACATTAGCAATGATAGGCAGGTGCATGTCTCTAGCTCAAATGTATTTAAATAGGGTGAAATGATTTATACTATATTTATACTATATATTTATTACTTAAATGAGACTCAGAATATTGGGATTATCCCGAGGCGAATATAACTTCCTCATTTTAAAGCACTTGTCGGTTCTGCAGAATAAGTCATGTAGTAAATGGAGCAAGTTGAAGTTATGATGAAAATTTCAAAGGAAACAATTCAAAGAATCGTTAATAGCTTGATAATGAGGCGGCTTTCTGCCCAGCAGCAGTCTTCAGTGCATATATCATAGTAGCCTGGCCAGAACAAGTCATGCCTCTCTATTTTCTCAATAACTTTCTCAATTTTGAATATATTTTCATGAAATTTTCACAGAATAAACTTTGAAGAATTCTTAACATACAAATTTTTTTATATGGTAAATGCCTGATTAATTTCATTGTTACAACCTTTTAAAAATTAATGTCATATTCTGTTGATGGGTCATTTTTGTCGCCATTTGAAAGCATCTTTTATCTCCATCAAGTATGACAATAGGCGCCTTTTATGGGACGAGCAGTATAGAGGCTTGGGATCATGAGGTCTTGAAATAGTATGGTGGATTTAGAACACTAAGAAAGATAAATGATTCCCTATCAAAGACTGCAATCAAATTTGTAGACCATATTAGGACAAAACGTAATAGGAGATTTTTCGTATCTTTTTAGAAAAAATGGGGACAGAAATGACCCATCAACAGAATATGACATTATTTTTTAAAAGGTTGTAATAATGAAATTAATGAGGCATTTACCATATAAAAAAATTTGTATGTTAGAAATTCTTTAAAGTTTATACTGTGAAAATTCATGAAAAAATATTAAAAATTGAGAAAGTTATTGAGAAAATAGAGAGGCATGACTTGTTCTGGCCAGGCTACTATAGATTTAGAACTCGGAAGATCAAAGCAAAAATCATCCTACTGGTTCATAAGTCACTTGACCAAGAACCCTTCATATTCATGAATGAAAGTTTTTTCGTCTGAACTTGGAATTAAATCTGGGGGCTCTGCGCTCATCTGCATATTTTCAAATATGACCAAGAGTGACAATTAGTGTTAATCTATGTTCAATTTTTCATTGGTCATAACTATTCAATGTTCTTTCTAAAAGGTCCATGTGCAGTATGGCAAGTGATTTTAGGCATAATTACAATGGTTTTTATTAAAATAATATGTTTTCTTTCAAGTGAAGTCCCCATGATAGTTTTCAGCATCATTTTGGTCATTGAAATTTGATATCTTCAAAACTGGACTTTCAATACCATTATATTTTTGAAGATATTTTAGACCCCTTGTTGAATAATTTTTTCATGCAATAAAAATCAGAAAAAGAGATCCTCTTTTGAGTAAATAGTATAAATATAGTATAAATATAAAGAGTAAATTCAATATTTTGAAAAAAAAATGTTGACATGGGGTCCCTATTCATAATTTTTCGAATTGTTCGATTGATTTTTTTATCATCATGGGTACTTCACTTGAAAGAAAACATATTGTTTTAATAAAAACCACTGCATTTATGCCCAGAAACTCATGGTGAAAGATATGACTGCTCTAAAATCACTTGCCATACTGCATGTGGTCTTTTGAATGAACTGTCTCATTATTTAGGAATATAGAGTACTATAATCAAATATTGAATATGTCTCTTTACTTTATTCCTTATTATTATTTCCCAAGCTATTGTCCATTCTAAAACGTGACCATTAGTACAATTTCTCAAGAACATACCTGGTTTGTAATCTGCCAGATCATAGAGGTGGTATCTCTAGAACCGGTGATCAGATGATTGCCACAGTAATCAAGCGCCAAACAAGTGATTACATCTGCAAAATAGAGGCAAAACATTTCATCACATCAACATGTACTGTCAAATTAAACTGTCAGATATATTAAATCAAACTACTTATAATATAAAACATGTCTCATCCGGATGCCACTTTGACAAGCCAAAAGTGCTCAGATTGGCAGGTGTTCAATTTCAAGTTTTTAAAAATAATTTTTATTTAACAAATCATATTGTATCTATACAATAAAAACATTTTTAACGAAATCACATTTTGTTTTGATCACCCATCCGTTCATATCAACTCTTTAAAACACAATTTATTTATTTGACTATCAATATGTTTTCATTATGCAAGGTTTAACTCCATGGTTTACCTGTATGTCTTACTGCATGACAGACAGTTTTACTCTTCACGAGGGAGTACACCCTCAAGCTGTTGTCCCAATGCCCCCCACAGAACAACACCTTCGCATCATGAGACACCACAAACAGTTTTGAAGTTATTGTCATTCCTGGTGCGAATGGTCCAGCCAGTTTTCTTTTAGCCCTTTAAAATAATAATAAACATTTACTTTATCTTTTGGAAGCTCATGTGTTCAGAATGTATCCTAAAAATGCAGTGAATGGGCTGATCACTGAATATATTCCCATTGGACATGATTGCATAAAATATTATATCGATGCAATAATATGTCATAATATATTTCATCAAATAAAATATCCCACCATATATGGAAGTAAATCTTCCAGTGGGGAAAAATGCTCTTACCTGTTTGTGACCATTGAAGGGTCCCTCTCAAAAGTGAAGTAATTTGAGATTGATTTATCATATGGTAACCAGCCATGTATTCCTACGACCCCCTCATTTGATACGCTCACCTGAATAAAAGAAAACAGCCAATTAAAATGGTCAGAATAACGACATAGAGCATGTTTTCTGTATAGCTACGTCTGCATAGGGTAAAGAATAATTCTCTGAATAAAGTATCTACATTTTCTAGCATTTTCTTAACAGGGTACAAAGTTAGCAATTTTATATATTGTAATCAAAATTTGTGTGGCACCCACCCGCCCACCTGTCTAGACACAAGCGCACAAGAATCAGTTACATAAAGATGTATTTTGTTGTTAAAACAAATAATTCAAAAATAAGCCAAATGTGTTAATTACAACATGTTATAAAACAGATTCTTGAACCCAATCAATTAACAACATGAGCAATTTTATATATTTTTAATTTAGGGGAATTAACAGTTTTTGAAATAAACAAGAATTATATGGTGCCCAGGCAGACGAACCCATGTCAATAATACATTAAAAAACTGATTTGATGTACACTGTTATTTATAAAAATAAGCCAAATGTGTTAATTACAACATGTTATAAAACAGATTCTTGAACCAATCAATTAACAACATGAGCAATTTTACATATTTTTTCTTTAGGGTAATTCACAGTTTTTAAAATAACAAGATTTACATGAGATAGACAAATGCACATCAGATATTTATGTAAAAATATTTAGACATACATGTATTTTGTTATTAAAATAATCTAAAACTAAACCAATATGTTGATAATAACAACATGTTATGAAAACAGATTTCTGAACTTAATCAATGACTCAGATGCGAGTAGATAGTTACCAGTTTCACCACCAGGTGGCTCGTTCGGGTCAGATAGCATGGCGGATATAGTTCCTTTTAACTTAATTTACATCTGTTTAAGTTTCAGTGGTTCAATTTTCATATCAACCTTATGTATCTAATAGTTATGCAAATTACAATATGTCCAGTAAAAGAAAATGTTTTCTGTCCAATAGAAGAAAAGATATTTCACTTAATGTGATTTTATAACATGGGGTATATGGGGAATCTCCCTGAACTAGAATTCACATTTTCAAAGGAAATTAAATTTCTTTAACAATTTTTGAAACCACATTTCTAGATGTACTTTTACATGTAAATTTCAAATATGACATCACTTTGAATTTTGAATATTTAATGATGTAAATCAAGATAATTTTCCCACAGAGACGCACACACAAATCAGATATATAGCATTAAAACATATTTCTGTTATTCAAATATCAAAATGTGTTAAGGTGTATTCTGTTATTAAAATTTAAAAATAAAATAAATATGTCAAGAAAAACATATAAAACAGATTTTTGAAGTCCATTAATAACAACATGAAGATTATTACATGAATTTAGGGAAATTAAAAAATAGCAGGTGGTTGCTGATGTACATGGGTTCATTAAAGATGTAGTAAGCATATTTGAATAATATTCATTTCAACATTTTTAGTTTTAAAGAAATAAATATCATTCAAGCAATTTGGTATTGAGTTAGATTCCTAAGATTTTGATGGGGACAGCACATACTGTATACAGTATATGGAGTACATCCATATGTACACAAATCATACATATGATGGGTTTTATCATTACTTGGATTAGCGATATTAGGTGTACTGTACTTTTCTTCAAGAGAAAATAACCTAAAAGATATATCTCTGATCATTTCAAATACAAGTTCTCAAAAAGATTCCAATCAAATGGTGATGTTACTGACAACTAAAGACGCACAAATATGTAAAGTCATCGATGAGACCATATGATTGGTTCTTGTAACAGAATTACCAAACAAAATAGGGAGGTTAACTTAAACATTTAAAAAAAACTTGTTGTGAATGTGTAGAATTATGGTCCACCATGAATTAGTTCTCCCATTGTAGTGTTTACTTGGCCGATTGAGTAAAAAGGAATATGGGAAATAATTGTAATTAGGTCCCTGGGAAAGTGAATTGAGAGCAGAACAGTAGCTAATCCCCAGTTGTTGAAATATTACATGCTGACGTACAGGTTCTCTTAAAAATGTGCAACTTAACCTCACTAATATTAAATATTCGGGACTTTTATTTATTTTTCATATCATCTCTAATGGGGTATATGGGGTCAAAGAGAACTATAAATCTTAACTAATAAACATTAAAAAAATATTAGTTAATCATTAATCAGGAGAAGTATGATGATGGACATACAAAACCAAATCATGTTGAATAAGGGAAATTATAAGGGATTTTACTGTGATGGAAATAAGCTTAAAACATGCTGAAATTATTTCATGTTGACTAATACCTTCCTAGTATAACATTAAGGTAGCTTGAGTGGCACTACAAATTGAATTTAGTGTCAGAATTCATTGAAAAATATAATGAATATGTCACACAAATCTAATTCATGTAAAAAACAAAAAAAGTTTCTCACCATGAAATTCATTAGTTAGATTTTTACTTCAAGATTTTATCAATTTGTAAAGTTTACACCTTAATAATACCTCGTTAAATGTAGCAGGGCAAATTCAAATCGTTCCACATGAGCTACCTTAATTTTAAAACATGCTTGAAAATGTATTTCAAATCTACATGTATTTTTGAAATAAGCTTCATTCAGAATCTGCAGCATGCTAGGTTGGTGGTATAACAAATGTCACAACATATTGTTTTAAGCTTGTTACCATGGTATCCTATAACAAAGAAATGTTCAATAATTTATTCTGAAGAAAAAAACACAAACATTTAAATTAGATTTTAGATTTCTATTTCTTGTCACCTAAAGATGGTATTCGAAGTTGATTCATTGTAAAAAGTTTCGAGATTATTGACAAAATAAAATTTAAGAAAATTGAGGAATAGATAAAAGGGCTAATAAACCTGAAATTCTCATTGTAAATAACCTTTACACATGTTTAAACATGTAACACTTTTTTAAAGTCCAACTTTTAAAATCCATTGACTTATATACATGGAAGCTGTGAAGTGGAACATCTCCAAACTTGAACATATAGAATGCATTATTGAAAAACCTGTGTAAGTGAAGTAGTCAAATTTAAAAAATCAGAGAATTTATCTCCCTGGCAGGAAACAACAACTTACACAACTTGATGATTGGCAAATCATAATAATTATTGAAATGAAATAATAACCTCCCACTGCAGTTTTGGGCATGAAAACACAACTTGATATTAAAGCAAATATGATAAACCTCCTGGAGAGACTGCTGTGGGTCTGTGGGATGTTATCCCTAGGTAATATAATCTCTATTGCAAAAATCAAGTGTCTTGGCCTAAGTTTGTAAGAGAATCAAGCACAATGCTCTTAAATCCCTGTAGCACCATTACCTCAGTTGTAAATGAACTCGCAAGTGGAACAATTTTTGGCAGAACTAAGGGCATTACACTTACACAGGTTCATGTATTATTGTATAATGTTAAATAATTTATACAATCAGTAGACTTGTAAATGAACATTCTTCTTTAAATATATCAAAGCTTGAAAGAAATCCCTCACCTAGTAAGTAATATGACTAAGCTTAGTTAAGTTCCAATTTCATTGAACTGCATTTCAATTCCACTACTTTTTCAACTTTAAATGGCAATTGATTCACTTTCTATATGAACAATCTTTTTCAAGTTTCACTGAATACAGAAAATGAGGTTTATGTAATTTATATAACAATACAATTAACAAGGCATTAACAAGACAAAATGCCATCACCTAGTTGCTCACAAATTTATTAGTTCAATCTTAGTCAGATTTGAACTTCTGAGAAATTGCAGATGATTTTGAAAAGAATTGAAGTCAGTACAAAAAAATATTTGTTTAGTTATTGAAAGTTTTTAGAATTTGTTAGAAAATTTAGTATCATGATATCTGACTATTTAATCTGATTAGATAAAGTTAGATCTCAGAATGATTTCTAATTTAAAGAGTATAAATTAAGTCAACATTTTGGGAAGGGTATACAATAACTGAATTAATTAGTGTAAAATATATTTATTTACTCACCATAGCATCAGGCATGCCATGCTGTATGAAGGACCTGGCTTGACTTCGTGGTATGGTCACATACTTAATGGGGTCAGTCTCTGAACTCACCTATTAAAAACAAACATCAAGCAAGTAAATGGATTGAAGACATGCTATGAGAAAATATGAAAGGTACATGTAGAAAATTTGAAGGTCACATAATAATGGTGATCTATATATTTGGCAGACAAGTCTTGAAAGTTCATTGAATATCAACCATCGAAAATAAAAGCATGAAATAAACAAATACAAGGCAATAACATGCCAAATGTCACGACCTACCATTTGTTACAGACACTGAACACCAAATACCAACTGCCAAACACCAAACACCAACCACCGACGACTATCCACAAAAAGTTGGAGACTCTAACAATATGTCACCACAAATGAGTACTCTCAGAAAGAACTTAAGAATATAGTGCAAGTACGGGTAATAAAACTTTTTAATTTGCTTCAGTACATCTTAAATAATTTAGAAACTACTCTCCAGTGACACTATAAGTGATTAGACGCAAATACGCCTCTTGAAAGCCTCTGAATAAACTAAAAATACCTGTAAACATTCAGGCACTGGCCAAGTCAAGTTGATTGGTAATATTGTATGAAGCTAATTAACTCAAAGATTTGACGGAGTGATCCACTTGTGTGCAGTGGAAAACCAGAACTAAATCCGATTATAGAGAGTGGGAGAATGCTGTCATCAATTTTAATCATTGACTCCACATGAGAAATATATGCTTAATTAGGAAACCAGTTCAACAGTATTTAGGTTATTGCCCAGACAGACACACTGACAAACTTAAAAGTTGGAGGGATTCCCTATTTCTACCTAACTTTGATCATTCAGAAAATCAAGAGCTGTTTGAACTGTCAATAATCTCACAAAATACTGTATATGTACTGTAGTGTAATTATTTTTAAAGTACTAATCTGGTAGTAATGAACTACATTATGATGATTTTCAATGTCTATGATCTTCTTATTTTTAGTTTCCGACGATTCTTTAAAAATTAATTAATGAAGTCAAGATCCTATTTGTAAACAGCTTATATGGGGCTTAAGAAGTAGAGTCTCATGTTTTGATTAACATTGTCCGAGCCAAAATATTCACATGAGTCATGCCTATTTCATGCCATTTCTCTCTAAAATTTGAATGAACTGTCTGATTTTCTGGCATTCTTATATAATTTAGATTGTTAACTACATTCCCATTTATTCAATTTGCTTTGTTTTCACTCTCTCTCATTTTATTTTAGATTTTAAAACATGCCTTATTTTTTTCTTTATTGTACATGGAGGTGATCTAGTCTGACCATAAATAAGCTAGATATTGAGAGAATTAATTAGTGGAAGACAGATTGATTAAGGTCTACAGTTTTTATGGTTTCTTTATTATTACATGAAACATCAGTTGACAAGTGAAAGCACCTAAGTTAATTCTATTTTTAAGGTTTATTGGACAGTATCAGATTTAAATAATAAACAGTGTTTGTAAACAATGTCCCTCCGATTTACTTTCTGTTTTCATTACAAGGGTAATCTGACTGAAAAATTGACATTTATGCTTGCTGATGAGACTTTTTCAAAATGGGGGCAAGACTTTTTTAGATTATTTCACAGTATTGTAAAATGCTTTTTAATCAAATTGCATTAACCCTAAGATTTATATCTATGATTATTTTAGTATATGCAACATTGTTTTAAAGAAATAATACATGCCTTTGTATATTTTAATTCATATTGTATAGATGTATGTAGCCAGACTGGGTAATAATCCATGTGCCACTGTTATAAAAGTGATGGCAAATAAATAAATTAAAAAAAAAAAATTTGTTGATTCACTACTGATAGCAGACACCCTACTATTCAAATAGAGTGTTCATACCCTAGCCCCAATACATTTTTAAGTTGACGTTAATCGGTGATGTCTCCAATTACCCAAATGCGAGTAGGTTTCACCACCAGGTGGCTGATTTGTGATTTTATAGCATGGGGTCTATGGGGAATCTCCCCGAGCTAGAAGTCACATTTTCAAAGAAAATTAATTAAGTTGATAAACACTTTTTAAAACCACATTTCTAGATGTAATTTTACATGTAGAATTCAAATATGATATTACTTTGACTGAATTCTACTACTCGCATCTGGGTTATTGGGATTAAATTCTCTTGATATCGAACTCTCCAGTTAAAAACAAAACATTTGGTTACAAAAATAGTTATGTAAAATAATATGCTTGGTGCAAGCTTTATTTTCAAAAGAGCTATCTCATTAAGATTTTTCAATTAAAAACCCCTTGTAAAAAAAGTTGCTAATTTATGGTACCAAAGGAGAACATAGATCAAAACATATTGATTATCAAAGAGTAATATGTGGGCTTATCATAGACATCAGACAAACAAAATGATTAGTGGATTCAAGTGTCATCTCCCTCAGAATTACAATAGCCAGTTTCATCCTCTTATCTCAAACAAAATGGTTTTCAGTGGGCTCAGATGGTGAAATAAAAAAAAGAAACATTTTTGTAAAGATGATTTAATTTTCATTACTTTTCCCAAATTTTGAAAAAAGGCACGTTGCAAATTCCTTACTCCATATTTAACCAACAATTTGACATACTTTGAAAAAACTTGAATATCCTGAATTTGTCGGAAGAAAAAATCATAAAACTGAAACTGTTTACATAGCAGATGCAAAGAAATTCAGTCTCAACACCGCAAAATCTTAACAACATAAAAGCAACATTAATGTTACTGTTACTTTAAATAGGAAGATGACTAAATTGCATAATAAATGTATTTCTACTTACAACAAAGACGCAAATATTATTATGAAAATGTGATACTTTGATGATAAAACAAGGCAAAACTGAAGTCAGGTCTGATGATGTAAGTTACAAGTAGGGACCTAATAAAATAGATTTATGCATTAGTTCAGATAAATGGCAGTTTTTCATTTGGCAGATAAATTGCTGATTAATGGACAAAGGTACAGACTCACTGATGTCAGAAATACAAAATAGTCAAACTTACCTCTACAAAGAAGGCTTTAAGGTTTTGATGGAAGTCAAACTTACCTCTACAAAGAAGGCTTTAAGGTTTTGATGGAAGTCAAACTTACCTCTACAAAGAAGGCTTTAAGGTTTTGATGGAAGTCAAACTTACCTCTACAAAGAAGGCTTTAAGGTTTTGATGGAAGTCAAACTTACCTCTACAAAGAAGGCTTTAAGGTTTTGATGGAAGTGGAAAACACTGAGGGGTTTGTCATTTTTGTTTGCCTTGTTGACAGTGTCCTCAAAGAGCAGTCGTTTAGGATGAGGCTCCTGAAAATTTAAATATTCATACGAGGGTCAATCAAAATGTTTTTTTATGGTTGCAGGATTATTGTATGCTGTTCACGTACATTGAAGATTTTCTTTCTGAAATATACCACAAATAAAACTTGATTGTTTTGTTTCACAATTGTTTGGAAATCAAAATCATTTATTTTCCTTATACTTATTGAACTCCCATAAGTTTACCTTCAGAAGCTGACAGGGTGTCTGTCCAAAGTTATTGATCATGCCCTCTAAAGCCTTCCTTTCAATAGGATTAGATATCGCATCCAGATCAACTGCACCTGAAAGACACATAGAATATCCTGTGATTTTTGGCTGTTATGATTTTTTAAATCTGTAATTGAGTGGAATCAATCATATCCATAGATTAGATAATATGGTAAACAAGACACAAGGTTAACAGTATGATGATTGTACATCACCAATGGCCATCTTAAAATTATTTCCAGCATTTCCAAAACCAAATCAGATATAGATTTTCATTAAGAAACATCCCTAAATTCAAATAAATCTTTGGCAGTTTTCTGAAAAAAGGCAGTTTGTCTGTGCAGACGGGAGGTGTTGTCAACCATCAACCCACACACCCAATCACACACTGCTTGTAAAGCAAACAGACGATCATGTAACTTTTTTAAGTACGAAATAGTATGGTATGTATCCATTCTCATAGCCAAAATAAAGATTTGAGAAAAATCCAATTATGATTTTGGGCCTAAAAAATTTGAAAGTGAAAATTTTTTCATTTGAGGAATTATTATTTTTAAAAATGGTTCCCTATATTTTATTAAACAGTAAAAGAAAACAATAAGGAATTATATGATATACACCAGCGCTATAACCTTTGAATTTGATATGTTCAGTTTGAAAATTTCAAAATTACAATGGAGTTTTATGACAATATGTCAAAATCTATAATATCTAGAAAATGTAAAAAAATCAAAATAATTTTATGAAATTGACCCTTTTAATTTTCCAAAATTGACAAAATAGTGTTCCATGCCAAATGGATTTGATCTACATGTATGTTCTCAGTTGATTTCCCTGTTATTTTAGTTAAAAGTCAATCATCGCCTTACTTATGACATGAGCATATATTCAAAGAGGCAGTGTGTTAAATATTATAGCAGTGAGTGATACAATAGATGTATCCTCATATTTTCTCTCTACAATCAGTGTTTGGAGAAATCACTCAAAAAAATTAACATGTGAAATTCCCAACATTTTTTACAACTGATTGTTTCTTAAAACAATAGATACCTTCATATGTACAATAGTAGAATACATTAAGTGCCTCTGCTGCAGCAGGTCCTTTCTGTTTGTAACCAAATATCAGGTCTATCCACTCATGTAGGTGAGAAGACACATGTTCAGATTCCTGAAAGATTCAAAGTAGATTAAATACATGTACCTGTCAATGTGTCCTTATTATTCATGCAAAGTGAGTATCCTATATACACATACAAAGGCCGATCCAGAAGTTCTGATAAAAATGCCCTAACTTTAAAATTTTTCATTCGTTTTCCACAATATTTTCAGAGATTGTATACTGTATGTATATATCTTTTATTGACTCAATGATCATGTAATATAAATGACATCAGGATATAAGGCAACTTTAATCAGGTCTCAAAGCTACCCACTTGAATGTACAAAAATGGATAAAAACAATTTTATGATTCCTGAACAATTTATGAAATGAAAACAAACATGACTGAGGTATAGTCCTTGCTTGAATCACATGTTAAGGTTTTAACTCGTGCTAGACTAACATATTAATGTTTGACTCAGTGACATAATGGTAAAATTATATCATAAAGACTGTCACACTGTGTACATTAAGATAGTGTCTATATCCGCCAATTTTAATTGGAAGCTTTGTGAAACCAGAGCTTTTCCTAGCTTAGTTTCCTAGTCTTGAAAGCTAAGCTTCAATTCCAGCTCTATTAGGGAATGACACCAGGGAATTTAATGAATAACAAGCTAAGCTACACTGCAATAAATATTGCTCTCGAAGAACAAAATGGCCCACTCGTAAATTACCCAGCATGCCTCAATTCTATAAAATCAGACTTCAACACAAGTCTGTTTTGGTATCTTAACATTAGTTTTACAATTTCTAAAAGTTAAACGATTAAACAGTTTTGGTAACTTGATGGAAATATCTCTTTTGCTGGCAAACCAGTCGCTCCCCATGCACATTCATCAGTAAGACAAGCAATACAGAACATAAAAATATGACCAAATAAAAAAGGCAAATATTACCTCCTTCATGGGTACTTACCAGTGCTTGTCGATGTTTATGTATAAAGTCTTCGGGAGATGTGGCCCAAGTAGGAAGTATCACATCATTCACTTTAGTTTTACTGATCTGCAGTTGTCCAAGATCAAAGTCTGAAAAGTATAGAACATAAAATTAAGACTATGCACGATAAAATATGTTACATTACTAATCGGGAGGTTGTGGGTTCGATTCCTACCAGGATGGAGTGTCTTTTTCACATCAGCCCTTAGCATAGGATTTGATCCTATGTTTTCAGATTAATTAATTGAATTTTCTGAACTTTTGAAAAACACAAAATGTCACGAAAATTAAATGGTTAGATCTCAAGAATTGATGTTAGCGTGGAACGTGACTACTAGCAAGTTGTAATAAAATACAGATTGATCAATTTCCTTTAGATTTGGTTATGTTTATGTGATAATTTGGTGATAATTCCTAAATAATACAATCAGATATGTTATCAACTGGAACGGTAATCTAGTGGGATAAATATCATGATTTTGCCTTTAATGATACAGGAAACAATCTTCTATATAAAGTAGTACTGTATGTGACAGATAGCATACTTTTAAGTTATACTCATTACCATGACAACTGGATGACATCTCATTCCTCCTCAAGTATCAAGATGAAAAGATATTTCTCGTAACTTGACTTTAGGAGTGTGACATGTACTATACTTAAATCAATGAAATGTGTAACAATATTTTTCATGGATGCACCACTTTGTGTGTGCCATGTTACAAAAGTAAAATTCAATAGCTAAATGAAACAATAACACAAGGCATAAACATGCAAAATATCACCACCTGCCATTTGTTAAAGATGCTGAACACAGACCACCAAGCACCAACTACTGGACACTGTCCAAAGAAAATTCTTGTGGTGACATGAAAGTCACAATGGTCATAAGTTTTATGATGAACAGCAATTTCATCATACAACAAACAATCTAAATAATTAAATCTCAAGTACAGCGTAGACAGAACAAATCTACAAATGGTGCATTCTTCAATATTAATTTATGTTTCATTAATTTTTCATGCAAACCTTTCAATGATAAATAACATAAAGAATTGAATCTTGCCACCTACTGTATAAGTGGTATTTAATCCGAATGGTTAATTTGCCGAATGGTCAATGGGCAAGTTAAATGATTAGGCAAAATTACCACTTATACATTAATCTCATACTTACGGTTGTGATTCTCCAAGAATTCATGTGTGTAGAAGAACTCCGGAATGAGTTCCTTTACATCATTGGGGTTCTCCATCAAGGACTTCCACGTTGCGGGAATGGAGTGAAACTGGCGATCAGCTACGTCAAATCTAAAACAGTTATGAAGACAAAAGTGAAATATTAACATGCAAATTGTCACCACCTGCCATTTGTTACACGTTCCGATCACTGAATGCTGTTACAGACACCAAGCAACAACAAACACAGAATACCATTCACAAATGTTACAGACTTTCACAATATGTCAACACTTGTGGTGGTGACAAAATAAACTGAAATAAATGAAAAAAATATGCAAGGAATAAAGTAAGTCACCAATCCAAATTGTATATAAATGCTAGAGAAAGCAGTTTATTAATTAACACCCTTGGTATATGCAGCTACCGATAATGGACGGGGCAGGTGTGACAACGTGACAAGGTGGAGGTCTGGAGGAATGCTATGTTATATTGAAATCAAACTACAAATCGGCAACTCCACGGAGTAGCAAATCCCAACGAACACGAGATAAATAATAAATCTGTACGTTCACAATGTAATATTTACCATCTACTCTTCTCTTCAATAAACACTTGAGATCATTGTAGTATCATGTAGCCATACTTAAAGATATCTCAAGTAATGGCGAATTCCCGCTCTTGGCAGCCATTTTGAATTTTCTGAGGCACAAATCAGAAAAATGATACCATATTTATGATCTACTGGTGAATTAATATGACGTAATATTGTTTTTATTTAATTGTTTTGTAGCGCTTCAGTTCAGGCCATCTCGAAAAAAATCTTTCCACCAAATATGGAGAAAATTCATCCCCTAGTATTCGAGTTATCTTCCGGACAGACAAACTGGTGAACTGACGGACGGATGGCTTCACTATATCCCTACTGAACTTCTTTCGTTGGGATAATTACTCTAGTGTGTTTGGAACTCAACCAATTTTTCATCGATTTTTAGACAAAATAGACAAATTCTTTAAACATACATATTCAGGCTGTGGCACCCACCTAGTCCATTATCAGTAGCTGCATATACAGGGTGTCCAAAAAAAAACAGGACCGTAAGAAAGTTGAATAACTCGGTCAATTTTGGATATTTTGCCTTGAAATTCCAGAATTATTTAGTCAATTCAATGTGAATTTTGCTGTGAAAGTTTGATAATAATCTACCAATTGAGTCAAAAACTACAGCTCCTTACAAAACATGCCCCAAATGTGCAAATCTCATCTCTATGCACAATTCAATCCGGCGAACAAAGCTGTTGATGATCCTCCTACACACATGTCTTTTTGAATGGACAAGTTTGTTCCAAGAACAATTGCTACTGGGGCTTAAATCCTCCTGATGAAGTGTTACAGCATCCATTGCATTCTGAACAATGCACTCTCTGGGTGACAATGAGGAAACATGGATTCATCAGTCCCTTTTGGTTCGAAGGTGACTGGAGACTTGCTATCACCATGAACAAGGACCAGTAAGTTCTCACCAAGTTTTGGAGGTCACTAAGCACCAGAAGAGACATCTAAGGAGATAATTAAGCAGTGGTTTCAAAAAGCCAATACCACCCCAACACTGCAAATGATATGCCGAAATGGTTTAGGCAATGCTTTGGTGGTCAGCTCATCAGTTGCAGAACGCAAACCATATGGGCAGCTCATTCGCCTGATCTAAATCCCCCAAATTTTTATCTTTGAGGATTTCTCAAAGTCAATGTGTATACTTACAGGCCCCTAACAATCTTAAGAGGGCAATAACTACCCCAATATTTACCATCCACATTAATGTGTATAGGTAAGGGTCATTAACAACTTTGTTCGCAGGATTCGTTTGTGCGTAGAGAGGAGAAGTGCCCAATTTGAGCATGTTTTGTAAAGGACTGTAGTTTTTGACACAATAAACAGTTTATCATCAAACTTTCAGAACAAAATTCACATTGAATGAACTAAATAATTCTTAAATTTCAAGGCAAAATATCTAAAATTGACCGAGTTATTCAACTTTCTTACGGTCCTGTTTTTTTTTGGACACCCTGTACCAAGGGTGATTAAGAAATTAAGTAACAAGTAGACCCCCTCTTAACTCAAACCCTTCTCTAGCTGACCAAATTTTAGACCTACCTCCCACTCTGTAACTGGATATGCAAAGTAGTAAAAGGTTCAAGTCTCAGCAAGAAATGCATGACACCAGCAGCATTGGAGTAATGGGTACCATAGTGAAACTTCTCAATGGTGCCAGTCAGATCCTCAAAGTTATTAAACCTACAAAAAGTCATTTTCAGTTAATGCACAAAAATGCATATTTGTTTTAATTGTTGTAAAAATTAGTTTTTTCTGGATTAAAATAAAACAAAAATATTAAAGGCACATTTGAAGTAAGGAAAATCTGATTATTTCATTAATTGCTAGGACATTAGGCTTGAGGTATTCGTTTTTAAGACAAGTTTTGCTGTTTTGAGATTTTGCAAGGCAATTTATATTAGTGGTATTCTGACTGATTACAGGGTTGGTCAGATGGATTATCATATCATTTGTAAAAAATGTACTTACTTTTCTCTGACCTCCTCTTCATTTTTAGGGTTAACAACACCAATGGGCTTGGCTAGATCTCTGTAGACTTTAGGGTCTTCAATGTCCAATGTCTCAGAGGTATAGTCAGCTAAGATCCAAGGAAACTGAAATGTAAAAACAAAGTTTTGACTCTTTTAAATCAGACAGTGCACATATATACATAATTGATAATCCATTCACTTGTATTTGGGATATCAAAGATAATCCCTTCCCGAGCAGAGGTCCTTTCGTCATCAATCAGTGTTTGAGATATTCCCCAAACACACTGACAGACAAACGGATGGATGGCTTTTCTCTATCCATCTTGACCTTCTTTCAGTTGGATAATCAATTCATATACTTCTTTACCTGCAGGAGTAGGGTTGCTTAAAAGTATTAGATCTTGAGCTTTAATGTGATTTTAGAAAATAAATATGATGAATGACTTAGAGCTTAAAGGCACCATATGTCAGTTAACATGGGTAGAGGAAATTAAAACTACCATTTATTCATAGGCACTACATTTATTTTATGCTTATCTATAGACAGAGTACCTATTTCACTTGTCATTGCCATTTTCCAAATTTCCAGAAATTGGTGAATTCGATATTTTGTAATTTTACCAACACACTACCCTACCTCAATTGACCCTTTCCATATAAATGGAAAAATAGATGGCATCATGGATGTTGGTAGGGCTAGAATACATGGCAGCCTATAGCAAGAGTCACTTATTTTCCTGATTTAACAAGTAATTACATTTGGATCAACTTAAAAATCCATTAGAATCTAACTTAGATCTTATTGACATGTGGATTGTGATTTCACATTAAAATTGTAATCCCTTCAAGAGTAAATGAACTTTTAAAGGTTTTTCAACATTGTGTCAATAATGATAATTTAGCCCGAACCTTTTTTTAGAAAACTTGAAAATCTTTAGAATTTGAATAAAATACAAATTAAAGTTTTTTTTGATAGAAAATTACACATAGAACTCAAATATGCCACCAAATAAAAAAAATGTTCTAAAATCTCATTAAAAAGAGACTTTAACGAGATTTCAAAGCTGTATGGAAAAGACTCTATACTATAGCCTGTATTTCTTCAAAAGGGATACAGGCTACAGTGAAGTTTCAAATGGAGTGGGAGTGGGTATTTCTATCTCTGTCTATATGTCTTTTCTGGAAATAATACAATGCAAACTGCTCGATGAATCTATAAATGAATAGTAAAACACTTGAAATCTATGCAAAACTAAAAAAATATGGAAATAAACAAACGTCTCACATTTGCAACTCTACTGTAGTCTGTAACCCATTTTAAGAAAAACAGGCTATATTAATAGTTTGGGGGTAGGGTAGTGTGATCAAGGAGTATGTAGAACTGACTGTGTGAAGACAGGTCCTTTATATGTAGAGGTTGGTGGCTAGATCTGATTCTGACTTTAGTATGTAAACAACTTTCAATGTGTCAACAGACATGCTTTCATGTTGTACATGTTGTGATCATGAGGCACTAATTCTTAATAACAAGTATGTGGTTAATTACAATTTCTTGCAATTGATAGTGTCAATTACAGATGAGAAATTCATTTACGACTTGCGGAAAAGGCCCCTTGATTCTTCTCACAAGCTTCAAAGTGATAAAGGAAATGAGAGACACTGCATGCTTACAAACAGGAACCCGACAGTGTAAAATACTCATTAGAATCATTCATTGTATTCCATACTACTATACAGTATATGTAAATGCTAGAGATACTGAAAAATCTAATTTCAGCATAGAAAAATCCCAATAAACAATATTTATGACTAAAACTAAAAGTGCTTCATGTATTTCAATAACAAGGTTAATAAAAACTCATCAGGGATTTATAAATAAATCCTTGGATGATGAAGGGACATTAATTCCTCAAGAACGTACATATCATCAGTAATATCTTCAGTAATGAGCATGAAGGTTTATATAATTACCTGCCAATCTCTTAGATAAGTTTTTGAAGAATGTAATTGCATTTGATTTAATATAATTATCTAAGATTCAATGAAAAATGCACATGGTGAACAATATCTTGAATAATCTTCCTGCATATTTCGAAAATAGGTTTACCAGAGAGGGTGTTAGACCAGGCAATCATGTCTATAGCCAGAATTATAACCATTTTATCCTCTATAAATCGCAATGATCTTTTAAATGTGAGGTGCAGCACCCAAGGGTAGATATTTATCGAAAGGATGCATGAAATTACAAAATGCGTCACTTTTATCACAGTGTATTGGTACTCTATTATCACCTACTTGATTTCTTTAGAAATTAGTGGGTTGGTTAGTGGGTTGGTGGTAAATCGGCGATTACAATATGTACAATAAATATTTAAAAAGTCGTATTTGACTTATCTAACAGACAGATGGATTGAGAAGTTCCCTAGATTCAACTAAATTTTCTTTGATGGGATAAAATAAAAATGCATGACAAGGAAATTAATGTCACAATTTGAGTGTGGCTCAATAATATATAGGTATGACAGAACTCTTATAAATAATCAGGATAGATTCCCGCAATCTGAATTAATCAACAGCTTCCTAGTTTTAAGGCCATACATCAGAGTTCCCTGTCATGGCTTAATTAAACTATTTGTTGAAAGAAGGATTACATTGTGTACTATTAGACCAGCTATCTAGTATATCTATATACAGACACACTTAATCTGACACATCAATTTCATAATCTTATCATCACTGCAATATTTCTGTTTTACGAAAAATTGCTGACTCCTTTGCATTCCGTAATATATAATCTCTGGCTTTACCCTCATGCTATATCTGTCACTCTCGTCTGGTAAACACATCAATAAAATAGACACTGATTTAAGATGCACTCTATAAAACAAATTTATAATTCAGTATCTTTATTCATATACTTGAGACAATATGGTATGTACATATCATAATTATACAGAACAACAGACATGCAGTGATTTAATGATTCATACTATAATTAAAATATTTTCAGTAAACAAAGAACAGGATTTCAATTAAAAATAACAACAGGTTGTTTTCAGAATAATTGATTGTGGTATTATTTGATTTATGATTCATTTGTTCTTAGGTATAGGGATTTGTCTCGGAAATGAATAAAATGGCCTAAAATGGTTTGAAACTCAATATACCACACAATCTAATAAAACGGAACTTAATTTCAGTTGATCCTCAAAAATATTGCACGACAAATTTGCTCTTTGTTGAATCCCTGTTTATCTCCTTCTTTAAAGGTATACTCCTTCCAAGAATATCTTTCTCCTAATATGGTAGCTATAACCACACATATATTTTCCATATTTAGCAAAACACAGAAAAATGTTTTGATATGGTCAATTGCTCAATTCCAGTAGGCTGCCATCTTTAAAGATTTCACTCAGGAAGTGATGTCATCGACTTTCAACTTTTCACATAGCATTAGGTAAGGAGCTATTAAGAATTATAAAACCAGCAGAATATTTTTTTTTAATTTCATATATGATTTAATCCAAGCTGACAAGCTCTGAAAATATTGTTGCACATAAAGTATACATGTACTGTTATCAGGCAAGGTTATAAAAGTTGAGATTCGATGACATCACTTCCTGAGTGAAATCTTGAAAGATGGCAGCCTGCTGGAAATGAGCACCACATTTTGAAATGATCAATATTGACTATATTAAAACATTTTCCCTGTTTTGCAAAATATGAAAAGTATATATATGATTATAGTATCATATCATAAAAAGGAATGTCCCTTTAAGTCCCTCCTTCAATGAGGTAATACACGACAAAAGACTGTTCATTTACTTAATGATGTGACTCCTGAATCTAGTTAGCATTTGTAACACTTGTTGTTGTGCCGATTTCATTGTCAATGCCAGCACACTTGAGTGTGCGTAACATGGCATGACGAAAAGTCTTGTGCCGTAGAGCGTAGACCCATGGATTCATTGCACTGTTACACAATGTAAGCATGGAAATAAATAGTCCAAAACTTTGTAGCCATACAGACTCTATTTCAAGTCGAAAGGAGCTAAATATAGTGAAAGGGAGATAGGTAATGAAGAAGAGTCCAACAATCAATAGTAATGTCTTTGTATACTTCTTCTCCATTTTTACCTTTTCCTTGTTTGAATCAGAGAGAACAATAATTTGAGCGATTTTTTTCTGCTGTTTCCATGCAATGTATCCTATCATGATACAACTCACAAGGCATACCAACATAAACAAAATGACATGCCACTGGAGGATTTTGTAATAGCCAGGAACTATGATAGTATATACAAGACAGTTACCAGTGGCAGGCGTCCAGATGTTAAACTTATTGAGAAACATGAAAAAGCTGATGAAGATTATATAAATCCACATACTGACAGCAATCACCTTCAATGTAAAGGATGTCAGGAATCGAGCTTGCTGCATTGGCCATTGAATTGTTATGAATCTTAGCAGCGATACGATGGCAAGATGAAAGATGGAGACACCTGCTAAAACAACAACGATGAATGTGCGAGCCGTGCACAGATAGCGTTCATTTATATAATTGTAGTTGATCGGAATGAAATGATAAACAGAGCTGACAGGAAGGGCGAGTAGACCTACTAGAAAATCACAGATGCTTAAGCTCATCAGAAGAATGTAGCGCTCTGACTGCAGTGCTCTGCTTTTTGTGTAACTAAGCAGCACAACACCATTTGGCAGCACTGTCATTATAGCCACAATCATTTCAATAATCAAATGACACATCTTTAATCCTTCAGGCATATTATGTGGGTGAATTATTTCTGTATTGTTAATGTTTGTAGCACTCATGTCAGTTGCATTTAAGTTTGCTGCATTCATGTTCATTGTTATTTAGCAGTTATGTTCACGTTTGTAGCATTCATTCCGAGTAATTACTGAAAGTACTTATACTTAAACAGCGGCAACTCTTTGCAGTCCACCCCACCCGTTTATTCTGCTGTGTTCTGCTGCGTTTTGAACTATTACATGTGTCCCCTCTGTTGTCTAGCCTCGATAATGTATTTCAATTCCTTATCTTATTATTTATACCTGGTTGGTTACAGGTGTGAAAAGTAATTAATTTCCAATTCAAGAGTCAATTGTGAAATATTCCAGCGTAACAATCATCAGAAATAATAAAACTAAACTCCGTGGCTTGATTTCAAATATTATAACAAATTCAGTGTCTTGATTTCTTATTTTTTATTCCTTATAAATCTGAATAATACAGCATTTTATATCCAGAGTTTATCAACCAACATCCTTTTCAGTCAGTTTTCAGTTTGTGAAATGTAGTTTCAAGTCACAGGTCCTAGTACTCTGTTATTGTAAGGTAATTGTCTAAATCCAATCTAGTTCAGCAACGGTACGTATTGTCTTCCGTTAGTGCCTTGAAGTAATTTACTTCAATCATATAGCTCATCTCATCATACTTTTACACATATTGGGCATGAAAAAATGGTTTCTTAAAATAGCACAAAAAGTTCAATCATCTAAGTTGAGATTCCCAATTTCCACCAAATCCTCTGATTGGTTCTCAAGACACCACTAGCACAATGTAATATCACATTTCAAGATTGTAAGATTGTCTTTTATATGTTGTCTTATTTTTGATTTGTTTTTTCTATAGCCATAATCATTGTTCACTTGAAAATCACTGGGAAATAAATGGGTTTAAAAACAACCACACTGTAGAAATATGCTAATTACATTTGCAATTCTATGAGGTGTAAATATCTTATACAATCCTGTCTTTCATTAAAATGAATTATTCCCAATGATGCAGTTAATCATCGAAGACATATACCATAAAACGTAACAGTGTTGATTGGATACTAAGTTTAATCACAGATGTAATTAGGATGTACCTATGCAATAATGTTCTCTATTGTGAAGCCTAAACTATGCTATTTTTCTCTAGAACTTTAAATAATTGCATATTTAAGAAAGCGCAACAAATCTGATAAGACAAAATAATCTAAGCTCAAATATTTTTAAGTGAAGAGAGCAAATCTCAAGAATTCAAACAAATACAAGTATAAAAGCAAAATATATATAGATAATGGGTGTCATGATATTCTTTTCTGATTTCAATTATTTCTTATTTTGATTTTCAAATGTCTCAATGACATTTACTCTTGTTTGGGGCTAAGTCTGTCTAAATTTTCATGAAATAGGCTTACTTATCAATACATATTGCAATATCCTCTCCCATCACATCCAATTAACATCCAATTTGTTAATAGAGATTCCTTGCTTGTTTGATCGGATTATATCTTGACAGACAAAACCTTCCTCAAATAGTACATAATGACACCCAGCATGGATGGTGCTTGAGTCTGGGAAAGTATCAATAATGTTGTAAGAAACAAACAAATATATTTGTGTAATAAAGATTATTTATCAAAGATGTAAAGATGTTTCATGTCACTTATGACAACCAAGCCGATATTTTCTCTCCTATCCGGCACATTTTCCTTAAGATCAAAATGCTAGGAATTGAAAATCTGGTTAAAAATGCGCTGGACTCTGGATATCTTCTGTCGAAGAGGTCATGGAGACTACAAATTGTCAATGATGTAAGATCCTTTGAGGTCGGGCAATTTTTCTTACAATGCTCATGTTATGGCAAACTTTTATACCTACGTGAATATGTTACAGACTTAAAACCTTGCATATGGTGGTTGATTTGTCAGAAATATCCCAAATGTCAAAGCAAGTGTAAAACTATGATGCAATTGTTATGTAACTCCCATGTATCAAATACGAAAAACTTCAATGGTTCAAAACAATGTATATTGTGTAACCTTTGTGAAACTGAAACAATTGAACACTTTATATTAAGATGCCCTATGTATGAGCCATATAGGCATAACATATTTGAAGCCCTTGGCTGTCGTGGTGACAGTATGAATGTTATTATGAAGAAAGTTTGAGGTCTTTCAGATGTTTCATGTGATACGTTAATAATTGTATCATCATTTGTACACAAAACGTACAATCACAGAGCCAACCTGTTGACTCTGCTTGACACATAATTTCTCTATCACTTATTTTTATGTTTTCCAAAACAACAACTTTTATCACATAATTTAATCTTATCCTTGTATATTATATTTTATATGTAAACTATATTTATATTAAAATGTATTCTCTCATATAAATGAGGCAATAAATATACAATACAATACAATTACATATACTATCATTATATGTGCTGGCATCAGGGTATTCTATGACACCCACTTGCATGAAGTTGCACGATAATGTGGATGGTGCTTGAATCGAGTAAAAGAAGGAACATAAGGAATTATAGATTTTCATTACCATTTATCCTTGAGTTTAAACATCTTATAAGTGACATCAACATTGTATTTTGTTAAAACATATGTAAATTGCCACTTAAAATCATGTTTGAATTGAACAAGACACATTGATAAATATCACACTTTGAGGAGCAAAATGATCACCATGTAATTTACCCAACAAGCCCAAAACCTAACAAGATGTTGACCTTGGTCTACTCTGTGTATCATAAAAAAACATGGAAACCTGAATTTTCTTCATATTTTTGTCATTTTATGAAATTACTTTCTGATATTCATCACATTTGTACATCATTTAATTTCGTACCACCCTACCATATTTCATTACCATGAGACTGATGGTCACAATGTTGCAGCAGTTTGAAGAACATGCTCCATGTGGCCATTATCACATCGTAAGCAAACCTGCACATTTTCAATGACCTGACTGCATTCAACAGCAGGTATTCCCTGAAGGATACAGTCTATCTTTCCCCAAAGGTAGAAGTGAAGATGGAACATTCTGGATGACTTGTGCAGGTTTGCCTAAAGCGCAATATATACATGCAGTGGCCACTGCAGTATGTTGTTTAAAGTGTAACATTGTGACTATCAGTCTGATGGTTATGAAATATGGCAGAATGTACATGTAGGAAATTGGATGATGGACAAATGTGATAAATATTAGGGAGTTATTCCCTTGACAAAGATTTGAGGAAAATGACGGCAGGGTTTTCATTTTTTGACAACCCTGTACTAATCTAGTAAGTTGAGTAAGACATTATCTATTCCTGGAAAGGTATAGGAATATAATGTTTTGTTTAATTTTACATTTTTAGTTAAACTAACTTTGATTATATAAGTACAGTATATCATCAAGAACTCATTCATGGCTTGCTTGAGAGGTTTTTGAGGTTGGGGCATTTCCTTTTTCTTAGTGTTGTATCCCATGTCTTTCTTGGTGGCATGCCTCAGTCATATTTGTTCTTCCCAAAATCGAGAGCAATATGGAGCATAAAGCATATTGATTTTGTGAAGCTACGATCGACTTACACCCACAATGGAGTAAATCTTAATACACAAGTTAAGTTCCAAGTTATCAATATGTCATGTTTACATTGCAATCAGTTCACCAAAATGCCTTCTGAACCAAGGCTGAAGTATTTGCGTACTTTATATGCAGCTAATAACTCAAAAATAAGCCTTTTGAAACTGGTCAATTTTGAGTTGCTTTTGCCAGATCACCTTACTTTGGTCCTTTCTTCTCCTTAATTGAAAAGCCTCCACCTCCCTCCAAAAAGTACCTCTTCTCAGCATAGTAAAGGGGTCTTCCATTTATTCATTTACAGGTTCAATGCTATTGTCAATACCACCAGGAAGCTTGAGTGTGCGTAACATGGCATTACGGAATGTATCATGCCGAAGAGCGTAGACCCATGGATTCATTGCACTGTTACACATTGTTAGCATGGAAATAAACAGTCCAAAGCTTTGTAGCCATACAGAGTCTATATCCAGTCTTAGAGAGCTAAATATAATAAATGGAATGTATGTTATAAAGAAGAGTCCAACAATCAACAGTAATGTCTTTGTATACTTCTTCTCTTTTTTTACCTTTTCCTTGTTTGCATCAGAGAGAACAATAACTTGAGCGATTTTCTTGCTTTGTTTCCATGCGATGTATCCTATCACAAGGGAACTGATGAGACATACTGACATAAACAAAATGATATGCCACTGGATAATTTTATAATAACCAGGAACTAAGATATTATATACAAGACAGTTACCAGTATCAGTTGCCCAGGTGTTGAATTTGTCAAGAAACATGAAGAAGCAGATGAAGATACAATAAATCCACATACTGACAGCAATCACCTTCAAAGTAAAGGATGTCAGGAATCGGGCATGCTGCATTGGCCATTGAATTGTTATAAATCTCTGCAGCGATATAACGGCAAGATGAAAGGTGGAGACACCTCCTAAAGCAACAACAATGAATGTGCGAGCTGTGCACAGATAGCGTTCATTTATATAATCATAGTTGATCGGAATGAAATGATAAACAGAGCTGACAGGAAGGGCGAGTAGACCTACTAGAAAATCACAGATGCTTAAACTCATCAGAAGAATGTAGCGCTCTGACTGCAGTGCTCTGCTTTTTGTGTAACTAAGCAGCACAACACCATTTGGCAGCACTGTCATTATAGCCACAATCATTTCAATAATCAAATGACACATCTTTAATCCTTCAGGCATATTGTGTGGGTGAATTATTCCTGTATTGTTAATGTTTGTAGTGTTCATGTCAGTTGCATTTATATTTGTAGCATTCATGTCCATTGTTGTAGCATTTATGTAAATATTTACAGCAGTTATGTTCATGTTTAAAGCATCTATATCCATATTTGTAGCATTCATTCTGAGTATTTACTGTAAGTACTTAAACTTAAATAGAGGTAACTGTGAAGTATTCTCATCTGTTTATTCTGGTGTGTTATGATGCGTTTTGAAACGTCACAAATTCAGTGTCTTGGTTTCTTATCAACCCACATCCTTTTCAATCAGCCTCATGCTGTTCTTTGATTCCATAGCAATAATGCTTGTTCACTTAACATCACTGCATGAGAAACAACTGATAACGTACATGTAGAAATATGGTAATCTCATTAGCAATTCTAAAAGGTGTTAATATATTATATCAAACTAGAAAAATAGCAAATCCCACGGAACAAAACATTATTTGATCTGGCCATCTAGAAATTTTTTTCTTGGGCAGAGCTTGTTTGTCCCAAGGAATCAACATATAAAATGTGATCGATATCTGTCAATTAGCATTAGAGTTAAACTGAAAAATGGCAGCCATTTTTAAATTCAGCCGCCATCTTGAAAATGTTTTGTCGAACAGAAGTACTG